GTTTTTATCATAAAATTGTTTATCGGTAACAATTGCTTGAAATGCTTGAGTGTTAGGAAGATTTGGATCGCCAGCGATTGCCCAATAAGATGAATCAGTATCACCTTCAATGAAATGAAAACGATTAACATCCATGCATTTATACATAAAATCATAAATGAAAACCAAATACCAGTATTTTGCGTTATCTAAAGTGAAGAATGCCTCTTGTAAACATGTATCACATCTATAAAATCTATCTTTGAGCATCATTTGATATGTATCCTCTCCTATTTCTCTTATGTTTTTAAACTTATTTGACATACATGCAACGCGTGCCTTCTGTGCATTCATTATTTTAGTCTTTGCGTAATTTTGTGTATTCATTGCATCGTAACCATATGATCCATTAAGTGAAATCTTGCAAAATAAACTTTTTCCTTTATTTCCTTCTAATTCAGCCTTTTGTCTTTCATTCATAAATTTGTTCGCAAATTCATTAAAACAAGTGTTTTTAGTAAATGTTAAAATTGATTGAATGTCATCAATGATAAAATGAAATCTGTCGATTAGATACCAAAGATAATAAGAAGAAAATGGTTGATATTGGTTGTGTGTTGATGCTAACTGAGTTAATTTTCTCTGTTTCTGGTCAACTGGTAGATTGTTTGATTTCATGTAACTATACATAAAACCGCCAATTGTTTTTTCATCTGTGATAATATCTAAGTTTCTTATTATCGGTAAAAAGTTAATGTAATCATTAATGTATTTTTCATCAATGTGACCCTTTACTTCAGCCACGAATAAAGTATTTTTCTTCTTAATTATTCCCAGTGCTTTTGCTTTCTTTGTTGCTGTATCACAAATGATAACACCATTCAATCTTCCCGGCATATACATTTTATGGTCAGTATATTGAATAAAATCATGAGGATTAGATGAAAATGATGAAGGATATAATGAATTAAAATCAACACCAACGAAATGAGTCATAATGTTGGAAGTGTCCTCATTTGATACAGTTTTAGTTTCTGGATTATATGAAAGTTTATTAATGTGCGTGATTCCTTTAAGATTAACACGATGTTGAACATTTGATAGACCACCAGTAATTCCATTACGGAGAATGTGATAAGCTTCAACTGAATCTAAAGTCATTGGTAAATTATTTTTTAATGCATAATTTCTTAAATTGATTCTTAAACGTTGAACATCTTCATCTTTATTTGATTTTACGACATTGCAATAACAACACATTAACTGACAATTTTCTTTAGTATGTGGTTTTTCATTATCGATTCTATCCAATGTTGGTTTATTTGCATATGTAAACGCTTTACCACACATTTTGCATTTAGATGAAAGGATTAAATCATGATAGTATTGATAGTCATCCATTGAAACATTGTTTTTAGTATCTCTTTCTGCTTTTTCATCTTGTTTCTTATATGATTCAATTTTATATTTCCAATACTTTTTTGTTAATTCAAAACTTGATTCCACATTTTCTTCTTCTGGATATGTTTCGTTAGGATTGAAGTTCTTATATGCTAACGCGTAACGAATCATTGATGCATTCGATGATAAAGAAAGATTATGAAGCATATCAATTTTATAAACAAATGTTTCTTCAATAATTTTATCAATTGGGTCAATCATAATTTCAACATCTTTATTGCAATAATGAATAAAATATTCTAATCTATTCTTAAAATTTTCAGCATCATTGAGATATATTTGATAATCTGAATCGGATATTGTTTCTTGTGTTAATGCTGAATAAAATGAATCTTGAGTGAATGGTTCCTTTTTATATAATTCATCTTCGTAATTTTCCCATGTGATGAATTGATAAGGGAAAAAGGATTTAACACGTGATTTATTGTTTCCGAAATCTTGAGTGAATTGGTCTAATGTTCCACCCGCTATATAATTTCTGATGTCAATAAATCTCAATTCATATGGAACGTTTGTTTTCTTTACAATGATTTGCTTAAATTGTGAAGATGAACCCAGCATTGATTTTATTTTCCATTTTGCAGTATTTAAATCACGAAGAATTAAATTTAAATCAAACTTTCCCGAATTAAAACCTATGATATTCACTTTATTAAATTCTTCATCTAAAAGCTCTTTCATTGCTTCCTTCTGTTTCTCATTTAATGTTTGCGGCTTCAATAATTCTTCATATTGTTCAATATTTGATTTAGCAACTAATGAACAGGTTGAAAATAAAAACTCAATCCAATCAGAAATAAAAGAATCACTCGAAGTTAAGCAAAAATTCCTCGTATATGTTTTATCGTTTAATTTAACCGTTGATGATACCATGAATGGTTTTAAGTAAGCGTTCAAAGTTGCACACTCAGAAAGTTGTAATTCTTCTTTAGTCTCTAATGTTTCAAAGTCAAAAGTAATATAATATCTTGTTGGTTTATAATATTCCTGCAAATTATGAGCTAATAACCACTGATATATCTTCTGTTTCGTAATATGTGGTGCATATGGTTGCTGTGTCTTTTGCAATTGAACGTCTTGAATTAATCTTCCATTATTTTCTTTACATTTCTCACAATGCTTTAAAAATCTTCTTTGGTTTTTCCTTTCTGGATCATCACGGATAGAATAAACTTCTTCTTTACAAAAGGGGCAAACTTTATATCCTGTGAGTGCTTCAACGTCTGTTATTCTGTCAGCGTGAAGTTTTCCACATGGACTCTGTGTTAATAAAATATTTACTGTTTCAAATTCTGGATCTATCATTATTGATTCCACTAATGGAAAGTCTACCTTGTTAATGTCTACGTCTTCTGGTTGAGGGTCACAATAATAGAAATCAATATTAACGTTTAACATTCTTGCTAACCTCTCACTTTCTGATGAAATGTCAAATCCTTCATATGCATCTATGGCTTCGTTTAAATAACTTCTACGAGTTTTAGGATTAACACCATCAGGAATGTTATAGAAGCGTTTAAATAACCTTCTACCTTCGGCTCTTATTTGATTATCATTCATTTTAGCTGTTCCATTTTTGTTCATTTATGTAAGAATAAAAATTAAAAAATAAAAATAAAGTTTATTTTTTTAAAGTCCGAGACTCAGAGAGTCCAGGGCTAAAGCCCATAAAATGAATTAAGAACACATAAATTTTTATCATCTGCGACGTGACGAATGCATTTTAATTTACTCAAGAATGCATACCCTGATACATTAAATCTAATTCCTGTCTTATTTAATTTCACAACTTTGAAAAGGAATGTATGAATAGCTATAAAATGATGAGATGATGTTTTATGGGTTGCTTCCATTTTTTCTGAAATAAATGAATAAATATAATGCTTATAAGTTTTCATATCTTTTATATTCTTAATAACGAATGGTATAGACCTTTCCACTTCGTCTTCCTTCGGTGCTGTTCTTTCATATGAAACATTATTGGTATCTTCAATAATGAAACCACAATCACATAAAATTTTATAGGTTCCAATTGTTTCTTTTGATATTTTATCTAATAAATCAAAAACTTTATCAACACCTGTACATTTATTTAAATAATAATTTGTGTAAATATCATGGTCTTCTTTCTTAATCGTATTTGTTGCATATGTTACATTTTTCAGTGCTTTTTTGAATTTTTCAGAATCAAGAGGAGGTGAAAGTAGGATACAGGGGTATTCTTCATTATCAATAAATTGTAACTTATGTTTACGAATAAATTTAGTACCTTCTTCTGAAAGTGTTTCGTCTATTTCACCATCTAATAAATTTTTAGTAGATTCCAAAAAGTAATTTTTATATCTTTCCTCATGTGATTTTTGAACTGCTGATTCTGAAGCTGGGATATTCATTAAACCCTCTACTTCATTCTCAGCATTTCTCAATTCACTAATTTTTTCATCTATTTCATCTCTTATTTTTTCCAGTCTTTCAATTTCATCATATTCATCATCTTTAATCCGTTCTTCATAATATTCAGGGAAAACATCAGGTTCTTTAGGTTTTTCTTCTTTAGATGTGGGATATAAGAAATTTATAACATCATTTTTATTCATTTTTCCATCATAATCAAACTCATTTAAAAACTCCGCGAATTTTTGACAATTTCTTAAATAATATTTACTAACTTCATAACCTGCCTCCTCTAATATATCCTTTATTTCCTCATTTGTGAATCCCAATTTTTTAACGTTGTTAGTTTTGACGCTCATTTTCTTACGAAATAAAAAAAATAAATTATTCAAAAACGTGAGACATGAATTTTTAAAGTTTATGAGGTCTTTGATTATGACTTCATTGATTTCATTCAGGATTTAAACAATGTTTAATTAATCGCGGAATATCTGACATCATCTATATATAGCTTCTTTTATAAAAGATAAAAAAATAAATTATTTTAACACTAATGTTAATTTTTTAATGCGTTTATGTTTGGGCTGAGTGTAAATGTCTTACATTTTTGTATCATTTTTAAATCTTGATTTATTCAAAAACGTAAGAATAAAAACCGTAAGAATCATACATTTTTTACTTCATATGTTAAAAAAATGATACAAAATCGTTCAATATTGTATGAATTCTTACGTTTACAAAAAATGTCACATAACCCATCCTATCCTACTACTCCCATTCCACAGAAATCGAATCTTGAGCCAAGTCCTATAAATTCATATATGCTCACAATACTCATAAGCAAATGCATAGAAAAGATTATTAAAAACAATTTGAAATTTTAATCTAATGCAAAAATATCTTCACTATCAGAATTTGACTTCTTTTCATCTTCACCACCTACTTGTTCGTATTCTTGTTCTATTTCTTCATGAATTATTGGCTCATTTGGAATTTCTTGGATTAATGGTTGTTCTTTTACGAATTTTTTTTCTGCTTTCTCTTCGGACATGACGAAATCATCACTGGAATCTTTATCTTCCTCTTCAGCCTTTTCCTGTTCAATCTTTATCTTTTCTAATTCACCTTTTCCGAGATTTTCTTCTCCTTCATGATCTTCTGGAAGTTCATCCTGCTGAATCTCCTAGAAGATATACTTTCTCTGGTGCGTTTTTCTCCAAAACATGTAAATATAAGTTTTTGATGAATGAAAACAGCTTCGTATATGTCCACCTTGGTGCAAGATCGTAATCTGGAATGATAAATGTTGCATTTGTACGACTAATAATAGCTCCAACCATAAACCACTGGAAGCTAATCATATTTTGAACGTAAGCACATCCATGAACGTAAAATACTACTTTATCAGTAGCACCTGTCTTTGGTTGTAATATCCAATAATGTCTGTCTTCGAACTTTGTGTAATTAATGTTTAATTTTCGAACCATATAAAATGGAACTCTTTCTGGAGTATCATCAAATACTCCCTTCTTGATTATACCATCGAGTTCGGGTTTGAAATTTAATGCATAGATGCAAAATTGTACAAATTTAGATAAAATACTTTCGTTTGGATCTAAATTATGGATTGTGAATCCTGGTTTAACAACACAACGTATGCTAAGAACAATGAGAGAATAGTAATAATGGATAGGAAGATAATCAAGAGTTTTCTCATAAATTTATGTAAACTATTCAAAGATCCGATCACACAATTTTATTAGACTTGGAGTAATATTACTCCAAGTGTATTTTTCGATTCATTTCACAAAAAAATTATCGAAATCCTCGTAATTTACCCGGCCATTTCAAAACGAGCATCTTTCAATGAATTCAAGATGTACATCATACTTCCATATTGTCTCAAAGCTATACTTGAAGTATTTTGTTTCAATTTCGTTGCTTTTATTATCTAAATTTAATTTGAACTCTCAAAAAGACATAATTTTAAAAATAAAGATCATTTTTACTTAAAAATGAGCATTAAAGAATTATATTCTGTGGGAATCACGAACGAGTTGCATTACGTGGTTGTTGAGCTTATCGTTAGCGATGATTTCTTCGAGTTTGTATGGATAGCGATAGCGCCACTTGTGGTTTGGATCGGCTGGAATGTTGATTCTTTCAGCTTCAGCGGATTGAAGTCTTAACTCTGGGAAGATTGATGTGATATCCTGGAGAAGGAAGATAGCCCACATGGAGTTGGACCAAATGTTCTGCTTGAGGATATCTTCTTGGACTTCTGGAGAAAGTGTCTCTGGGCAAGCATCATGTCTGAGGAGGACGTTGTACCAGAAGTTTTCTCTTGTTGCCTTTGTCTCCTCCCACCATCCGCGGAGGGATGATGTATCGTGTGTTGATGGGCATGCAACGGAGAGATAGCCGAACTTGTGGAAGTCATCGAAAGCTTCTTCTGGAATCTTTGACATTCTCTGGACGTGAAGAGAAAGGATGGCTGATTCATCAATAGCTCTGATAATACCGGTTGTGATTTGACCAAGGTCTTCGCCGCAGATGAGCATCTTTGTAGCGTTCTTGAGGACGTTGAGCTTTGGCTGAGCCTTCTGAACCCAAAGGTTTGTCATTCTCTCGTAGAAGAATTTGTGAGCTTCTTCCTTGACGCGCTGCTTGAGGCCTTCATCGAGTTCGTTCCATGATGAGGAAACGTAGACAACTGGACCCTCCTTTGTTGGTTCTACGTGATCCTTGAGAACTTCTGTTCTCATGTGGAAGAATCCCTTTCTTTCTGGATCTTCGATAAGGATGACGTTGCCAATGAGCTGGAAGAGGCAGCATCTGTAGTGTTCACGCTTCTCTTCAGAGAGTGTCTTGTCGTTGTCAAGAGCTTGAGCAACTTTCTTCTCGTTATCGAACTCTGGCTTGAATTCGTAGTAATCATCTTGAGCGTTCCATCCCTTGCTGTTGAAATACTTGTGAGAAACGTATTCAGCATCTTCATGGAACTTTTCGCAGAGGATGTGCCATCTGACGTATGGCTTTGTGAGCCTCTCGATATCCCAAAGGCCCATTCCGTTGAGTTCGTCGTGTGAGAATGGAACAGATGGGAAGAAGTGTCCGAGAAGGCCTCTGACGCATGTTTCACGTGGAACTTCCCAAATTCTGAAGAATCCGAGGATATGGTCAACTCTAAGCTGGTGATAGAGTTCAGCCATTCTTGTGAGTCTTGAGCGCCACCATGAGAAACCATCCTTCTCCATGGCTTCCCAATCGTATGTTGGGAATCCCCAGTTCTGGCCATCAGAAGAGAAGTCATCTGGAGGAGCACCAGCGCACATATGGAGTCTGAAGAGTTGTGGGAATGCCCAGCATTCAACAGAGTTGATGTTGACACCAATTGGAAGATCACCCTTGAGAGCGACGTGGTTCTTTGTAGCGTAGTCATATGACTCCTTGAACTGCTTGTCGGCGACGTATTGAATCCAGTAGATTTCGAGTAAGTCATTCTTCTTCTGCTTGCAGACTTGTTCAAGCTCTTCTGGTGTGATTGTTGAGTACTTTGGCCATTTGCGGAATTCTGTTGTCTTGTACTCATCTCTGAGAAGGCAGAAGAGAGCGTATGGCTTGAGCCATGATCCGTTCTTCTTGAGGAATGTAGCAAGGCCGTTTGTAACGAAGCTGTCCTTCTCAAGCTTGAAGATTTCCTTGAGATACTTCATCTTGAATGCAAAGACTTCTGGGTATTCAACTTGTTCGAACTTCTCGAACTTTTCCTTTGCTTCAAGGATTTCCTTCTTCATAGCTGCTGGAAGCTTGTTTGTGATAGCGAGGAGATCGATGTAAACTGGATGAAGAGCGAAGCAGGAAACTTGGCGATATGGGTATGAATCGCACCATTCTCCCTTCTCTGTTGTATCGTTAATTGGAAGTAATTGGATGAGAGAAGCACCCATCTTGTTGCAGGCATCAACACACTTCTTAAGATCTGTGTATGAGCCAATGCCTTGTGATTCATTTGTTCTGAGAGAGAAAAGTGGAACATAAATGCCCATTCCCTTGAAGAGGTTCTTGTTAGGGCAGATGAACCAATCCTGAACGTAGTTGATTAAGACTCCATTGACAGCAACTGGAGCTGGGCAAACTCTGTTTGCGCAATCTTCCCAAATAAATGTATGATCATTTGTGTTTTCGATGACGTACTTGTATTCGAATGGGAATGATGTCTTTGCAAATCCTTTGTTTCCTGTCCAAATTGGGAAACTTCCATCAACTAAAGCTAATGAGTTCTTTGGATCCCAATTACCAAGTTCTGGAACATTACCAACGATTCTAACAATTTGATTTGGTCTAACATATGGGCAGTTTGTAGCAAAGTATGTTTGAATTAATTTTCCATTTTGCTTGATAGCAATTGGTTCGCTCTTTGTTGGGTTTTCTCTTGAGTTAATGGCTCCAACGAATGTTGCGCGGCTGAAAGCGTCGAGAACGTTATCTCTCCAGTGGAAATTATCTTCAATGTTGATAACGCATTGATCATTGAGAGCGCCAAGAACAAGTCTGTGATTCTGTTCTGGTTCCCATTGTTGGTAGTCACCACTAATGATAACATACTTGTATTCAATGAAACGATATCCTTGAGACTTTGGTAATTCGACATTGACGAACCAATAATCTAAATTGTGTTCGAATTCCATCTTAATTGCTTTCTTAGCATCCCAATTTCCAAGTTCTGGGATATTTCCAGAAATGAAGACTTCCTGGCCGAATGCAGTAGATACTCTCACATGGAAGTGAGCAATGATTCCATTGGCTGATGTGGAGATCATCTATTTGGTTGTTTTTGTTGAAAAATGAAGTGAATCATTGAGAACTTCAGAAAATATTTTATTTCAGAATTGGATAAATCAATGATTCTTTGCATATGCAATCTTCATCTTTAGAGGGACCATTTTCCTGACTTTTTTGTTTTCAGAAGATTATAGGCTTGGTTAGAATTGAAAAAATTGTGACAATCGTTTACGAACGCGCAAAAAGAAAATCCTAAATTGATTGCAAAGCATAGATTAGTATTTTAATATCCGTCATAATCTACCGAATTTTCCATAAATTCAATTCTTCACAATTTCAATCTTCACTCAAAACTCATTATTTATGCCCGATCGAGCCATACTGAGGGCAAATATAATTATTATTCATTTTATTGTAGCTTCCTACTTTAAAACAATTACAATAATTTTTACAAAATAATTCTGATCGGGTAAAAATCAATGCCGGTCAAGCCAAACTTTGAGAATATATTTCATATACGAAGGAGATCCATATTCGTTAATATTGGATTTTTGATCAAATCCTTATTCACTATTATTTGATTTTTGACTATATCCATATACAAACCACTAATATGGCCAGAATTTTAAAAGTTATTATTAATTGCTGGCGCAATTGCAATTGGTTTTACTATCAATAAAATTTCTTAAAAAATAGAGCTGTGATAATGCATTGAACCATAGCAGTGTTGACAATTAATTCCATATGCGCTACATCTTGATAGAACTAAGACTATGTTTTAATGATATTACCCAAACTTCATGGAATTTCAATCAACAATAAACTTGTATCCAAAACATATGTATTTTATTACTTTATTTCTACTCATTCCGCTTCGACCAAATAATACATATCGTCACTTTACATTAGTTCAAAGTGGTAAAATTCGGTCAATTCAAATTTTCCATTTTTCTTGGGATTCCTATGAGCGTTGATTATTTAAAAGAACATGATGGTTTCATAACAACCATAGAGAGAATCTTTCACTTAAAATCAAATGAATCTATATGCTTGAATTACATCGTGTTATCACATAACAATCAATTCCTTGATTATCTTATTAATCATGATATCGTAAAGCCAAACGAGTTTGATTTTGAAGCAATCTTAAATGCACAAAACTTAAAAGCAATCTTTATTATGTTCGAGAAAGATAAGAATTCAATAATACCATACTATGCTGCTTTCTCACAAACAATGGATATTCTAAAGAACGAAAAAATGGATTTAACAATTAGATCCCCAAGCAACAAAACTCTTTTGCATTATGCAACTTGTTATAACAATGTAGATATGTGTAAATTTTTATTAGACAATTTAGAGACATATCATATTGATATTGATGCTGGAGATAATATGAGTCAAACACCTCTTCATATTGCAGTTAATTTTAATAATATAGAAATAACAATGCTTCTTATTTCGTATGGTGCAAATATCAAGGCTGAAAGTTTTGGCGAATGGACTGTTCTTCATTGGGCAGCGGGATGTAATTGCAGTAGAGAATTAACAGAATACCTTATCTTGCATGGTGCTGATATTAATGCAAAAGATATTTTAGGGAGAACAGCTCTTCATTATGCAGCAAAAATTAACAATAAAGATGTTGTTGAAAGTCTTGTGATGCATGGCGCTGATATCAATGCAAAAGATGAAAAGGGATACACAGCTCTTCATCACGCAGCAAGAGATAATTGCAAAAAAATAGCGAAAATTCTAATTATGAATGGAGCTAAAGTAAATGTAACAGATATTAATTGTGAAAATCCTATTCATTGTGATGAAAAATTAACTGATTTTCTGATTTCTCTTGGAGCTAATATAAATGCAAAAGATAATCAAGGGAAAACACCTCTTTTTTATTCAGTAGCAAGAAAGAGTAGACAAACAGTAGAGACGCAAATTTTGCATGGTGTTGATATCAATGCAAAGGATAATGATGGAAGAACAGCCCTTTATGAAACAGTTATTAATAACAACGAAGAAATGGCAAAAGTCCTTGTAACTCATGGAATAAAAATCAATTCAAAAGACAATGAAGGGAAAACTGCCCTTCATCACGCCGCAATTATGGGTTTCATGGAAATTGCAGAGTTCCTTATTTTGAATGGGGCTGATATAAATCCAAAAGATAAAAATGGACAAACTCCCATTGATGCTGCATTAGATGCAGGAAATAAAGAAATGGCAAACTTTCTTAGTTCAAAATCAAAGTGTCCTTTAATGTATTTATTGTAATTTTTATTGAAAAAAACAATTATACATCTTTTCTTTCCTTTTTATCAAATTTACAAGCAGTTTTGTTTTTTCCACCTTCTATTTCTATTTGTTTTTAAGAAACACCTACCCTAACAGTAATTCCAGTATGTCTAACATTATGTTCCTTCGCAGTAAACGTTTACGAATCAAAACTCTTCGAGATTTCGTTTTTATTGAAAAAAGTTCTTTTGATGGCATTTTAAGATTTGGATCTTCAGATTTTCATTTAGGTTATGTTTTGGATAATGGAAAATATTCGATTGAGTTAATTAAATTATCATCAAATGGAACCAAGCAACAACTACAATTATTAATCGAATTAACTTATGATAAATTAAATGAATATATATGGTATTGCAAATAAAAAATGTTTCAATTAAAAGAAATACAAACAATTTATAAAAAACATACAAACAAACAATATATATTCAATGCATCTTATTTGGCATTGACTGATATGTTGAATGCCTTTCTGAATTCATCGCTATCTAAGATGCAAGGTATTAATGAAAGTGATGAGAGATAAGAATCAAGATCTTCGTATCTTTTCTGTAAGAAATCAATGCTTGTGTTGAAGAGATACTTCTTTGGTGGGAAAGCTGGGAATTCAATGTTGTTTGGAAATTGTTCATGCAGCTTTCTGTTTAATTTTTCTAATTGAGAATATCTCATGGTTAAGTTGTGAACAAGGACTTTGTTTTCAACTAAGACACCAACTTGGATCATGTAGTAAGCAACATTTGTTTTCTTATCAATGAAGAAGTACTCAATGTGGATGTAAAATGGTTGCTCCGAAGCAGATTGGAATAACTGACTCTGCTTTGTCTGGCTGAGTGATGGGATGGACATGTAGGGTTGTTAAAAATATCAAAAATTAGCGTTTTGAAGACACCATGGTGTCTTATAATTTTCCCTTCCTTATTGGCGTGTAGAAATAAATGCGCCAATAGATTGAAGAAGAAGAATTGTTTTTCTCTTAATGAACTTTAATCCTTTTGATATAAGAATATTAAAAACATTAATATAATTTCGATTTCGGAAATTAAATTTCCAAATTTTTTGTCGATTTCGGAAATAACAGGATCCCGCATCCAACACGCAACAACAAAAACAAAACACACTTTTTGGTTCTTTCATCGTTTTAATCGTAATTTATGTAATACATGATTTGGATAAATTTTACAAAAATAGAACCTATATTATATTCTTTTCAAAGATTCTTGCAAATCATCAAAAATAATTGTATTTTAAAAAACAATCAAATTATTCTTTCATTATTTTAAACTTAAATTAGTTTTTATGATTGACTAAAGCAATCATATTTATTCATCATTAAATAAACAAAAAAATAATATTTGAGAGTTATTTCAAAAAAAACGCATTGAATTTATTAATTTGTCTCAATTTCAGTATTATAAATTTTTATAATTTCAATATTTTGAAATACACTTTTTAATATTTCAATATTTATGATATTTCAATGTTTTAAGTGGTCTCAAATTGAGCTTCTCAAATATAAGTTGGCCTATTCAAATAATAAAATTAAATAATATTTAAATAATAAATAAAAGTAAGGGTTTCGTTTTGCTAAAATTGTCACTTTTATAGCATATTTGTTTTTGGATGTTTTGCGAAACAAAAAAAAAAACTATGATATACAATGTGTGTGTAAAGAAAATACTTTTATTTACTAGTTAAAAAATCATTTGGTATTGATCAAGTTATTTTTTCTGGATAAGATATTATATGGATAATTGGATAGAAAATACAATTATATAATCTTGTACCTGGTTTAATTAAGCTAATTGTCATCAGAAACTTGTAATTTTTATGAATTTCAGATTTTTTTTCATTACTGCTTTTCTTAATAGGTCAAGTTCTTATTTACGTTATAAAGTATGATATTTACAAATATCAAGTTATCATGTTTTTTGAGAAATTATGAGAAACAAACAAAAATGAAAAAGATAGGAATAGCAATGAATAGTGATGTGGGTATAGAAAATGTAAGAGATATGAATGCAAAGCAATCAGTATTTAGGATATTGACCATAGATTTCGAAAAAAAAATGCTGCATATTGAGCGAAAACTATGATTATATTATAAGGCTGTCATTTAAAGCATAATGAAACTATTCCCTTTTCATTTTAATCGAATAAGATAGTAAAGATTTTTGAATTAGCTAGAAACTGATGAGATGTTTTCACAAATCAGATTTTTAATCTCTATAATGCATAATTCACTCAATATCTCAATTTTGATATTGCGAGATATTTTTGCTATCGGTTTCGCAATTTTGACACAATAGCAAGAGGGTTCTATAAGCATTATTATCAACGTAGAATCTGAATATCATATCAGAAAATGTCGCAAATCTGACATTTACCCGACCAAATAGCAAAAATAATTGAATACTTTTCGCAAAACTTTAAAAATCGATAAAAATATGAAATATAGATATTAAAGAGACTTTTTATATAATATTCATAAAGATTTTCCAAAAATATGATACCGCAAAATTAAAAAAGTGACGTCTTGAGTGGAGTCAAAGGTCGAAATTGCTTGCTAAATGTTTTTTTAGCGAAATTGCGTATTGTACGTTTTTTTCGCAAAACGAAACCCTTAATAAAAGTGATTGAGGTCATAGCAAAACGGCTGTTTCAGTCATTAATTCTTAAAAATAAAAAGGGTAAAAACTAAATACAATGGGTAAAATTCAATAGTGTCTGTGCTATCGTTCAATTTGAAGGTGTCTTTTGAAACCGCAAGACACATTGAATTTTTGAATAGTGTATTATGGTTTGACAGACACCAATGAAAAAAATAAAATGATATTTATTTTAAATATATAAGATCCTTATATAAAATATAAATATTTTATCGTTTTATTTTCTTGTTTTAGAAATGTTTTTTATTGAAAAATCAATAAAACTAACTCCAAAATAAAATTTTTGATTTAAAGACACTATGATGACACCAGGCAAATCTTCCAAGACACCTATCGTCGGGAATCTAACAACCCTATGGACATGTAGGGCATCGATAAATATGATCTTCATGTAAAATGAGAAATTCAATGTCGAAGACCAGATTTCCCCTCAATTTTTTCTGTCGAACTTCTCTCAAAATAATTTCTGAGGAGATAAAAACACATCTTATTAGAAATATAATGATAAGTGATTTTTTAGAATTTCTAAATTGAAATCGGGTTACGGTTATTTGCTTATATGTAGTTTTAACACTAGAATTACTATCAACATCATATGGTAATTCGAAATATCAGCTCCATTAATGAAATAAACGCATTTTTTTGAGAGAAGTAAAAAAATGGCGTGTAAAGTGTCAAAATATTTGATGATAATCTCATTTATAAAAAAACTCATTATTATGGATATGAAACTTGTTTGATAGCAAAACATTCATTTAATATCTAAACTGGGAGTTTGTATTACTAAGATTTCGAATAAAAAGCATCGTATTATAAAAATATAAAATCAATCACTTTGAACACCGATATATTTAATATGAATCAAACAAAAATCTAAACTTTATACAACAAAAGCAATCAAAACATATATGAAAGCTAATCATCCGCCAAAGAAATTATCAGGCATGTAAGAACTTCTGATAAACATTGGGATGAGGAAAATGAAGAAGCAGAAGACGGATGTGAGCATATCTTCTCTAATATTTCTGTAGAAAACCTCTTCCTCTTCTGAATTAAGGAGTCTAATTGTTTCAACATTAAGTGAATCATTCTTGAAGTTAATATCAAGAGGTCTTTCAATCATAGAGAAATCACCTCGTGTAAGATGATGTCTAATTAGAATAACTTCGTCAATAATTGGTAAGAAAATCGAAAACATCAGCTGGAATATAACTAAACGTAAGCCATACTTAATACCATAGTAGATGAATACAACTAAACAGAAAATAAATAGAACTAAATTTTCGTAATGAATATAACGAAAAGGAAGGTATTGGTGCCACATGTGAACAATATATGTGAAGCACACAGTAAATATGAATTGGAATACTGATGTAAATCCAGCAGCAATAGCGAAAAGTCCTAAAACTGATAAAGAAATAAACCAAACAGGAATCAAAAATTTCATTGATAATCCGGATAGTTTTGTGACTGTGTATAAAAAGAAAGCAGCACTAGAAACAAGCATCGATGGTAAAGAATATTCAAGTTTGAATTGAGTTGAATAGAGATAGCATGGGCTGTTACAGCCTATTACGGTTGCCATTGGCTTAATAAGTGTATACGCATAACTAATTTGATGAAATATCGATAAAATGCTTAATCGGGAAATACTGTAAAGGCGAGAAGCTTTTTGAAATTGACCAATGCGAAATATAGTTGGAAGAATTATTAATAAGACAAGTGAAAGAATAGCCATTGGATATGGTTCGGACCATCCAAAAATTGGTGTGAAAAAGAAGCCAAATTTATAAATAAAGTCATTGCCTAGAAGGCATCTGTTCCAAATTGAGTCGCTAATGCCATTGGAGAAATAGTAATCAAAGTTCTCCGGAGGCGTCGTCATTTTTCAATTTGAATAACCAGAAAATTTCAATGTTTCAAATCTAAAGTAACATTAGTGTATTTGAAGATTTGATATGTTGATTAAGTCTTCTACAAGGTGACAGTTTTAAATACATAATGGGAAGTGATATTATCAAAGATTCATTGATTTTCAATTACCATTCGTATTCGGCTTCGATATTATGTTGACAAAGCATATCGATCAAATAATTATACGTTTTTAAACTGAACCATGTCAGTTTAATCCTTTATCTGGCCAAATTCTTTTGATCAGAAATTGAATAAACAATGCTATGAACTATTGATCAAATCTAAATGTATACTATTGGTATTGATTTGCTTTGGCAAGCTAATCAATAATGTTTATTTAGAAATATGAGTATTTGATAAATTCGAAACGAATAACTTGAAATCCTCATATATTGGAACTTTTACTGAGAATAATCATAAATATATATCAAACAATGAGAAAATTACGCAGAAATAGCCAATTGTGTTTGAGAGATAGCGAAACTAAGAAAAGTTCAGATGTGATAATGTATGAAATTTGTGTTTTATTGATTAACAGTGTTCTTTCTCATATGATATTATAGAAAACTAATACCTACTTGAATTTAATATTTAAAATTATTGAATTTCTCAACATTTCTTAATAAAATGAAAATGATTAAGTTCCGAAAAGATGTATTACTCTTCTCAGCCTTATATTATAGATTTTGAAATTCCAAAAAAAATTCAAAATTTTAAAAATGGTTTGAAAAAATATGAATTTCATAATAAAAAGAGTAAAATGAAAAAATTTTGGAATCTATAAACTTATTAAAATTAGTTATATTATGGTTTTGAACCAAAATTAATGGTATTTTTCTTATAATTATGATAATTTAATATTTAATTTGGAAATAACGTCATGATTTATTGCCAAAATAGTAAAAATTCAATATTTTAGTTAGAAATTATTTGTTTATTAAGTATTATATAAATGATAAATAAAGAGTGCTATTAAAGCTATTATTATGTATTATCGAACTCAGATTACAACATATTTCATCAACAAAACCTGTCCATATGAGAATAATCTCATGAAACAGAATCCTGGTAGAGAATTTGAGTGATTACACAAATAAATCATAAACACAATGGATGAATCATGCATTTAGGCCGAATGCAACGCAGAGGCTCTGTGCTCAATGATGATAAATCGATGCAGAAGATGGAAATTTAAACGATACAAATTCAATACTATTCAATTTATCGTAAATTCTGAACGATAACACACAATCTGCAAAATGACGACAAAGCCTGAATACAAAGTCCGGGCGCAAGCGGCTATGCATCTTCCCGAAAATGCACAGTGTGCAGATTGTTTAGCAAAAGATCCAAGATGGGCTTCTTCGAAACTTGGCGTTTTTATTTGTATTAACTGCTCAGGTATTCATAGAGGCCTCGGCACACACATATCTTTTGTCAGATCCGTTGAACTCGATCAATGGAAAGAAAATGAAGTCACCATGATGGAGAAAGTCGGAAATGCAAAAGCAAACGCTTATTGGGAAAAGAATTTACCAAAAGATTACGTTCGTCCGAATACAGAGGACCGTGCTGGCATGGAAAAATTCATTACAATGAAATATGTAATGAGAAAATGGGCAGATACAGAAGTTGCCGCTCCAAATGAGCTTATTCTTGATCCAAATGCAAAACCATTCAAGAGAAATACTCCTCCACCAGCTCCTGCCCCCGAACCAATGCCACAAAGGCCTCCAAATCCTCAAATGAATCCATATTACCAAGAAAGCCCAAGAAGGCCTCAAGAGCATCGTATGATCGATGTGGATCCAAACCAAAATGCCAGTGAGGCCTTTGTTTGTATGCCTTTCCCAGATCAAAACTCAAAATCCAAACCACCGCCACAACAGTTCCAACAACCACAAGATAGGCAACACGAGAAAAAGAAGAACGATCCTGACCAGCCAAGTAAGGCAGAAAAGCTCTTCAGCGACGTCAAAAAAGGATTTATGGGATTTGTTCAGAAAATCAAAGAAAGCGTCGACAAAGACGATAAATACGATAACGCAGAACCTCGTGAGTCCACTCAAAAGGAAAAGAAACATGTTTCCGACTTTTTCAAGAGTCATGATAAAGAAAACAAAGGAGAACAGCCACAGAAACAACAAAAACCACAACAAAACAAGCCAATCAAGGGCAACCAACCACCACAAAAGAAACCAGCTACGGATTTGTTCGAAATGGACGGAATTGAGTTTGTCGATAACGAACCAGAGCAAGAACCACCGATAGAGCCCAGGACAAAGCCAGCGCCACCTCCAGAATCCTACAGAAAAGAACAGAAAACAAGTGGAGACTTATTCGACAATCCAGACATCGAAGTACAAGAATCAAGCGACAACAACCTTCTAGAAAACGATTCTACGGATAATAATCCAAGCAACGGCTCAAACAAACAAAATAGCTTTGATCCGTTCGCTGCACCGGTAAAACCATTACAGAATGACTCCAATGACCCATTTGGAGCACCTCTACCTCAAGGAAACGATGCTTTTGGCACTCCAAGCACTCAGCCAAAATCTATTTTGAAGAAAGAGAAACCAAAGCAAGAAAACGACATATTTGGTCTACTCGGAGATTCCGAGACATCTCAGGAACCTCCCCAGAAGCAAGAAACAAAGAACGATGACGTATTTGCTTTACTTGGCGATACAAAGCCTTCTCAACCACAAACATTCGATCCATTCGCAAATATACCATCACAAACACCATCCGAACCTACGAAACCTGCAGAAAGAAAGGCATCTTTCGATCCATTTGCAAATCCAGGCAAACAAAACCCTTCAACAGACAATTTATTCGACCAAAAGTCTACAAATAAGAAGAGTGACTTTACTCCCATCAAATCCCAGAACAACGACGTTTTCGATTTACTTGGAGACTCATCCCAGCAAAAGAAGGGCGATTTCACCCCAATTAAATCGCAACAACGTCCTAAAGAGTTCATTCCAAGTCCTGCTAACTCTGTAGATATCTTCGCTGCACCTCCAGCGAATCAATCAGCAGATCCTTTCGCAAATCCTGGTCCATCATCATATTTATTCGCAAAATCTTCTCCATCGGCAGATTTATTTGGTCAACCAGCCAAAACGAAGACACAAAACAACTTTGCCGATGATTTGTTCGGCCAACCATCAAATCCTCCGAATAATCCATTTGCGAACGCCGCCAAACCATCAAATGCATCAAATGATCCATTTGCCAACCCTCCGAAATCATCTGTTCCTCAATCTTTCAACGATCCGTTCGCAAATCCACAAAATGCGGCCAAATCCACTGATATCTTTGGAAACAAGGCTGCTCCAACCAACCAAATGAACGATCCATTCGCTAGCCCTCAAAAAGCAGCTCCTTCTACAGATATCTTCGGAAATTCACAGAAACAAACGAATCCTGTCAATGTTATGAACGATCCGTTTGCAAATCCACCAAAGAACATCAAACCAACTCCAATTGCAAACGATCCATTTGGAATTCCGCAGAAACCTCAACAAAACCAGCCAAAGACGATGGCAAACGGTCCATTTGCACATACAAGGCCACAGAACAACACAAGAGATCTGTTTGGACCTCCTCAGCAACAAATTCCAAGACAACAAGGATATTCTATGGCAAAGGACGTATTTTCTGCAAAACCACAGCAGCAGAATCAACAGCAACAGCCGAAGAAAGAAGAAAAGCCAAGAGATCCTTTCGCTGGTTTAGCCTGATTTTAATTTTAATTTTTTTTTATTTGTAAGTAAAAAATTAATCTATTCAATATTTAGACAACAGTTTTTTAAAATACATTTGTTTTCAAAAACAAAACTTTTATTGAAATTTTTTATAATTTTCTTTTCTATTTTAATTAGCAAGTCAAAATTAATATATTCTACATTTGAATAACGATTTTCACAATTCATTTATTTCTAGAATAATGTTTATGATGGAAATTTTATATTTTCTTTTCAGTTTTATTTACAAGTAGAAAATCAATCCATTTCCTATTAAAGAGCTTTTCATAGCTCAAATTGGTCACCAACTAATTTTTAATTGGATAAATCAAATCATTTTTCATGATTTTTAGTTTGTTTAGCTATTTGTTAAAAAGTTTTAAATAAATATTTAATAAATTAAAATTATTTATTCTTGAGGGAATGCTTTCATCCACTTGGCCTTGAAGTCTTCAAGTTCATCATCATTGATTGCCTTTCTTGTTTCAAACTGTTCGATATCACCATCTGTATAAATAATCTTCTTGAGTGTCATTGATTGGTTTCCAATTTCTCTTGTTTCTGTAACAATGACAATTCCTGTTTCTTCACTTCGCTCTGTGCGAATTGTGTGCTTAAATCCGCCTTTCTTTGTAATTGTTCTTGTTTCACATGTGAAGTCTTCATCTTCTGGTTCAGAAACTATCTCTTCTGGCTCTTCTTGTTCAGGAACTATTTCTTTTGGTTTTTCTTCTTCAACAACTTCATTCTTCTTATCTTCTACAACAACACCACATTTCTGAAATTCATTGGATGGTTCTGGAACATGGATTGGCTCTTCTAAATCATCCTCTTCTTCTTCATCGTAATCTGAATCTGAAAACTGTTCTTCTTGCTTTGGAAGCTCAACTGGAAGTTCTTCTTCTTTCTTTGGAATTTCGTTTGTAAATTCTTCTTCCTTCTTTGGAATTTCGTTTATAGATTCTTCTTTCTTTGGAAGTTCAACTGGAGGTTCCTGGTTCTTTGAGTTCTCTATTTTGACTGGCTTCCAGAATTCTTCTGCCATTTCCTTTGGAATTCCAAATTCATCAACATCATCATCATTGTCGAAAGTAGGAAGTCTCATGTGAGGAAGATCGAAAAGATCATTATTTTCCATCATTGGTTGAGGAACTTCTGGAATTTCTTTCTTCATCTCTGGCTTTTGAGCTTCTTCCTTTTGTTTTGGTTTTTCAACTTCTTTCTTTTGTTCTGGCTTTACGTTTTCGGCCTTTGGTTTCTTTTCACCTTTATTCTTCTTGTTCTGCTTTGTGATGTTGGATCTGAAGTAAAGATACATTTGTGGGATATCATAATTGTCGTATAAAAGATCATTCAACATATTACGCATTTGGACTCTTCTTGCAACCTCATAGAAGGAAGGAACTCTTCTATAGTAGATTGGGCTCTCGAATACTTCAAACATCTCGAAAAATGAAATGATTCCAGGATAAAATTTTCTCTTATCAAAATTCACTCAAAAATTGGCCGACCAGATTTTTTTGGCAAAATTTTTTGTCGTGCAAAAAAGCCGGACAATCTTCTTTCTCTATGATTGGCTGGGCAAATTGCAAGCAAGATTTAGGCATAATTAGCCGACCTACCACCAACAGCTAGATTGTGCGACTATTAAATCCAAAATCTTTTTATTCATAAAAAAGATTTACAGACAATTATTCCAATTTTGCAAAAGGAGTTTCTAATCATTGTTCCAACTACCAAATTCCAAGAACTCGAATATTTAAATTGGTAATCGTATATTGCAAACAATTTGCTTTATGTTTTGGCTCGAAAAATTACAAGAAGGACTTTGATAATGATAGATTAATATAAATTTTAAATAAACAAAAAAACTTTCATTAATATTTTTTTTTTCTAAATCTCTAATTATTTTGTATTTGAAATTACATCACATGCTGAAATAAACATCAACCTTGAGAAGTCTAAAGTTGAAGAATTCGGAAATTGCACAAATTTAAGGTATTGTGCAATTGCTTCAGCGTTACAAGGTATATCATAAGCAATAAATGGTGCAACAAACGATAAAACATCGTCAAATGACATTTTTCCGTGATTTCCGGTTTGATCTGCGACCCAGGTTTGGATTTTCGTCATGGAAATGAATACTTGGTATGATATATCAGCTGGTGAATACAGAAACTGAAGGTATTCTAAATCTTTTAGTGCATTTCTCAAAATTATTTGAGAATCAATGATTTTTCTGATTGGAAGCGTTTTATATGAAACAGGAACATAGTTTTCAATACCCAATTCAATAGGAGTCTTATTTGACAATTTCTCCGCTTTATGAATAAAATCAACTGAATCTTTAACGGAAAGAAGTTCTGGCTTCAAAGTATAGATCATTGAGAAGCAGATTCTTCTAATCGTAGATCGAATCATCGATTGCTCTTCGTGAGTTTGAGGTTGCAAAAGTAGAACGAAAGAAGTGTTCAATTGGCGTAAATCATCGGGTTTTATCATGAAATCGTCCTTTTTAATAATTTGCTCTGCAAAAACATAAAATCTCTTGATCAAATCGTTGGATATGATAAAGTTATGGAATGAGACATCAAATTGAGTAGGGCTTGCATGGTCTAAAGCTACATTTGAAATGTTAGCGTTCATTTTCAGATCAATTAGGCAATCTTGTAATTGAAACCGTTTTTCTTCATATCTTTTAGTATTTATGTGATTTATCATCGCTTTAATCTTAAACGATGCTTCTTTAATACTCGGTTCTAGGGTAAATTGATCTAATACGTATTTTTGATAATTTGTATCATCAAATAAGAAAAATAAGTTGCAATCTATGCATTTATTGAGCCATATATATGTATCATTGAGAATTTGAACCTTTCCTATGAAAAATTCTGATCTTTTTATTTTATATTCTTCAACTAACTCGTTATAGATTGCAATCGAAGCTTTTCCTATTGTACTATAGTTGTAGTCGCCAGGCATGAAGATAAGATCATTTGGAATAGGTGCTGACGCGAATTTTGTGAATTTATGTTCTAATATCACAATCTGATCAGTAAACATTGCTTTCCTTTCTGCTTCCCCACAGTTCATTGGCATAATCAGATCAAGAAAATGCACAATTTCTGGATTAGGTATGGATAAATCCACAGACATTTTGATTTTTTTTCTCCATCGGTAAAAAAAAAATTTTTTTGTTTCAACAAAAGAAATGAATTTTATTTTTATTTAGGCGGTCTTGTAGGTGGTCTCCTGCCTTTTCTTACTGGTTTCCTTACTTGTGAAGCATTACTAGGTTTTTCTTCCTTCTCTTCTTTAACTTCGCTTTGTTGTGGTTCAGGAGTTTCTTCCTTTGGTTCTTCCCTTCGCTTCGGAAGTCTCTGACCCGGTAAGACCGGGCGGCCGCCGAACGGAATGTTTGCTGCTTGTATTGCTGCAAGAGCTGCGATTTTACCTTTAGCTGCTGGTTTCTTTGCAGTTGCAGCTTTCTTTTGCTCCTCTTCTTTCTTCTTCATCTCTTCTTCCTGTTTGCGCTTTTCTTCTTCTTGTTTCTTCTTTCTTTCCTCTTCTTCCTTCTTCTTGAGCTCTTCTTCTTGTTTCTTCTTTCTTTCCTCTTCTTCCTTCTTCTTGAGCTCTTCTTCTTGTTTCTTCTTTCTTTCCTCTTCTTCCTTCTTCTTGAGCTCTTCCTCTTCTTTTCTCTTTCTCTCTTCTTCCTCTTTCTTCTTTCTTTCTTCTTCTTCCTTCTTCTTGAGCTCTTCTTCTTGTTTCTTCTTGAGCTCTTCCTCTTCTTTTCTCTTTCTCTCTTCTTCCTCTTTCTTCTTTCTTTCCTCTTCTTCCTTCTTCTTGAGCTCTTCTTCTTGTTTCTTCTTTAATTCTTCTTCTTGTTTCTTCTTGAGCTCTTCCTCTTCTTTTCTCTTTCTCTCTTCTTCCTCTTTCTTCTTTCTTTCCTCTTCCTGTTTACGCTTAAGCTCTTCTTCTTCCTTTCTCTTTCTTTCTTCTTCTTCCTGCTTGCGCTTTTCCTCTTCTTGTTTCTTGAGCTCTTCTTCTTTGCGTTTTCTTTCTTCTTCCTCTTGTTTCTTCTTTAATTCTTCTTCCTCTTTCTTCTTTCTTTCCTCTTCTTCTTGTCTGCGCTTTTCTTCTTCTTCCTTCTTCTTTCTCTCTTCTTCCTCTTTCTTCTTTCTTTCCTCTTCTTCCTGTTTACGTTTGAGTTCCTCTTCTTCTTGTTTGCGCTTTTCTTCTTCTTCTTTTCTCTTTAACTCCTCTTCCTCTTTCTTCTTCAATTCTTCTTCCTGTTTACGCTTGAGCTCTTCTTCTTCCTTTCTCTTTCTTTCCTCTTCTTCCTTCTTCCTGAGTTCTTCTTGTTTCTTCTTTTCTTCTTCCTCTTTTCTGATTCTTTCCTCTTCTTGTTTCTTTTTGAGTTCTTCCTCTTCTTTACGTTTTCTCTCTTCTTCTTCTTGTTTCTTCTTTAATTCTTCTTCTTCCTTCTTCCTTCTTTCCTCTTCCTGTCTCTTCTTTTCTTCCTCTTCTTGTTTGCGCTTAAGCTCCTCTTCCTCTTTTCTCTTCTTTTCCTCTTCTTCCTTCTTCTTTCTTTCCTCTTCCTCTTTACGTTTGAGTTCTTCCTCTTGTTTGCGCTTTAATTCTTCTTCTTCCTTCTTCCTTAACTCTTCTTCTTGTTTCTTCTTTAGTTCTTCTTCTTCCTTTCTCTTTCTTTCTTCTTCCTGTTTGCGTTTTTCTTCTTCTTGTTTCCTCTTTTCTTCTTCTTGTTTCTTCTTGTCACTGTCGCTTGATTTCTCTTTCTTCTTTCCGAAAATGATGTCGTCTTCGTCTTCGAAAAGTCCCTTCTTCTGCGAAGGAGCCTTTTCTTCAGATTTCTTGGCAGGAAGAACGTCATCATCATCAAAGAGGTTCTTTACTTGAGAAACTGGCTTCTTTTCTTCTTTCTTCTTCGAAACTAAGAAGTCATCTTCGTCATCAAACAGATTCTTCTTCTTTTGGGCTGGTTTCTCTTCATCCTTCTTCTTTTCTGGTTTCTTTGTAAGAGTTAAGTCATCATCAAACAAATTCTTTTTCTTCTTTTCGACAATCTTTGGTTCTTCATCGAATAAATTGCTCTTTGGAGCTGTCTTCATCTTAGAATCCTCTTCAAACAGATTAGAATTGGTATCGTTCTTCTTCTTCGCTTCTTCGAACAAATCGTTTTTGATTTTCGGTTTCTTCGGCTCATCACTGAACAAATCGTTTGGATTTGGTTTAACCTTCTTCGGTTCTTCACTGAATAAGTCGTTCTTCTTCGATTCTGTCTGTTTTGGAGTATCATCGAATAAATCTGATTTAATTGCTTCAGGTTTCTTTGGTTCTTCACCAAACAAATCATTCTTCTTCGATTCGGTTGGTTTTGGCTTACTATCGAACAAATCTGATTTAATTGCGTCAGATTTCTTTGGTTCTTCGCCAAATAAGTCAGTCTTTGGTGTTTCAGGCTTCTTTTGTTCTTCTTCGAACAATTGGTTCTTCTTTTCTGGTTCTGGTTTGGCTTCTTCGACTTTCTTTGGTTCTGGAGCCTTTTCTTCTTCTGTTTGTGCTTGGTTAAGGATATCATCTTCTGGCTTGACTTCTTCATGTGGTTTTTCTGGTATTCCAGCGAAGATATCTTCATCCATAGCAAAAGCATTAATCTTCTTAGGCTTTCCATCAGTTTTAGCCTTCTTCTGTGGTTTAGGAGCTTCTTCCTCGTCGTTGAAGAGATTTTGCTTTACAGGTGCCGCATCTTTATTCTCAGTCGGATTATCGCCGAAAATTCCTAGTTTCGGATCGCTTTTAACTTCATCTACGTTATCAAAGAGATCGTTTTGAATCTTTGGCTTTGCTGGCGAGCTGAATAATTTATCTTCTAATAATTTCTGCTGAATTTCATTTTCTTTCTTGATTCTCTTCTCTTCTTCCTCTCTGTATATTCTTTCTTGCTCTTCTTTCTTCTTTCTTTCTGCTTCACTTTTCTCCCTCTCAATTTTTTCTCTTTCAATTTTTTCCTTCTCAATTTTTTCTCTTTCAATTCTTTCCTTCTCAATTCTGTCATTTTCTTTTCTCTTTTGCTCATCGAGCTTTCTCTGCTTTTCTTGTTCTTCTTTGAGTTTCAATTGCTCTTCTTGCTCAATTCTCTCTTTTTCTTTTCTTTCTTCTTCTAATTTCTTCTGTTTTTCTTGTTCGAGCTTTCTCTGCTCATCTTGCTTCTTCTTTTGTTCTTCTGCGAACTTCTTTGTCTTCTCTTGTTGCTCTGCTTCGATCTTTTTCTGTCTTTCCATATTCTTTTGAACTTCTTCTTCGAAAACGCTTCCTTTTCCTTTCTTTTTAGTTGGTCCAAACAAATCTATCTGTTGTGGAACAACTTTGAGTTTGTCAAGTGATGGTTTTTCGAAAATATTTTCATCGAATAAGGAAACTTTTGGTTTCTCTTGATTCTGAGTATCTCCACTGGCAGAAGGAAGAGTAAACGCGCTCTTGTTCGACTTCTTATTTGTTTTCTCGCCTGAATTGAACAAGTCATCAGATTTATCTTGGTTTTGTGCTGTTTTAGCAGCAGAATCTTGTTCACTGTCGATATCAACCAATTTATCTTTCGGTTGTTCGGCATTTGAAACTCTCTTTGTTTTATTCTTTTTAATTGGAGTAATTCCTGTATAATTAAGGCCGAATTCTCCATCATCCTGAGTTGGTTGAAGTTTTCCTGCACGTAAAAGATACATATCTCTTTCAGTTGTGTTTCTAGCAAATAATAATTCAGCTTTTTCTTTGGAAATCTTTTCTTCGTCTTCTTTGAACTCAATAGTTGTTGATGTTGATGTCGTAGATGGTCCCAAATCTAAATCCAAGTCAATATCTTTACGTCCAAATTTCTTTGATTTTGTTTCTTTTTGTTGAACTGGTTTCTGCTTTGGAGCACTTGCTGCAAATAAATCTACAGCCTTTGGAGCAGGAATTGGTTCTTCATCGTCAAACAATTGCTTATTTTGCTTTGTTGTGTCTAATCCTTGCTGTGGAGCGACATCATCGTCATCATCACCAAATAATGCTTTGTTGGCAAGTATTGGATTTGGCTTTGGTGGTTGAACTTCTTGTTTTGGAGGTTCATCGAATAATTTATCATTTTTAGGTTGAGATTTTTCAACTTTTTCGACCTTTTCTGGTTGAGAAAGTATTGGATCTTCATCTTCGTTGAAAAGAGCTTTCTTTTCGGATGAAGTAGTTTGCTTTGGTAAATCTTGTTCAACTTTTGGTTTTTCTTCAATTATCTGGGGTTGAGATTGCGATTTTTGTGATGACTTTGGTTTTGTATCACCAAAAATATCAATAACCTGTGGTTTATTGGCTTGTTCTTTATCTGACAATCCAAACAAATCATCCTTTCCGAATAATCCATCGTCTTTGGATTTATTTGTATCACGCTTTGGCTTTTTAGCTGATTTATCCTTTGATATCTTTTGAGTAGGAGTGGATTCATCAAATAATGACGATGCCTTCGAAGATATTGGCTGATTCTGAGCAAAAACATCTGTATTTTGTTTAGGTGATTGTTCTTCCGTTGTTTTTACTGGATTTTCGGCAGATGCTGATTGTTTTTTCTTTGATTTCGCAGAATTATCATCTCCAAAAAGATCAACAACTTTTGCAGATGGTTGCATTCCAGTATCACCGAATAAATACATTTTATTAGCTGGTGCTTTTTGTTTCGATTTTGATTTTGGAGTTTCATCATCGAAAAGATTAACAGATTGTGCTGGTTTCTTTTTTCCTGCTGTTTGGCTCTTATTATTTGAATTACTAGTGTTATCATTCTTTTCGCCAGCTAATGAATTTGATTCGGATGTTGCATTTTGCTTTTTTTTCTTTTGGATGTCAGTGAAAAGATCATCGCCACCAAATAAGTCTTCTCTTATCTTCTTTTGTGGCTGAGACCCATCCATTTTTCACAAAATTAATCTCGGAAAACGATAAAAACGACACTTTTTAGTCAAATCTTCGATCAGGAATTTTGTCATTATTTCAAGCTCGGAAAGAGATGATACATCGTAAGCACACGATGACGTCATAAAAATGAACTAGCGTTGAACAGTATGAGCCGGTTATTCGTGCATTTGCTTATTTCCTTCTTTTCTTAGATTTCAGATTCATTACTCTTCACATTTTCTAATTTCATGAGATAGATATGCTATATTCGTTGTGTATGTTAAAATTTGTTTGATAAGCATCAATTCCTTCGAGTTGTTAAAAGGGCATATTTATTTCGATTTTAAATTAACCATATGAATGAAGGTGATTGTAACTGATATGAACTATTTGATATGATTTCACATTCATATTGACACAAAAGATTTTTGCAAGATATTTTTGTAAAAATATTAAACAGATCAAATTAGGTATTGAAAGATTAACTGTATGTATCTAATGAAAATAAATAATGTATATCTTTCTATCTTACATGGATAAAAATTCTAATCAGTGGGTTTATCATGTATAATATCCATTGAGTATGATTGCGATTCAATGGAACTAGTTAAGAAAATCTAATGCTCATAAAGAGTTTTGTTATTATATCATCCAATTTCAAAATTTAGATATTAATATACTCATATACTAAGATAGTTTATTTCAGAGCTCTGTTTGTCCATTGCATATTAAATTGCTAGTTCATTACGCGATAGTTCTGATGCAATTTCCTCAAAGATTTGATAATTATCTTTTTTTTGTCACGTAAAGTGTCAATTGTTTGCTCAAGTGTATCGTACAGACTCTAATAATGGAGCCCACAAAACAGGCTGGATTATATAAGCCAGTTAATACAACAGAATATCTTACAAAATACGAAAAAGCTCGTGTCCTTGGTATCAGGGCTATGCAAATTGCAAACGGAGCTCCTGTCCAAATTGATATTGGCTCAGAAGTCGATCCATTGAACATTGCTGAAGAAGAACTCAAGCAAAAGAAGACACCTCTTATCATTCGCCGTACACTTCCAGATGGTACTTATGAAGATGTTGCTGTTAACGAATTAATTGTCATTAACGAGAACCTTGTTTTATAAATATACTATTCTAAAGGCTATAGAAATACAACACCTACCTTTTTTATTCTTTTTTCTTTACAAATAATTTTTGAAATTTCAAAAAAACATTGATATATAATATATTAAATCTTTATGAAAACAACAAACATACAAACATTTATTATTTAAGAAAAATATTCTCATATTTAGAGTAGTATTCTTTTGCATCAGCAAATTTATCCTTATCCTTTATATTTTCAATAGGGGTTTTACCATCTTTATTCTTTACATTAGATTTCAAATCCATTGCAAGTAATCTATCTGTTATCTCTGGATCTGATGAAAAAGCAGCAGAATGCAAACAAGTATTACCGAGTTCATCAACTATGTGGACATCAGCATGAAGAACATCAACCAAATAGTTGAACATTTCTAAATCATTGACTTCTATTGCAAATTGAACTGCTGTCATTCCAATTTCGCTTTTCAAATTTACGTCTAAACCATTTTTGATGAGTAAATCAATAATTTTCGTATTGTGCGACATTGCAGCATAATGGATAAGATAAAGGCCATCTTCATCTCTTTTCATGAAGTCAATATCTTTATGAATTTCTATGATTTCAAGTAAGATTTCAAATTCTCCTTTCAAGACAAAAAATTTAAAAATTCTGAAGTAATCTAAATCGAGATTTTGATCAAAAAGAGGCCTCAATAATGAATAAAAACCTTTCCATGCCAAGTATTGATACGATACATTGATATCCTTAATGCTTTTGAAGTAGAAATACGCTTCATAGTTCGAATGCAACAAACATCTTTCCAAAAGATTTTCAGTGATTTCTATTTCATTTGCAAGAACATAAAACCTCGGATTATGATACTTAACAGCATGAATGACAATTTCTTCAATATCTGGAAAGTCATTTGTTTCATCACATATCTCAATAATGTCATTGTTTTTTCCTGCAATTGCTGCTAAAACAACATTTTTATCAATGATTCCTCCTTTATCTTTTATCAATCGAAAACTCTTGATTGATCCATAATAAGCACTAAGTTCTAATGGAGTTCGTGTAAGTCTCCATGTTTCTGGTCTTTCCAATGGCCTGTTCGCAAACCATTCTATTGGTGAATGGAAAATTTTGCCATTAATTTTGAACTTTTTTTTGGTCAAATATTTTTTCAAAGTAGAAGGATCATCGTGGTAGATGGAATACTGAATGCAATTTGGAGGGTATATATCAGCCCACTTTCTATCCTCTATTCCGGCTTGAATTACATTTAAAGCGCATTTATAATATGCGCAATAATGAGGATCATCTTCAATGTATTCGAAAAGGTCGGGAAAGAAACATGTAAATCTATCGTGACGTTTAACTAATCTTTTTAAATCTTCTGCTTGATAATCTCCTGCTTTATAAATATATTGCATGAGTGAATATGAATCAACGTAGTAATAAATGTATTTTGTAAGATTTGCAATACGAGTTCTTAGTATAGTTAGTAATTTGTTTGCTAATTTAGTGTATCTTGCATTAATTCTTGTGAATTCAGTAAGAATTTTGAAAAATTCTCTATAATATTGAGGTTTGAATTCTTTATCAAGGAATTCAACGACTTGATCTATGCTATCTTCTGTTAAATCATAGAGAAGTTTATACATTTGAAATATTACTGAAAATTCAGGTGGCACTTTCAGTGATAATAACTGGTGTATCTCATTCGCATACTTAGGACTTTCTAGAGAGGGATTGTTTGAACCCTCTTCAAGGGAAGTCATTTTTCTGACTTCAAGGCTCATATCACAAACATGAAATCTATATCATTTGTTTTGAACAAATTCCATATTCATAGTCGGAATGACCCAAGTGCTAGGATTTGTAATGTAATTAATATAATACCGGAGACGATGAATTGATTTATCGAGAATAAAAAGAGCTCTCATCCTCTATATACCATATTATACATCACTTGCTAGTATCCTTACTCCTCATTATTAAATTTCTTGAAAAGGTTAATGAAATATATCATATTAAGATGCAAAAGCATTTCCATCAACTATTTTAGATGTGTGATGATATTTATTTAAATGAAATTAGATTCATTCAAAAAATGAAAAATATTTATTAAGTATTTTATATTATTTCAGTTTCGGACTTAAACATTCAACAAATATAGTACATGGAAATCATTAGATTCAATGATATGGTCGCCAAATTCTTACTATGCTGTTGATTGGATCTTCCGGCTGATCAAAAGTAGTTTAATTTCATTAATTTTAAAATAATGGCTAGAAATAAATTAAAACTTGAGAAATAAATCATATAGAAAGAGTAAAGTTTTTACCAAATGACGGAAGTTGGAGAATTTAAATAAAAAGGAATAACAATTATGAATAAAAGATATTTTTATAGATAATTTAACTCTTTAAAGTGAGATTCTAAATATTTATTGATCTGGTTTTGTTGATTCGTTTACAAATGAGAATTATTCCTTAATAGTTTGATAGCCTATAACATAGTATTTCTTTTTATTAGAATTAGAGCTCAATCTTAAATCAGATAAAATGACAGTATGAATTGTCACGTTTTATGATAAATTGTCACTTTTAAATTGACCTGCGGTCTTTTGAATGAATTGACCTAAGGTGTCAAAATGCACGTTTAATTGAGAAGATGTATTTGACATCAGTTTCATAAAAATAAAATCGAATAAATTCTAGCTAAAAAAGAGTTTAAAGTAATATCAGTAGTGAATTTTTAATAATAAACTAAAAATATCAAACAAGAATAGAAAATAACAAGAATAAGGCCTAAAGCAGCCTAATTCTCATGTGAGCTGGGAACTCAAATATCTCTAAGTTGAGTTCTGGGGCTGGACTATCTTCCTGACTTGTTGAAGTATTAGATTCTTTTGCGATAGCACGTTCACGTCTGGCATTTCTTCTCTTAAGGAATTTGAATCTGTTCTTTGCCGAAATAGCTGTTCTGCCTGGCATTGATGAAGCGATTGATGCCCATTTATTGCCTTGTTGAGATTGCAAGATAAGAAGCTTGGCATCTTCTTCAGCTGACCATTCATCACGATTGATCGAAGGGTCTAAAACAGTGATCCATCTTTCGCGGCATTGTTTTCCTGATCTGCCAGGGATATGTTTAGCAATTTGGTCCCACATGTATGGACCAGACTTGTGGACACATGATAAAAGTAATTCATCTTCATCAGCAGACCATTTCCTCTTGATAATAGGATGGTGGGTGGAGCGGTTCATGTTATAAATAAATGATTAAAGAAAAATCTATGCATTCAATTTTTGAAAGACTGATTACACGAAACTAAAACTCAAATCATTTATTCAATTAAACATATTTAATGGACATGTTTTTTAAAAAGTAGATCAAAAACCGATCAAAATTTTTTCATTATGATTGAACACAATTTTTGTTAAAGAGTGAATAATGACTGTATGGGCAGAAATGATGATATAAAATTCTAATTCAATTATTACAATTCGACTGATCATACCGAATTTAAATTAGTTAATTCAATTTTTTTTATTTTCATATCTTTATAAATATCATATTTAAAATAAAAGATACTCGACCAAATCGCTCCTTTCAAAATTGATGTTTTCTCAAATTTTATTTTAAGAAGTCAGAAGAATTAGACCATTTCCCCTGCAATTTAATTATATTCATTCATTTTGAAAACCTTGATCAGATAATTTCTTTCAATTAAGGGTGGCTTCCGACCCAATTATCACTTTTTAGCCCAAGTGAGAAAATTTCGTAATTTATAACCAAGTTTTTAAAAATCTATATTTAATAAAGATTCTATTTTTCTTATTAAATTTCAAAAATGAGGGGGTTCGGAATCGTCCACAAATTGCCGAAAGGGTTTTTGCCAGTTTTGAATCCGCTTATTTTTATCGACCAAAATTATAATAAATATAATTTTCGATAAGTATTCTACCCAAATGATTCTTCAAAAAATTATTTTTCGGATTTTATTCCGTAAAAAAACGTTACAGAAAACGCCTAGAAAATTTCGAATTTTCCCTAAAAAATTCAGTGCAGGTCGATTTAAGAGATTTTTCAAAAATAATCATATCAGTAGATAGGGTATAATATAGAGGAGCTTTATGAATAACTCAAAATCCGGGAAACTCAATATTCAACGAGAAAAACGCTTAACGAATCTCACTTTTGGTGGAAACATCACAAAAAATTGAGAGAGCTTTCTGGTCGGAAGCCTCCCTTAATTTTCAATAAAAATAATGAATCAGATCCAAAAATTTTTTACAAATAATTCCTTCTTTTCATAGATACCTATGCATATTCAACATCTTGATTTTTTTTAATTTCAAATTTATCGGGAAGTATAAATATTTTTCAGATCTTTGAACACAATAAACACTTTTTTTTCACACACGAAAGTAATCTGAAAAATGTTCTCAAATTCCATTCATCTGATCACCAAATTTTGTATCACCATTTACTCATGTTTCTTACTAGGATTCTATTATTTTATACCTATCTCATTTTTTTTACAATTATTTTTTGTTTCCACTTTTTATTTCCTTCCCAATACTAACGACTTGATTCCTATTTCACTTGTTTGATGACAAGTCATGTTTCCTTTGAACCACCAAAAATATTTTATTGAATGATATTTTCTTAAATTTCAAGTTCAAATAGTAATATTTATAATTCTAACTAAATGTACAACTCTATGCTCATCATTTTGCTCCATCATATTTAGTGTATTCAAACAATACAATTATTTTTGATTTTGTATCATAATGTTCAGGAATAGAATGTTTGAAATGAAATCTTAAGTATAGGTTAGCTCGATATTAGATACAAATAGGATAAACACACTTCAAAAGTCAGTCATGGCTTGACTTATTTGGAATTATGGCCAATTTTATTGAAATACGAAATCTATTACCAATACATTCAAAGAAATAAAGACATATAAAAATCAAGAACGTTCAGCTTTAAATTTATAATCAATTGATCAAAATATAATAATTTGGAGCATACCCACGGTTATATCAACAATGAACTCTAATATAAAATATTGAAATAAAACCCTCATATAAGCTATATTATTTTTTTTATTTAATTTCAATTTTATTGATAAATCTAAGGGGTAAATCACTATGTTACTAGATTGATTTTTATTTTCTTGGAAAAGCAATTCATAATTCACACATTTTTGAAATCCCTATATTTATTATTGCTTTTTTTTCTGTTACAATGCAAATAGTTTATCATCAATTTTAATACATTAGCATTTCTATATGAAATGAATAAGACTGGCATGTATGAAAGGCGGAAAAAATCATAAGACGTGATTTTTAAAACCCAATCCTGATGCCACCTCGAGAAAAGAGAGAATGGGGCAATGACAATGGAAAGGGATTAAATCTCCCATCCAAGTTTAAACGAACATATAAACAAAGTCAAGATAATAGAACACCTCCGTTTAAAACAGTAGATGAATGCCAAAAGATACTCAACGAAATAGAACATTCTAAAATTACATATGTACCAAACGATATTCAGGAATACATCAATGAGCTTAAATCAAAAACACAAGAAATTAATAAAATTATTGAATTTATATTAAATAAGCCTAATAAAGATATATTTCAGTGTTTGATATCAGTAATAGGTATAGATGATGAAGAATATAGTGATCAATTTCCAGCAAATATCGCCGAATTATTTTTTAACAATGAAGGCTTCAAACTTTTCAATAATTTGCCAATCATTATCTACAAGTTGAAAAGCAATGATGCTTTTCAAGAATTTCAGAACTTCATGATTCTGATATGCAATCATAATAAAAAACATATTGATTTCTTAATAACTATGTTGACAGATTCAATCTGGGCAGATTTTGATAACCAAGAAAACGCTGAACTCCTTAAATCAAAGCTTATCAAGCTTAAAGAAAAGGAAAATAATCAAAATTTGGGATTTTTCAAGTGTTATCCAGATGCAACTGCATTATCGACACCATTAAAAGTCAAGAATAAATATGAAACCGGATATCAAAGCGTTGTTGAATATCTAGAGACGATAATACAGATGGAAAGAGAAAATTTCATTGCACCCATTAGGCAGCAGCTAAAGAAAGATGAATTTGATGATATTGACATGTATAGATACCATAATGTATGCATTTATCCTCAAAAAGTTACAGATCCGAAAGTATTGGATGATTACACATGTTTTTTATACTTCGAACCTCTATTTCGAGGAAAGAAAAGGGATATAGTCTGGGAGGAAGAAGAAAGATTAAGACAGGGAAGTATATTACTTTTATCAGAATCAAAAAATTGCATTAAAATTGAAGCAATCTGTATTTCATGCATTCCTACATCTAAAGATGAAAACCTTTTCAATAAATTCCTTGAATTCCTCTACAGCGGAATAGTCCCTGTCAAAGAAGTTGATGGACACGTTCATCCAGGCAAGAAATATTATGCCTTCGAGCCACTTGAAATATTTAAAGTGGTATTGGTCAGAATGGAATCGATTAAATTAATGAATGAAAATCCTTTTCCTCATCTTGCCAAATCAGTCGTTTTCCATAACTTTGAACAAGTTTTATCAGCAGATTCCAATGATATTATCTATAATTTTGGAGTTTTAAGAAAAGATCATTTTCCATCATCTCATGGATGTGCATCCGACAATTAGTTTGATGAAGAAACCATAAATACTGGCCTTTGTGTTGATAAAGAGCAATACTCAGCCATCAAGCACTTTGTTCAATTTCCATTGACATTAGTTAATGGTTATCCAGGCACAGGTAAGACATATTTAGCTAAAGAAGCCATTAGACTTCTTTATAATTCCGATTATAACAAGCCAATTGTTGTTATCACACAAACAAACCATAGCCTTGATGTTTTTCTCGAAGGAATTCTCGAATTTGTTGATGAAAATTCGATCATTAGACATGGCGGAAGGTTCAAAACCGAAAACCCAACAATTAAAGCACTTGCTCTGAATAATAAGAACCTCAGAGATTACTATTCAATGACAGATTTCTCTGAAGAAAAAGACAAAATGAAAAACATCACAGAAAAGGTAACCAACTACACAATAATGTTGTCTTATCTTTATGAGATTGCAAAAAAGATCGATATGTACATCAAAAAGCCCGCTCAACCACTGCTTAATGAAATCGAGTTTTTGCTCTGCAAATATATCATTCCTTTGACACCACATGTCGATTTCAAAAAGTTTTTCATTCTTCCTTTCTATCCAAATGTTATCAAGAAAAATAGTAAAAAAATGCCAAAGAAAAGTGATTTCATTAAATATTGGGTTCATGATACATTTATGAAAGAAATGAAATCATTAGGAAAATCTCTTCATATCAAAGTATTGGATCCGAAAAATGAAGTGTTAACCATGGATTACAATGAATTTAGAGATAAGGAGAATGATTATGATGGAGATTTTCTTTCTGATGACATCAATGTTGAATATTTAAACATTGACTTAAAATTCCAATCTCCGCAATTGGTTAAACCAAAACCTGTTGAAAAGAAAGTCAAAGCAAAAGATGATTCTGATGATGATTCCGAGGATGCATCAACTGATGATGATTTTACTCCAGCAGATGAAAGTCTCGTCGATACAGGTTTGTTGGGATTGAAAGACTTATCAGATGAAGAAATTTTATCAATGCATGATGATCTCATTGATACATATCTCAATGAAGCATTGAAGAAATCAAGAGAAGAACCAAAAGAAAGGTTCAAGTTGATGTTGAAATTTATCCAACAGGCATTGACAATCATTACAAATCAGAAAGATACATGCATTTTGCAGAAAGAAACAATAGCGAAGATGCTTGATGAAGAAAAGAATAAAGCTTTTGGAGAGTACTACAAAAAGTTCAAAGTTATTGGACTTACAGCAAGCTACGCAACAATGCACAGAATGGCAATTGAACAATGTGGCTGCGAGTTCATGATCATTGAAGAAGCAGGTGAATTGACAGAAGCAATCACAGCATCTTTCCTTGGCAAATCAATCAAACATTTGATGATGATTGGCGACTTCAAACAATTGAGACCAAAAGTTGATTACTTGGTCCGACAAGAAAAGAATCCAATGTTATCATACGACATTTCACCATTTGAAAGACTTGTATTGGCAGAACAAGCCAAACAAGGAAAAGATCTCTTCCTTTTGACTGTTCAACGTCGTATGCATCCAGAGATTTCCAAGTTAATTAGGGAACATTTCTGCCCAGATATTCAAGATGGCCCGAATGTTTCTAATCTTCCTATTTGTTCTGGACTTACTAACAGAGTCAACTTCGTTTTATCAAACAATTTCACAGAAGATTCAATTGCAACTTCAAGATCTAAATACAACTCAAACGAAGCAGATTATGCTGTTGCATTAGTTTTCTTTTTCTTGTTCAGAGGATTTTCTCCTAAACAAATCTCAGTCATTACATTGTACAAAGGACAAGCAAAGAACATCAGGAACAAACTTAAGGAATATTGGATGACCAAAAATAAAGAAAGAGAATTTGATGATTACAATCCTTTGCTGCTTAGTGAACAAAAAATTGAAAACGTTTATGTACAATGCATTGATAACTATCAAGGCGAAGAAAATGATGTAATCATTGTTGCAACAACAAGATCTGAGAAAATTGGATTTGTTAAGACCGAAAACCGAGCTTTAGTTACTCTTTCAAGAGCTAAATGCCATTTAGTTGTTCTTGGAAATGAAACACTCTTAGCAAAAGAAGAATCAGGAATTTGGAACAAAATCATTGCATCATTAGATACATTATACATCAATGCAAAGAAGCCTGGTATTTACATTGAATGCCCTCATGAAAAAGTTGTCTTAGATACTCCAAATTTGCTTTGGGAGAAAAGGTTTGGCAACTGCCATCGCATTATCAAAATTCCTCTTGAATGCGGTCACACAGCAATTCAATATTGTTCAACAAAGCTTCTTCCATGCCAGAAAAAGTGTCTCAAAGTTTGCCCTGGATGCAAGAGACAATGTGGCGTGGTTTGCTTCAAATGCCAACAAAATGGATGTCCGAAATGTAAAAAGTCGGTTGATTATGAATGCACATTGCATCACAAAACAACAGTCGAATGTTATCAAAGACAGCATGTTAAGGCTGAAATCGAAAAAGTTTTACACAATGCAGGACTCATTCAGGTTCTAGATGTTGAAATTACTCCAGAAGTAATTCAAAAATTTGTAGACCAATTAGATCCAATTAATCAACTCAGGATCGAAAACTTGAAAAGATCTATCTGTTGGCATCAATGTGATGAAACTTTACCATGCGGCCACAAATGTACGGCAAATTGCAATCACATTTACAATCATGAGCCTCATGTCTGCACTGCATTAGTTGACTACACGTGCGAAACATGCAATAGATCTCAGAAAATAAAGTGCGGGGATAAATTTAAATGCAGATTAGATTGCTTAGATATTCTTTATTGCGGTCACAAATGCCAAGGAACATGCGGTGATCCATGCATCTGCAGACGAAGATGCGATTATATCTATCCATGTGGACATAAATGCACAAGATTCTGCAGTGATAAATATGATCATCAACATTTGTCTTGCTCTGTATGTGAATTAATATATTCTCATTTGGAGTCTTATGACTCTAATTTCAAGTGCGAAACATGTGGTAGAATTTGTAATGATTTCTTCGAGACAAAATCATGTGAACACAGATGCGATAAAGAATGCGATATTTGTAAATCAAAATGTTGCTCATGTTTCGGTGAAAAATGTGTTTTCTGTTGCGACCATGACTGCAAAGCAAAATTCCCAGAAAACGAAACACTTTTCCGTCCAAACAATTGCAATTGCGTCATGACCCTCAAAGAAGCAAAAGAAGCAATACAAGCACAGTTCAAATCAATGACTGATCCTGACTTAGAAAATCCGGAACAATTGACATATTTGCATTGTCCAAATTGCGATAAACCAATTACAAATTCATGGATTTTCACCAAAGAGATTAGAATTGTCAATAAATTGATCAAACAAAGAGATGAAGAAGCTAAAAAACTTTTAGAATTTTCTGAATCTTCAAGCAATGAAGACTACTGTCGCCATCTCTTCAAAGTTGTTGCCTGCAGCTGTGGCAAAGTCAACTTCTTTGATTGCAGTCCAACTGATGCAAATCCAAAAGGAGAGATTTTCACTTATAAGTGCTCTTGTGGAAAAACATACACTTTCACAAAAGATGACAAAAAGAAGAAATTGGTAATTGAAAAGAAATCCAACAATAAAAAAGGCAAGAAACAGCTTGAAAAAGAGAATCAGCCAAAAGGAAATGATTCAAATGATAGCAATTCTTCTGCTGATCAGAATCCAACTCCTCAAAAGAATGAAGATCAGAATGGAAGCAAAGCATCCAACAAATCGCAAAACTCAAACAAGACTGGTCAAGGAGAAGATCAAGATCAAAAGCCAAATTCTAATCAGGATAAAAATGGTAAAGGATCAAAGCGCAAACAGCAAGAGAATTTGTATGCACCATATGTTCCTAAACAAAGTAATGATGAAGAAAATTCTCAAAAGAACCAAATTGATGATTCATTACCAAAGGAATCTACTTCATCTGAACAAGAAAAAGATGAAGGATCATCTCCACAGAAAAATGAACAAAACAAAAATGGAAAAGGACAAAAGCGCAAACAGCAAGAAAATTTGTATGCACCATATGTTCCTAAACAAAGTAATGATAATGGAGATGTGCGCAAGGATCAAATTGATGAACAACCACCAAAGGAGTCTTCATCTTCAGCCACACAGAAGCAAGAACAAAACAAAAACGGCACAGGATCAAAGAAGAAGCAAAAAGATAATTGGTTCAAAGAATACATTCCTTCTGAAAACAAAAATGAAGATAGTGATGGATCTAATGATATATCTTCTTCCAGCCAGGCTAAGGATCAAGAACAGATATCAAAGGGAAATCCACAACAGAATCAAAACAAATCTCCTAAAAATCCAAAGAAAAACAAAAACTTCAAAGCTCAAGAACAGAAGCAGATTCCTCCCAAGAAAGAAGATGCTGATTCACATGATCAAAAATCTCAAACAGGTAAAACAAAAAATAAAAACAAGGAGGATCTTTACAAACCTTATGTTCCAAAAGAAACAAGTCAAAATGATGTTGTTCATGAACAGAATCAAAATGATATGAAAAGCCCAAAGACCCAACAGAACAAACAGAATAAGAAGAAGTTTGGGAAAAAGGATGGCAAACAATAATTAATTTTTAACAAATTTTGTTATTTTTTATTTTTATGTATAAAATTTTATATATTTTGCTTGATAAAGTATTATATTTGTTTTTCAATAAAGAATTAACAATATAAAAATATGTAGAAATTCAAAATGCTATATTTAATATTAAGATATTAAAGAAATTGAATTAAATGTAAAGGTTTCGTAGCTCAGTAGGTAGAGCGTAGTGCTGATAACGCTAAGGTCTTGGGTTCGAGCCCCAGCGGAACCATTTTTTATTTTTCAAACGAGAACTTTCTCCTATGAATTTATCTTTTACGACCATATGCTTTGCACGTTCAAAAGGAAGACTGGTCTCCATCTAAACGATCTATTTTTTAACTGCATATCTAAACAAAATCGGAAATTATTTTTGGTATGTCGGAATCATCGGACATTCCCATTAATTAAGACTTAGCCACTTTTAGACGACCAATTCCTATTCTTAATTCAACGAGACTTGTGTTCAAATTTGATCAATCTTCCGAAATAAGAGTACTTATTCTATTTTAAATCAATGTGCCATCAATGTTGTTTCCATATACAGGGAACTACAGAAAAGCGTCGCCGAAAATTTTCATGGGAAAAACCCACAGAATGGTTTTGAAAACCTTTTCACGTTATTAGATCTATTAAAATGCATATCATTAAAAACAATAATGCTGACGGTAGTTTCGTTTTTTTGAATGTACACCGGTAATCTCAATTTTTAACAATATTTTGAATACTCCTAATTTTCAACAAATTGAATGGATAGAACGATAACATTCTGAGACAACCAATTTTTTTACATCGACCATGTTATCCCATTTCATAGCATTTTCTCAGTCATATACTCTTAGTAGCACATTTCAAACCCATCAGCCCGATTTCAATTACAATCCACAACTCGATTTCTCGATTTCAGATAGAATAAACACACAGGCTAACTTTCAAGCATCAACAATATCTGGACTATCGAAATCTACTCGCACTTACTTCAGAAGTGTCATCAAAACTAAAGATTCTACATTCAAAGATTGTTACGCGTTCGGAGTTGGCTTAACCATGGGTTCTGGTGGCGCCTTCTATCTTTCAGTTAGTAATTTAGATGCAGAGAATACCGTATTTGAGTCAAACAACGCTTTAAACGGCGGAGCTCTTTCATTAATGGCAGGAAACTTATTAGTAAGCACTTCAACATTTAAAAACAATCTTGCTTATGAAAACGGAGGCTCCATTTACGTGACATCAAGTAAATATGGACTTTTTACAGAAATTGACGAAAATATCGATAATGCAGTTAAATTTGAGAACCAGCCATCAGTATACATATCAGATAATACTAAATTTACCTCAAACTCCGCAAATAACTACGGAGGAGCTCTCTATTCCCGTTCTGTCAAAGAAATGATAATTAAAAGCTGCATTTTTGAGCAAAACCAAGTTCAATTAGCAGGATCCGCTATATTCCTTAATTCCACACCATCAAATATCAATGACAACCAGTTTAATTCCAATATTTGCAAATTTAAACAAATTCAAGCGGGATCATCATCAATTTTCAAGCAAAAAATGTTCAAAACATCAACACAAGCTAATGGTGGTGCAATATGTATATATTCTGACTCAAAATCTACAGGAATTTTAACAAATCAAAATAAATTTGACAAAAATGCAGTTAGTGGGACATATTCATACCTAATGGATGTACCAGCAGACATATCATTCGCAGGTAATGCTGAAATCCAATGGATTTCATCAGGAGAATGCCATATGAATTATAATTTAGATTATCCTCATTTAATCACTTCAATTAAGTTCCTTGATTGTTATTCTTTATCACCATTCACCAATATCACAGAGAAAGGCCTTGGAACTCCTTCATCCTCTAACCAAAATTTTGAAAATCAAAATTACGACGATAGAACCTCATTTACGCCCAATTCTCTTCCTAGCACTCCATCTCCAAACCCTGAAGAGAATCCAGTCGTTATTTAGACCGTTTCCAACGTAATTTCAAATAATTTTGAAAATTTCAAAACCGTTTCCATTTCTCCGCCAACTCCATCTAGATCTCTTGTTTTCTTTGTCCCAGCCAGAACCAACAACAACGGAAAGTTCACCAAAACGATGACAATTGTGAAATCAGAGTATTTTTCATCGACATCAAAATTAACAATGATTTTGACACGAACAACAAGTGTTTCTGATAATCATTACTACTATGTGAGTACTTATCAGGAGACATATGTTGTTATTCCAGTGATTGTCGAAACAGATGTTGAAATTGAATCATTTATTGAAGAAAGCAAGAAAGAAGCACCAAAAGACAAAAAGACAACAATATACATTGCTATTGGTGCAGCTCTTGCATTTCTAATCATAATTTCACTGATTTTGATTTTTATCATCAGAAAGATTAGAAATAGTGATGATGATGACAACTCATCCACTTCTGAACTGTTTATACAGTCAGAAGCACCTAAAATCAGTCAATCAATGACAACTACGTCAATGACAGTTGACAATCCTCTGTTTTCTACAACTGTAGACCAAGATGATCCATTCAAACTCGAATTCGACTCCAGTTCAACAATTGACGAAGTTGGCTGCGAAAATGGTCCTCTGACTCTTTCTGACTCTGCTGAAAATACTTCTGGATTGGAAGAACTTTAAATTGTTTGTTTAATTAAAAATCTTTGTTTTTTTTACTATATTCATTAGTGATTTTTAAAGTGATTGTTTTAGAGTCTCTGAATATGACTTACTTATTGGTTTGCTTTATATTGTTTATATTATGATTTCATTGTTGAGATACAGATAAGACACAGATATTAGTTTGCTTTATATTGCTATTTCTTTATGGATTATCTGTATTACTTCAATGATAAGAAATTTATAAATTATTTATCTTATGACTTCATTGATAAGTGATTTTTAAAGTGTTTGTTTTAGAGTATCTGTATAAGACTTAGTTATTAGTTTGCTTTATATTGTTTATACTATGACTTCATTGTTGAGATACTGATAAGAAACAGGTATTAGTTTGTTTTATATTATTATTTCTTTATGGATTATCTGTATTACTTCAATGATATAAGATTTACAAATTGCTTGCTTTATTTTTTTTTTTTAAAATTGTTTTTGACTTCATTGATAAGTGATTGTTTTAGAGTATCTGTATAAGACTTAGCTATTGGTTTGCTTTATATTGTTTATATTATGACTTCATTGATGAGCGATTTTTAAAGTGTTTGTTATTGATATGAGACACAGATATTAGTTTGCTTTATATTGTTATTTCTTTATGGATTATCTTTATTTATTAATTGTTTGAGAGAATGTCAGAAACTAGTAAGTGCACCCTTAAATAAAAATCTTTGTTTTGACTTCATTGATGAGTGATTTTTAAAGTGTTTGTTATAAATTTAGTAAATACAATATCTCAGTATTGAAGGACTTTAAATGTATGATAAATGTTCAATCTCAATTTATCATTTGTATAAGTCTAATTTATTAATTTTCTCTATACAGTAGTTTTTTTATAGAATAATATCCTTATCATTGTATAAATTATACAAATGATAACTGTGTGCCTTCATTGATTTACATAAGGAGCCTTGCAAGAACAATATATTTCTATAATTAACATATAAGCAAAGTTTGAGCTCAAATGGATCAGGGGAATAATGATGCATCAAATCAATTGTCATAAATTTGAATTATGGTCAAATAGAAGGTTTATTAAATAGCACAAATAAGGAAATAAAAAAGAATACTAAATGATATCCTATATCTTTCAAAACATGATGCAGCATCAGGATATGCAAGAGTGGTGATGATCAATCGTCCATTTCCTTGCCAGATTCCAGGAACATGAACTACGTCAGTAAACAAATATTCCGAATTTAAATTAAATTTATATACATCAGAACCGAGCTCATTATAAAACTCATCATGGTATGGGATAGGACCATTAGGAATAAAAGCATCTTTAGTTAATACCCAAGAGCTACCACCTCCACAGCCAGAGTTAAAATGATTACTTGCAAAACCGCCGAACCAGCCAGCTCCAGCTCCGCATTTATCAACCATTAATGTGGACTCTTTTATGCCATTAGGATGCTTAGATATCTGTGCTTGTGCTGCTTCTCCACTTCCAAAAGTAAATCCAAAACTCGAATTTGCAACTAAATTATTAACGTAGTAACGAGTATCCCACCATCCTTGGGCAACAAGACCGCCGCCTGAGCCACCTCTACCATCATTACTAGCTATATCATCAGCTCCACCACCAGCGCCGCTGACTATAACTCGATGATATAATGTATTTTTCAAAAACTTCACAGATGTAGCTCCGCCACCACTAGCAGTACCATACAGATAAGCAGAAGAGCTTCCGCCTCCGCCATATCCACCAGGAACCATTATTCCTGGGTCATAACACTCAATTTTGGCTTCACAGGGAAATGTGAAATAATCTCCCTTGCCACCGATCGTGGCATAGATTTGGATAGCCTTTCGGATACTAATTATCCCACTGACGTAGCCACCGGCACCGCCGGCATCGAATGAATCAAGGCATTTTGTATTTCCATTGAACTGGTCAACAAGCTCTTGGGGAAGACAGACACCATTCTCATAATGAATGGTAGAGACTTTGCCTGTTCCAGTCCCTCCTGAGGCTCCATATAATTCAAATTTATATAATCCTTTAGGAAGATCAATGACATAATCAGTGCATTTTAAGGAATTAGCACATGGATAATCAAATGTATACGCCGGACCTCTTTTTGAAACATTTAGAGGGTATTTAACAACAATACCTGGTTTATCTGGCTCATATAAGGAATATTTTAGCATGGGAGCTAATCACAATGGTTAAAATCGAATACAAGCTAGAATGATCTGGAACATTCTGAATCGCCTTCCCCCAAAACAACAATTGCTGGTAGTAAAGTAAATTCTAAAACGCTTTTCAAGAATGTTACTCATTTTTATTGATGTATAGTCTAAGATTGTTCTTGTACTTCATCCCATGACTCAATTTTGGAATCCAAATTCAATGAAATTTCCTAATCAAAAGTATTCAGCCAATAAATTCCCATAATTCTTTATTCGTAGTTAAACTTTCGAATCGAAGGCATCAACCATGGAGTTTTCGGATCAAATTTTGCTCAATTGTGGATGATTTTTTATGAAATTTACGAAATTGCAATGTACACATCAAGTATGATTTATTGATTAATTAATATTCTTTTTCAATGAATAAATTCGGTTTTGGCTACATCCAGGACCGATTATTTTAAATTCAGAATAAAACGGTTTTAGCTGGGTCTTTGAAGGGAGCTCTCAAACTCTTCTCAGACCATTAAAAATCATGGCTCCAAAGGCTACATGCTCTGCTCCAGAGAAGGTCATCGAGGATAAGGACATTATTCGTCAAGAACACCTCTTTGCACAAGAGGAAGTTGCATCACACGTTGATACAACTGCTGAAGTCCATTTCCCACAGTATGTTCGTATCCAACGCCAGCGCCGCATCCTCATGAAGCGCCTGAAGGTCCCACCACCAGTCAACCACTTCTCACACACTCTTGACAAGAACATTGCTGTTCAACTTTTCAAGTTCCTTGAACACTATCGTCCAGAAACAAAGGCCGAGAAGAACCAGCGCCACAAAGAAGAAGCTGATAAGACAAAGAAGGACCTCAAGGTTGCAGCAACATGTTCAAAGAAGGCTTTAGTTCAAGGTATCAAGAATGTAACTGCAGCCGTCGAATCTAAGAAGGCACAGCTTGTTATTATTGCTCATGATGTCGATCCAATCGAACTTGTCATTTGGCTTCCAGCACTTTGCCGTAATCTTGAAATTCCTTATTGCATTGTCAAGAGCAAGAGCCGTCTCGGACAAATTGTCGGCATGAACACATGCTCTGCTGTCGCTCTTACAGAAGTCAAGCCAGAAGATCGCGCTGCTTTCACAAAGATCGTAGATGCAGTTAATTCTGGCTTCCTTGCTCACTACAAGGAAGAAATGCACAAATGGGGTGGTGGTGAACTCTCCGAGAAGACAATTGCTAAGCTTATTGCTCAAGGAAAGCTTAAAGAATAAAGATCTGTTATGTTATTGTTAAAATAAAACATCAATTAACTTTTTAACTCGGTAAATTTATATTAAATGCTCTCTTATTAAGTTGCTCCAGAGGTTTCTAAATTAATGCAAAGATTTGGAAAGAAATATAAATCATATCAAAAAAAATTCCAGAATTTGGATGTAACAATTAGCAATTGAAGATCTAATAATGTAGAATACACTATCAGAAAAAATGATGTTCTTTAACTTCACTTCATGCAAATGAGAATATATTTCTCTTCATTATATCTTGTTTTTATTTCTCCTTTAGATATATTTTGATTTAGTCATGAAGCCACAATGAGTGGGGTATTTCAAGCAGATATTTTACATCAAAATTAGCTTCCCGAAAGATAAGAAACCAAACTGCACTACTTTATCACATAATTCATGCATGAATCAATCATTATCCTGTATATCTATATATGCATCGTGAGAGAGAGGATACAGTAAACAATTTCATGCTTATCCTTTTGTAATGCTCATAAGAGTGAAGTTCATCCTTTGTAATCCCGTGTTTTTTATATCAATTTTAACAAAAGAGAAGATTGGAAACAACATCCTCGTCACATTTTTTGATGTCCATATAGAGTTGACGTATTATTTTGAGATATCGCTATAGATTTTTTTCCCATATGTTAAGCAACGACGATAGGAGATTAACCTTGATTTAACCTTTAATTTTGTAGCGGGATTACCAGTAAATTCTATTTGAAGAAATTGTATTCTACTAATAGAGTTACAAATATTGAGATCAAATCTAGGTGTGAAATTATTTTTGGACAACTTGGTCCATCATATTGTGGTAATCATGCTTTCGAAGGGAGCAGACGCACTCTCAAATCGGTTACATTTCAGGAGAATTCTGAACTTACTACAATCGGTGACTGTGCATTTTTTGAGTGCACAGAACTCAATGTAATCGATTTTTCAAACTGTAAATTTCTGAAAACAATCAATAGTTATGCATTCTATAATTGCCATTCGCTAGCGAATATATCTTTACCATCTTCAGTACAAGTTTTGTTAAAATACTGTTTTTGCTATTGTTCAAAGCTTGAAAATATTTTCATTACATCAGATTCTGAACTTCAAACAATGGATACCAGTTGTTTTAAAGGAACAATTCTTAAAAGTCTTTTAATTCCAAAATACGTTTCAATGATAAAAGCAAATGTAGAATCCCCAGAACCGCTTCAATCAATCGAATGCGATGAACTAAATGAATTTTTTACTTCAGTGAATGAAATTTTATATACAAAAGATAAAAAATCACTCGTTTTCTTTCCGAGAAATCACTCTAAATCATTCACAACGCCAGATTTTATTGAAAATATAGGGTATTATGCATTCGCATTATCATTTATCGAATCCATTACATTCGCACCAAACGTCAAAACAATTGAAACATATGCATTTAGTGGTTCGCGATTAAAGTCACTGAGTCTTCTACCTTACATTAATTTAAATGGCTATGGACAATTTCAAGACTGCAAAAGCCTAAATGAAATTATAATTAGCGCAATATGTTTTATGGAAACAAGTATATCAAGTATTGTATTTCCAAACACATTAAGAATTATTGGCCTTAATGCTTTTGCACATTGCTATAATCTGATTAATGTAACTATCCCAAGTTCGGTTACAGACTTAGGGGGCAGATGCTTCTCTCCGCACACCAACATTACATTTGAGGAAGGATCTCGGTTCATAAAAGATGATCAAAATCTAATATATAATTCAAGATCAGCCCTGTCTTTACGTTTGAGCGAGAAAGAATCGTATACAATACCAGAGTTTGTTGAAGAGATTTGTGACGACGTGTTTAGTGAAAATAATAATATAAAAACTATTGTTTTTGATGGTGAATCGAAGCTTAAAACAATAGATAACGCAGCATTTTTTAATTGTAGAAATCTAACAAATATTATTCTTCCAGATTCTCTTGAAGTTATTAAACCTCGCGCATTTTCAGGTTGCAAGGCCATCAAAAATTTAAAATTCGGAAATAAATTGAAAACTATATATAGGGTGTCCAAAGGTGTGTTTAGCACAAACCTGAATACTGCGAATAGAAATAAACAAGTTACATATATATAAAGTTTATTTAAATATAATCACCATTGGATTCAATCACGCGTTCGCAGCGATCGATCCAGGCTTGAAAGACACGCTTTAAATCATCATGAGAAAATTGCTCAAATTGCTCTCTTACAAAATTTTCAAGATCATCTGGACTCGCGAATTCGCGTCCTTCAGCTCTCTTTTTTAGCGTGCCGAATAAACAAAAGTCAGAGGGTGCAATATCAGGTGAATAAATTGGGTTTGGAACAACTTTGACATTTTTTCCAACAAGTAATTCATTACCTTATGACTTTTGTGAACTCTTGAATTATCAAAATGAATTGCAAACTTTTGTTTTTGTTGTTTGGATTTCTCAAACTCATCAGAATTGATAATTTGAGTAAAACATTGTCAATTAGATACTGAGCATTCATCGTATTAGGTTTTTGAAGAATATCAATTGCGATGATGCCATTCACGCCCCAAAAAACCGACAACATCATCATTGGTGTGTCAATTTTTTTCTTCGGGAATGTTTGCGGATTTTCATCCTTCGGGATCCACATGATTTTGGCTTCTGTTGCATATTGAAACCAAGACTCGTCCCCTGTTACTAAAAAGCGAAACTTCTTGGATTGATACGCACCCAATATAGAGAGGAGCTCTTTCGAAAATTGGACTCTAGATTTTTTTTTGAACTGAATTAAGGTTGTGCGGAACCCAACGTGTATACGCTAGTTTGTAGTTCAAATAATTGTGCAGATAATAACTGACTGTTGTACGTGGTATCTTTGTCATCTCCTCTATCCTTCTGAGTGATGCTCTTGGGTCTTCATCTAGCGCTTGAAGAATTGCTTTGATTTTTCTTTGATCCGGCGATTTTTTGTCAATTTTTATGATGGGCGCCTTTTTGTTCATGAAGTGATACATCCTAACATGATACGTTACAGTGGAATAGCTAGGAGCATCCATACCGAAGCATTTACCAATGTCTCGTAGATTTTTTTACAGTCTTTGCATTTTTTTGCAAGAGCGAGGATGTTTTCTTTATGATTCATTAAAAAATGAAAAAAATCCCGCCAAAATTTCCCGCGAAACCGCCTCTTGTCTCAAAATTCATTTTATATCCCGGCATGGCGCCAAAATACAACATACTCATCATATACATATATTCATATTTTTTATTATATATTTATAATCAGCATATATCTCCTTTAATAGTCTCATATAGAGCGCTGTGCTAAACGCACCTTTGGACACCCTATATGATTAAGCTTTTTATGGGTGCACAAGTCTTGAAGCAATCGAATTTTCAGAATGCGAAAATGTAACAATTGGAAATAATGCTTTTAATAATTGTTATGATCTTAAGAATATAATTTTTTCAAACAATATAACGGCGATTCAGAGTTCATGTTTCTTGAATTGTTTTTCGTTAAGAGAAATTGTTTTTCAAATTGATTCATATGCATTCAGTAACACAGGAATCACAAACATCACATTTCCATCAGACTCTAAACTTTCATCCATTGGTATGGGTTGTTTCAGCAACTGTTTTAATCTTTCACACATCACACTTCCACCAAATGTCAAAGAGATCGGATCTAACTGCTTCGAGAACACTAACATCACAACTTTCACAGTTCCAAATTTCACCGAGTACATGTCAGACTACGCCTTCAAAGGATGCACAAATCTCGTCAAGTTCACAATTCCACAAGATTGCTCTCTTCGAAACATCGGCAACTTGTTCTTCGACGGATGTTCATCTCTGTCTGTCATCGAATGTCCACGAAGTGACTACTTCTCAGTCGATGTCGGTGCTCTTTACAACAAATCAGAGACAGTTCTCTTCTGCTTCCCTCCAGCGTCTGAGATCAAGTTCTTCAATCTTCCACAGACACTTCGCACTATATCAACAGGCGCGTTCATCGGATGCAGAAATCTGATCAGCATCTCTATCCCAGACGACTCCGTTCGGACCATCGAACAATATGCGTTCGCGAACTGCTCATCACTGACATCGATCAACATCCCTAAGTGCATCGAGAACGTCGAAAGTTCAATCTTCTTCGGATGTGATCATCTGAGATGTGGTGTCATCATAGAGAACAGGTCAATTTCATTCATTCGGAAAATCATATCGGAGTGTCTTCTTAACCCGAAAGCGATATACTCATGTGATTTCCTTACATGTCAATGCAGAATCATCAACACTGAAATCACATCATCACTTCTCTATGCATTCGCTATTATTCTAGATGTGGGACTATTCTAAAAATTTTATTTTATCATTAAATAGTCTTAAAATAATGAATTTACATATTGCTTCTACATATATCAAGGTAATGAATGTATTTAATTTAATAAATTTGCAAATTTGATATGCTTCTCTTTTTTTTGACACTCCATCAGCTAATTCTTTACTGGATATATTTCATATCATCTCATTAATGTGTGTGTCTTTCTTGTTTTAATAAAGTTGTTTACAACTTATTTCGCTAACTCTATAATTCATCTTTATTTTTATTTCAAAATATAAATTTCTATGATATAGGAAGATTATATGGCTAACATTTTTCATATTGGAAAAAAGCATTCATTAATTATTTCAAACTGGGTCGACGTCATCATTTTGCAGGGTGTAAGAAACTTCAATCTTGAATAATGTGTTGGTCACTTTATTCTGCATAAACAATTATTATGTGCGTGAAAGTTAGATCTCATTTTAACTAAATATCCTGTATTATACTATCATATAAAGATTTGTTAATTGACAATTGTTATAAAATCGGTAAACATATCCGAACCTAATATGAACTGCCAAATCTGTAACGTTTTGGTATTCTTTCATTTTGTAAATGTCTAAACATAAAAATCTTTTATTAAATGTGTATGATTTATGCATTTTTGAGGGAATTTGTAAATTTTATCGTACTCATTTGTGAGAATTGGAGGTTTTTTACACTAAAATATTTTTGTCATTGTGTCAAAAATAAAGTAGCCGATAACCAAAATGGCTCAATGGGATTTTATTGTTTTCGTGTGCATTTTAAAATCTATCATTAGATCGACATCTGAACACGTCAGCAATTTTTGAACCCGAAAAATATGCAAATCATTATGTTTTTAGTTGAATTTAATTTCAAATATTTTTTATTTTCAAATATTACTTCTATTAAATATGAATAGATATCCGTTCAAATCATATTGATATAAATTATTATTCACAGAATTTGATTCCAAATAAAATTTATCAAAATAATCCATTTGAATACTTATCATTTTTATATGTTTCAATTTTCAAACTTTGCTATTTCATGATGCAGCTCGTTTTTACTCCTATATATTCTACAATCATAACAAAATTCTCATACAAAATGAATAACAAAAAATTTTGAAGTTCGTAGTGAATAAAATGGTCGTGTATGATGAATATAGGCAGTTGAAAGCGATTATTAATGATAAATTTCCAATTTTATCGTAAATAATTTTAATATATTTAATATGAAAAGAGAATTTGAATGTTGATAATAAGGGAATATGACAAGCATCTTGTAGGAATTCAAATGCCCTTAGCTTAATTTTTTCGAGTTTTTTGAATTTTTAGCCTTAGTAAAACTTGATGAAGATTCTTAAAAGACGATATGTCTTGTTTGGCCGTGCAGTAGTCTCTTAAATTTGTTTGATTTGGATTATCAATATAAAAAAATTGAATTACATTTCATGCACTTTTTATCTATCGAAAAATTGAATTACCATTCAACTGCGATTTTGAGATATCTTTGTAATTGCTTTCATCGAATTGAGTAAGAAAATTGCTATATCAAACTTTTTTTAAAGCAATCAAAAATTGAATATCCCCTATCGTTAAAATTTTTTTGATTGCATATGATAATATTTACCAGTTTGCATTAACCGCTCAAAAATTAACTCGGACTTTTGAGTGTTTCTAAACTTTACGAAAAAAATTGAATTAGAAGATAAATTTTGTTAGATAATAGCATTATCAACAATAAAATAAGTAAGAAAATTGCTATATCAAACTTTATCAGGTCTACACAAACTGAAAACCGTTCGATTGAATTCAAATTGCAGTAAAAATCGGTTTTTATCAACTGTCAAAAGACTTTCAAGAAAAGATAGTTAATGTTGCTTAACTTCCTTTTATTTGTTACATTAAAATTTGGAAAGCATGAATATACTATTGATCACGAAACAACTTTAACTTTTAACATGTCTATCGCGTTTTATACAAAACAACAATCAGAATTTAGTTTTAAAAAGGCTGATGGTACGGTAATTAATGAAATTCCATCCAGATTGAGTGGCTCAGATAAATTGGTTGTTACTCCAAAAGGTTCAACAAAAAGCATTACAATAATAACTGCACCAATTTTTGATAATTGTGATCATATTGATTATAGCATTAATGGAATATTCCATAAAAGTTACTATAATACCGGTATTGATCGTTCTAATCTGAATTGTGTTGTTATGTTTACTCCCCAGCATACGTCAAAATTTCACATAGATATGGCGATATTTTCTGAATATATCATGACAAACGATGCACCGTATTTACATGAATTACAATATGATAATCCATTTGTTCAAGCAGAAACATTAACATTTGGGTTTAAAGAAAATCTTTATAATATAGGTAATTGGTATCCACAGATATCTATCGTTGATACATTTTTGAGAGTATTTGGTGATTTTGAAGTCACATTTTCTGGTTCAACAAAAATAATTGTTCCAATTGGTGGTATTTTTATTGCCAAGAATATTGATGGATTCACATTCCCTGATGATGCAAAAGATGGGATTTATGATGCAGGCAGGAGAGAAACCGAATTGACTATATCAACTTCAGGAGAAAAAACTCTCTATTATTGTCTTTGCTATTTTCCCCCATTTGATTTATATTCTTCAATCAATGCAGAAATTATTCATCCAAATTCTCCAATTCAATATTCAATGAGACTAAGTGAAGGTTTTGGGTCGTCAGACAGATATATAGTTATATTTACAACAAAAGATATCATCAATTATAGATTTCATATAAAATCAAAATTTAGTGAAGATAAAACATATCTCAAAAATATACTTACATTTGAGGAATATAAGCTTGATGAAAATACAAAATCATTTGTTGGCAAGACATTTATGTTAGATTGTAAACCTGAATCAAGGAATTTCCCATTAAATTTAACAATTGGACCAAGTGATATTTTGTTGCCAAGTGTGGGCGACGAAAAAATGAGAGAAAAAGGATCTTATGATATATATGGGGATGAAATTGGTGGAGATAATCTTAATGTAAAAACACTTGATAAGTATACTTTCAAAGGAAAGGATATAATAAAATTGAATGATGGAACCTACCAGATATTAATTCCGGTAGAAGGAAAAGAATTAGATATACAAAATAACACATATGTTGTATTTCACAATGCAAAGTCATTTACTGGAACACTTGATGGTGTTGATATCTTAGGAACTACAGGTCACTATGTATTTAACTTGACAGATAAATCAAGTCCATTTAATATCAAACCTATAGGTGGTAAACCAGTAGTTGCAAATATTTCTGTTTTGTATAGAGGAACTTATCGATCTGGGTCTTATTTAATTGATAACGGTCCTCAGAATGACATAATTGTAGTTTCTCCCAATCATCCTGTTTATTTTCAAATTTCTGAGAAATCAAATGTCAAAGCAGAAAATGCTAATGTAACTCAAAATCCAGACAAGCAATATGCTTTTATTTCTTTTGCCTCTTCTCCACAAGTGTGTACTGCTCCATATTTAGCATATAATGCATATCCGGATTATGACCTTAAAAACACAATGCTTGCAACATTTACTATCGGTAAAAGTTCTAGGATAGAATTTTCTGTAATAAGTCATTCGGAACCAGAAACTGAAGAGATATACGGTTTGTTCATTGGAGCTGCTTCTTATGTAGATCAATCAGAAGCTGTTTTTAAGAAGAAAAATGCATATAAAGTTTACCAACATGGAACGAAATACAAACCAAAAGGTAAGGGACTTGGATCAGGTGCAATAGCCGCAATTGTTATTGTTATCATAATTGTTATAATAATAGCTGCAGGAGTTTATGTATTTTACGTAGCAATCAACACCTCGAAACCTGAAAAATCATCTTCATCAGAAGAAAACAAAAATGTGACGAATAACGAGAATGTGACGAATAACGAGAACGCTAACATTTGAAAATAAAAAGATTATATAATTTTAATAATATTTCATAATTAATTTTTATTCAACAACAAGCCTTCAATATTAGTATAAATTAGTCATTATTGTATAGATAGACGCAATTAATAAAATCTTTTTTTTTCAATTTATATCATCACATTATGGAGAGCACAAGCTCATATGGTAAAATATTAAGTTTGAATCTACTAAGACATGTCAGAATTGCTTTGTATGTCCCTTGTTTTTTTGTTTTTTTTCCGAATTTCTGAATTGTACAATTTTGCTTGAAATAGATGATTCCGTACTGATTGCGTTTTTCAAGCATATGTGCATACTTGTATAAATTTTATACTTCTTGGAATGCAAATTAATTTCATGATGAAAAAATAACAATGAGTTTATTCAAATTGAATTCTGAAGGAACTAGGTCATACAAAATTTTTCAAAATAGTAATATCGTATGTTATAACATATATCAAATGTATCAAATGAACCCCATCAAACTTTTCTTTCAAAAATTGAGAGCTGAGTAACCACTTAAAAAATTTTTAGTTCAAGATTGACCATGTCGGTATGTATGTTAATGATATGGAAAAGATGAAAGATTTCGACATCAAATACTTCGGGGCTAAGCCTCAACCAATGTATCACAATCCAAAGACAGAATTCAGAAGCACTTTCATGCAATTCCATGACGGTGCAAAGCTTGAAATCATGACAAGACCAGATACAGTTGATGGTGAAAAGCAAATGACAAGAACTGGCTTTGTTCACATTTCAATGTCCCTTGGCAGCAAGGAAGCTGTTGATGAAATGGCCGCAAAGATTAAGGGTGATGGATATACTCTTGTTTCTGGACCACGCACATGCGGTGATGGAAGCTACATGGCTTGCATTCTTGATCCAGAAGGTAACCAGATCGAAATGAAGATCTAAATTATATTAGATTGAATAAAACTTTATTTGATGTTTAACAATTACGCTTTCATATTATTATTTTACAACAATAAATTTGAATATAATACATAATTTATTAATTAATTTAATCTTAAATAAATGTGATCTATTGGTAAGGATAAAATGATAAAACTTGAAATAAAATCATTTTGAATGTTGAAAGTAAAAAATGAATATTTTATTAAAACAAAATCGCAAAAACTGCATAAAATTTCTGTAATACTATTATTCCTGACCACCAATTACCTTGATCTGTGATACAGCTGCCTCCAAATAAGTACAGCATGCGACAAATCTTTGAGGGAAGCCAGGGAGTCTTGTCCATTCACCAATGAAGTTATTCATGCCACAAGGATCAGCAATATCGGATGTAGCAACAAGACAAATCCATAAATCGAAGATATCATCGAAACCTGGTAATTTCGAATAGAAATCTTCGCTTGTAGTTCCCTTACTATTTTCTGTGGCTTGTAGAGTAGCCGCAATTGATAAACTCTCATGGACTTTGAAAATACAATAAGCAACGTCTAATGGGCAGAGTTTGTACTCCATGAGGTTCATCCAGCCGACAGGTGCACTTGCTATAGATGAAGAAGTAAATATTTCGGTAACTGGTTTGTCTAAAAGGTTCGGATTGACGTATTTCAGAGGAATTTTAGCTTCTTTCGGATTCATTTGACGTATTTTCTGGCGTGTTTGAGAGAAGATTGTATCATCGTGTAATTCTGGTGCAAATAAAGGATATGTGCGTTCGAAGAAATATCTTGCGACTAAAACGTTGATTACGTCTTTTCTGTCAGAGATTTGGATTCCATCCAACTGTACAAGAGTATCTGATGCTCTCCTAATCCAATCAATGGCAGCATCAGTATCTTTTTCGACTTTAATCGGAATTAAACCTGCGCGAGAAATGGGAGAGTTCACGTGGTCGAAAAATGTAAAGAGTTTCTCTTCTATTACAGGAGACTCGAAGTAAGCAGTGTTTGCTTTACGAGATGCCATGGCAGAATCTACAACTTTTCGGAGAAAAGCTCTATTCTCGGAAGCCATGTTGAAGATAGATGGACTGTGGTTTATAAGCGAAATCTGTTCACGTAAAGCGATTTTGAGAATTCTATAATGTTTATAAAGAGTTTGATTCGAAGTAAACGATTTCGAAAGTGGGCGAGGAGCAGCACGCTGTACATTAATAATTATTGGCATTGGATTATTAAACAGCCATTGTGCCAAAATTTCTAATTGCTTTAATGCTTCAAGCTGTTGAGATAAAGCTCCTAAATTTGTCTCTTCGATCTTGATATCGAGTTTTTTGAACATTTTGAATAATACATTATACAAGATAATCTCGTTTCGTATTTGAGGTTGATTATCAATTGGATCTGGTTGCTTTTGCTTTTTTTCTTCTAAAGCGGCAACAGATTCATCGTTCATCTTTTGGCATATTGGAATCTTTTCTTGAAGGGAGTTCGAAACATCTTTATAATGGTTGCAAATTTTATTATTATAAGCTGTATTGTCTGAAAACTTGGATGGAAGAGGAAGAAGGAACGGAGTGACAAGATTGATGTCTATTCCTGGTGGTAAATCAGTTCGGTTCACTAGAAATTGAATTGGGTCCATTTCGCTGATTTTTCAAGAATATATTTTTGGGGTGTCAGGTGAAATCCCCTATTGAAATTAATAATAAAGAAAACAGAAAAAGCAAAATATTCAGACAATAACCATAATAATAGAGTTCTCTTTTTGATTATATAAATCTAAGTTGAGGGATGGGCAATAGCATTTAAATATGGGACATTTTATGAAAATATTCCGCGAAATTAGATTATTTTAGGCTCAAATTGTGCAATCAATATGTTCTTTTTGTTTCTAAAACATGACTTTCAACATTCCAGAGCAAATAAAATTTGGAATCTCAAAATTTATTATTCACTTTTACAAAAAGATAAATATATTGTATTATACTGCATTGCATAATGATATTATATACTCATGTTTGTATATTATTATGAAGTGCTGCATAATGGAGAACTGTTTCTCCATCATTATCCTTTTCATTGATATTTGCACAATTATTTCATCACTATGTTTCTCTGAGACAATGTGAAGAGCTGTTTTTTTTCCGAATTTATCTTCTTCATTGATATTTGCACCATGCAAAAGAAGAAGAAGTTCGACTGTTTCTTTTCTATTACATTTTGCAGCAATATGAAGTGCTTCCGACAGTTTCATTACTATTATATTCTGCTGCAATATGAAGAGTGGTTTGTCTATTATTGATATTTACGCCTTGTGAAATTAGAAATTCAGCTACTTCTTTACTATTATGTAGTGTTGCAATATGAAGAGATGTCTGAAAATTAATAATTGTAAATTTTCAAAAATGATGAGGTAATTTAAACAGCTATCAGCGATTGTCTGTTGAAAACCAGCGTTAAGTATTATCAGATAGGTATTTTAAAAATCAAAATAATATATTTGTCTATACCTTATCTAAAAATTATTATCAGATTTGAAGTGTCTGTACTTTTCGTAGATATGGGCCATGCCATATAGACTTTGGCTTTTAACGATAGTCTTAGTTTGGCCGGACCGTAGACCCTTAAATTGAATATAAAAATTAAGTGTGAATTAATTTAATCAAATTTATTTCATTATCTGTAATAATAGTTTCTCTCAAACTCATCAATAAAGCATACACGTGATACATAATCTGAATTTGGATCCTTTAGAAAATCTTCAATATCATAGGCATTATATTGGGCTGCAAAATTAATTGGAAGATCGTTATAAATTGTCTTTGCATTTTTATCTGCACCTTGTGAAATAAGATATTTTGTCAGTTCTAAGCTTGTTTTTGCAGCTTCATGTAATGGTGTTATACCGTTGATATTTCTTGCCATTATATCAGCTCCTTTTGACAGCAGGAGTGCTGCAATTTTTACACTTGGTGTAAAATGAAGAGGCGTATTTCTTCTCCAATCCCTTACATCAACATCGAAACCAGCTGAAACTAGCATTTCGGTAATTTCATAGTTACCTGTTTTTACAGCGTTATGCAATGGTGAAATTCCAAATTTATGGCTGAGATCTAAGTGTAAATCTATAAAATATTTTGTTAATGAAGGAAATGCAAATAATGATGAATATTGGAATGCTTCATATTTGTCGCATCCTGTTTCAATAGCATAAAGAAAAGCTTCAAAGTTATTCCATTTTGCGCACAACTCTAAGTTTATATCCATATTTAAAGATTCATGGAAATATTTGATCATTTCCATATTGAATGTTTCGATTGATGAATCCATAAAATCTTCTACAGTAGATTTATCATCAGAATTTTCAAACTGTTCTAATGCAATTTTGATAATGGATTTATTTCTGCCTTTAATTGCAGAAGATAATGGGATGATTTTATGAAACAGAGAGCATAATGACTTACAACATTGAAGTGCGCCAAATTTTGCAGAATCTGAGATATAACTCATTTGTTCATAACAATTTGCTGATTCCGCCATTTGGATTAATGTATTAGCATCATCCTTCTTCATTGCTTCATAGTCTTGTTGTTCATGAATCCAAAACGGACAGATATATCCAGTTTCGGTAATATCATAAGATGTAATTTTTTTGAAAAGTTTGCAAATTGGGTCTCCAAGATTCATTCTAAAATCTATAACGTCTATGATTTCATCTCTAACTGTTTCTGTCGATTTTTTATATTTATTTATTAAAACATTTTGAATCATTTGAAAGACTTGATCGATTTCACTGTCTTCAGAAGAAGTTAGTGAATGTATTCTGTTATAAACTTGTATGTAGTCTTGGTATTCGGAGTAAAGTTTGTTTAGCTCCATTTTGAAATTTTGACTAATCTAAAGTGACATGAACGAATTGTATGGTCCGATTTTGAATACATTGTTTTTGAAATTTTGACTAATTAAAAATTCCTCAAGTATTTAGAATATTTGTCCGGACTGTTTCAGAGGTTTGAGAGAATCTCCGAAACTTCTGAAACAGTCAGAGCAAATATTAAAGTAAATCTGAGCTTTCAATAATTAGCTGGATTTTAACGGAACTTTAAAATTGAGCATTGAAAATTCTCGACATACTTCATTATCTGTCGGAAATTGAATGAAAATCAATGTTATATTTATCATTTTCGTTAGGATTACATTGGCTCTGTGTCTTATGATTGAATTGATTATGAATCAATTTCTTCGAACAAGCATATCATGTTATTTTTTGTCCGATTAAGCTGATTAAAGTTTGGTGATATATTGTGTGAAGATCTAAACTTACAACATTCCTTTAGGCCATAAAATCAAATTTGATATAATATAATTTTGGGCCTCAGGTAGGTGCGCTTGCCCTACGAGCAAGCATGCAACCTTTGGCAAAAGTCATGCATTTCCATTTTTCCTTATATAAGAGAAAAATGATATGTTGTAAATACGGAATTATAGGGATCACAAAAACTTTGGGATATATCAATTACATAATGGTTTAGCTTATGGATACGAAATGATACAATAATATTATTCAATAAGATATTCAAACAGAAAACATTTAAAATTTTCTAAAGTAATAATGTTAGTTATGTTTCCAGGAAAGAAATCATTTGTAATGTGCCTTTATTAATAAATTGGATAAATAAATTTCAGATTATTCAAGAATAAAATACAAACAGGTTTACTAACATTATTATTAATATGTGCGCTTTGGTGATGGCATCAATTGCTTATTAATTGGTTTTGTAGTTTGAGATAAGTTTTTAATTAAACTTTTGCCAACAACAAGCTCAAGAGATGGCGACTTTTCTAGCTTTGGCTTAGAATCTTCTGTAGGAGATGGTTTCTGCTTTCTAAGGTTTCTTTTAAGTAATGGAATTCCGATTTGTACTTTTTTGCCTCTTCCACGATAACCTCTATCATGTGCGTATGCAGACTGCTCTGCTTCCTTTTCCATTTTGAACTTTGCAACTTCATCAATGTAGCATCGTAAATCTTTGAAAGATTCGTACATTTGGTCATGTAACTTATCAATCTTTTGCTCGAGTCTTGTTATTTCTTCCTCAATGGATTGTTCTTCTTGTGTAACCATTTGTTTTAGAGAAGCTGAAAGTTCTGTAGAAGCGCGTTGAAAACCTAGATCGACATACTGACGGTTTGCTTTTTCAATAAGTTTCTTTGTATTTGATTTTGTAGCTAATGAAAATTTGATCGCAGTGAGAACTTCATCAATTGCCTTTGATGGTTCATCAGAGAATGTTTCTGGGAAATAAGATTCTATTTTTTTACTGATTTCATCCTTATTGATTTGAGCATTATCGACTTCTGAAATTGATTCAGTGATGCTGCTTAAACCAAGTTCTAAATCATCAAGCCTTTTGTTAAATTCTTCTTGTATTTGAGCTATGACTTGTGTAAGATTAGAAGACATGTATAAAAAACAAAAACAAAAAAATAAGGGGAAAAAAATTGTAAAAGAAATTTCTGAAAAATGAACGTTTTTAATAAAAAGTGACATAAAATTTTAATCAAACACTCTATTTACTATCATTAATGGAAAAAACAAATCCTTCGGCAGGTATATCATTTTCATCAAATTCATCATCAATTGAAGCGTCTCCAGTTTCATACATTTTGAGGAACCTTTCACAAGTTTCGTATATATCATCATCCTCGTCATACATTTCTTGTGTATTATCAATGAAGTCGTCTGTAATATCTTGTTCTTCTAGCTTATTCTGAAAAATTTCAAGGTCAAATCCCAATTTTGTTGCTGTATCAACAAGATAAATGATTCCATTCATAATGTTGTATACGCAATTCTTTTCTTGGGTATATAATATCTCCAAAATTCCATCTATCATGTCCAGATTTTCATAAACAAACTCACAGAACTGACTACCAAGATTCTGAGCGCATGCAAAGAAGAGAAATGCAAAGGATGTCTTTTGGTCAATGTTTAAGTTTGAATCTGCAAGAGAAATGAAATACATCGGAATTTCAGGACTTGGAATTCTTTTTAAAGCAACCAAGTCACCTATTATTTCTAATATTTGACTAGTGATGCTTGGAAATATCTCTATTGATTGTTTTAATATTTCATAAAGATTATAATCAATTAAATCGTCAATTGATAGATTAACATCATCATCTTGGTTTGTATCAAATATAAACTGTAAAATTACACATAACTCTCTAGAAATTTCTTCTGCAAAATTAAAAAATTCTTCATTTTCATCTTTAAATTGATGCATGCTTTCTAGCAATTTGCAAAGAACTTCAAAATGTTTTGGTCGTATAAAAAGATAGCCTAATGTTGCTCTGTGCTTCTCAATCATTGTCATCATTGGATTCAATATGTATGCAACCAATTCTAAAGGAGCAAATGGAAGAATTGCAAATAAAACTGTAGGTATATCTCTAAAATATGGATCTGGAAGTCTAATTTTTTTATATCTGTAAAGATATTTGTAAAATTGATATAAACTGATGTAAAAATCATGCAAATGCTTAGTAGCTTCAGTAGGAGGTGGAATCTGATTTAGTTTTGTACCAAAAACAGCTACAAATGTTGTATTTAAAAGCATACAATAATTTTGTTTTGATTTCTTAATAAGAGTAGAAATTAAGTCAAAGATTAATGAGTAAATATAGAGGTCATTTGTAATTTCAAACCATTGAGCTATATAAGTGAAAAAATCTTGAACCCATAATTGTTGACTGTATTTTTCATTGCTAGCTATTTCATTAAAGACTAAAAGGGATTTTATTACAATATCTGGGAATTCAAATGTAAAATGTTCTAATATAATCCTGATGATTTCGATTTCAAAAATTATATCCATTGCTTCATCAACATTCGAATTTACGAGATGTATAATTGCATCTAGTGCGTTTATATATCTGTTTTGATCTGAATCTTCAATATAATTTGAAAATAAATCTTTATAATATTTGAAATCATGCATATCTGAGTCTGTTTTGTCATCTGGATCGCTATCTAACTTATTTTGTTTCTCTGTATCGCTTTCTTTATAGTCCATATGCTGATTTTTTTCAAAATGGTCACTTTTTTGAACATGACTATTAAATAATATGGTAGTTTTATATGGGGTGTTTAATATTTGTAATTTAAAGATTTTACATTTTCCTGAAAAATTATGAAACGAATTTTTGCAATATTTTTTTAGAGTTTTGACAGAGGCTTTTTCAGAAGAGATATTTAGTGACTTCCATAGGAAGAATGGATTGTCATGGCCTCTTGATGTACAGCAAGTGTTTGCATGGTTTTTAACAGCAGCGCCAATGATTATGTTTTGGTGTTTTGTTCATCCATGCACTCAGGTACATTGCAGCTACTTCTTTTCAATACCTTTCTGCGTGATTTACATAATAGGCATAGTTCTTTTTGTTTTCGTCACATTAGAAACACATCCTTATTCTATCAAATTAACGCGAGAGCAAAGTCATTTCTGCAAGTACTGCAATGCATATGTACCAAATAATGCAAAACATTGTAGGCAATGCAATAAATGCCGTGTTGGATTTGATCATCATTGTCCATTCATCAATAATTGCGTTACAACCTGCAATTATAACATGTTTTACTACGGTATTTTATGCTTTATCTCATCAGGTCTAATGAGTTGCTGTGCAATTGGCATAATTTCGAAAAATTATAAATCATATAAGAACATATATATTGAAAAACTTTCCAAATATTACTCAACGAACATTACCAAAACAAAATTTTGGGTTTTGTATGGATTTACACTTTTAATCGATTTGGCTTTAACAATTCCACTTGGTATTCTAATTGCATACCATATTTATTTCCAAGCCAACAATATTACCACGTATGACCATATATTAAAAGCCCAAGAAAATTATCCCGAGAAATTACAGAAATTCTGCTGTGCATGTGATAAAAGAAGCAGAATTCTCTCCATGGTTAATGATGAGTGAGTTTTTACCTATTTATATTTTTGATATTTCTTTTAATATTTTTTTGTTTGTAAATTATTGATATACTATCCCTTTAATCATTCCTTGTTTTTCACTATATACTTCAGCCCCTGGAATTTCAAAATAATTTTTGATTGAATTGATTTTTCTCCTGAAAACATGTGTTCTATTCAATAAATCCTGAATATTTTGTTCATGTTTAAATTAAGAAGTTAGAAATTCAAATTGAATATTGGTTGGTGAAGATTTTTTCTAATTACTAAGATTTGACCTATGTTCTCATAAATTCAAATTCATGAAAACTAATTATGATATTTTTAGAATTGAAAGTTTATGATTGTCGATGGAAAATTTTTCAATAAGCATCCGAAAGGTTATTAGGTTAGAATTTTTTAGTCATACATCATTCGTTTAATAAATAATATTTGTTTACATCAAAATAAATAAAGATAAATAAATTAAACATTCTTGAAAGCTAATTCGTCGTCAACTTCTTCTTCATTTGGCTTGAAAGCAGTTCTTGTGTCTCTAGTGACGCACCAAATGATGAGAATAATAAGGACTATTAACAATATGAAGGCCGGAATTCCGATTCCGATTCCAAGTTTGGCTTTCTTGGACAATGTTGCCTTGGCGTTGTTAGTTGCCTCTGTTGGTGGTGGTGTGGTTGCAGATGGATCTGGTGTAATAATTATTGGTGTAGGCGTTTGTTCTGGAATAGGAGCGGATGGCGTTGGAGTCTTAGGAGTCCTTGTTGGTAGTATTGTTGGAACAGGAGTATTAACTGCGCTAAGTTGACAGTTTGTTCCAGCTTCTGATACTTGAATAAGTGTTTGAACCTTAATGTTCTTAATTACTAAATAATTGCTGGAATCAATAGTATTTATTGATAATGATGAGTATGTGAGGTCATTTGTGCCGGCTATTTTTGAATAATAATAAATCAAAGTATTAGTCTTTAAAGTGTATGAATTTCTGTCGTAAAAGCATAAATTACTTGCAGAGCATACTCCTCCATAAAGAGATAGTTCTCCATATAAAGATAAAGTAGTATTTGAGGCACTTGGTCCATTTTGAGTAAATCCGCTATTTGTTATTGAGAATTTTGATAAGTGGTAAATGTGAACAATAGATTTGTAGTTGTTGGCCATTATTTCTGAGCTTTGAATAACGAGTGCTTTGCAACCTTCAAAGAGGTTAAAAGATATATGGCATTCTCCAACTAGACCTGTTTGACTATTAATGATACCAATTGCTGCTCCAATTAAAGCAGATGAATTATAAAATTTACATTCTGTTAAAGTAATTGTTCCAGAGATATCATTGCAGTAAATGGATCCGCCAATACTAGTGGCTGCGCAATCAACAAATTGGCAAACAGAAACAGAAACGTAGGAAGCTGCATCAATATAAACAGCGCCACCGCATATATCGCCGCCATAATAATGTGAGTTTTGTATGGTTCTTGGAGCTGTGCATCTGACAAAGGAGCAGTATGTAATTGATGCATTTGTGTATGCGTTTTTAGATCTAGACATCGGAAGAACTGTTGAACTTGGGTTATAATCCTTATATTCAGTGTTTGATAAATACAGATTATCGGCTGAATTAATTGATATCGGTGACTTTAAATAGTCAGCAAATCTAGATTTTGAAATTTGAATGGCTGTGTTAGCACGAAATGTACTCTGGTGAAGGAAATGTGAGAATGAATGTGTTGATAGAATGTTACGAAGATTTATTTGTTGCGCTTGCATAGAATTTGTGATCTGGAATAATGTTGGCGCGTATTTTAGTCGTAATGAACCGAAGTTAACAGTTATATTAGCTTTTGTCGAGGGTATATAGTCTGTTAATCGTAACTGCTGCTTTGCTTGTGCAGTTGTTAATAAGCTAATAAATACATACATTTTTGAACTTCGAATCATTTTTTTCAAACGTCTGAAGATAGTTAACGGTTGTAAAAAAATTCATCATAAATTTTAATGATAACAAGCATCAATATTTTAGTGTTTTTGCTAAAATTCGTTGATAAATTGAAAGGGACTTGTTACATAAAAATTGCTCAAATTTCTCATATAAAAACTTCATCAGGTGATATTTGTATGCAAAGGTTAACTCCATTCAAAAAGTTGATGCCTATTGGAACTATATTTAGTTAGACTAAAATCAAATATCACATTATTACATTGACATTTTTATTAGCACCATATTTCCTTCCATTGTTCATAAAAATATAATACTAATGAAAGTTAATTGATTCTCTCTTTCATAAGCTATTTGTACCTTTTTCTTTTGATACATTTTAATTGAATTTCGCTCAATCTTTGTTTTGTTGGTGATATTTAAGAAAATAATGCTCAATAGAGAGTAGTCAATGCATTTTTTCATTGACATGGAAGCTAAAATCAATGATTAAATTTTATATAATCTTTTTCAGAATTATGATAAATCGGATCCTTTATGTAAGGGTAATGAGTTAGGCTAAATTGGATGAACAATGATATTTTGCAAAATGTTATTCATCTCAACAACATTTCCGCTGAACTTATTGAGGATATAATATCTTCAAAAACATGTACACTATCAAGGGTAGAAATTAAAATGAAATTCAACATAAATTGAAAAAGATTGATCTAAAAAGTCTATTGTATAATCAATTTGCATTAATAACATAGAAGTAAAGCTCATGGTTAATTAAATTTCTTATTAAAAACATGAATTAAATAAACTTATTTAGCTAGAGAGGGAGCAAAAAAAATCGTTATTTTAAATGTCTAAAGCAGGCAAGGGCAATCAGCTCCAAGACTTGCAAGATAAGAGTCAGAAAGCACAAGAAGAACTTGCTGCTAAGGAGAAGGAGCTCCAGGATACTAAGGATGCTTCAGTTCCAATTCGTAGAGAACGTGCTTTCCATATTGTTGAATCTCAACAGATTAGAAACAATATGTTAATTCTCAAAGAGAAGAAGCAGCAACTCCAACTCGAAATCAAGATTCTTCAGAGAGAAGCCGAAGAAATTGAAGAAAAAACAAAAACAGAAATTCAAGTTCATAAGCAAAAAGTCAAGCATCTTCTTCATACTCACGCTAATGATCTCCATAAGATAGAGGAAGATCATGATAGCGCAGAAAAAGCCCAGGCAAATGAACATCAAGAAGCAATGAAGCGTGCAAACGCCGAAGCCCTTAGGTTAATGGATGAGTTCATGAACAATCAGTCCAACCATTCTGGCCAAGTTGCTACCCATAAGGAAGATGCTAAAAACCTAAACGCACGTTTCAAAGAACAATACGAAAAACAGTTCGAAGAAATCGAAAGAAAGCAAAATGAGAACATGGAAGCCCTTTACGAAGATTATAATCTTCAGAGAATCAATGAACTCCATGAAATTCAAGAGAGAAAAGATCATCATATTAACCGTTTAATCAAAAGTCACAAGAAGGCATTCCAAGAGATGAGGAACTTCTACAACAAGATTACACAAGACCATCTTTCATACATTGCTCAATATAGTGCGGAATACGAAGCCATTCAAGCCAGATTACGCGATTACGAACAGAGAAAGAAGAAATACGATAAAGAAATCAACGACCTAAACAAAGAACTTCATGTCCAGCGCGAAGAAAACGGAAATCTTCATAAAATCTTATCAACATATGATTCCGACAAAATGGCCCTTCAAAACTCGAAGAACATGATAGAAAGCCTTACTGCAGAAATAGATTCTCTCAAGCACCAGCACAGCGTCAAACTTGCCAAGTTCAAGAAGATGGAACAAGAAAAGGAACAACTACTCGAAAAATTCGAAGCATCAGTACACGATGTCAAGCAGAAGACAGAGTTCAGAGCCCTCCTTCTCGAGAAGCGCGTAGAAACACTCGGAGAAGTTTTAAAGAAGAAAGAAGGTTCTTTAGAAGAAATGATCGAAACTTCGGAGATTCCACAAGACCAGGTTCAAGCAATTGCAGAGCAGGTCGCAGATCTTTTGCGCGCAAAGAACGCTGTAATCGATAACCTCGAATACGAACTTGCAAAGTCTACCAAAGAACACAATGACTTGATTCAAGTTTTCCGCGCGAAAATGGCTGCGGCAGGTGTTCCTGAAGACGAACTTAACTTCGAGTTGAGACCTTCTAATACTACTACGGCTCCTGCTCCTTCATTGTTCCATTAATATATATATTTTTTATTTTATATTCTTTTTCTTAGAATTTTATGTAAATTAATGATTAAAATTTGTCTTAATAACTCTTTAATCATCATGTTTAATCGTTTGTATCTGTAGATAATAATGATATATTTCAAATTCGAAATAAATTATTGATTCGAACTTATTTTTATATCTATTACACCTTCTCACTTAAACATATGGGCTGAAATTTAATTAATGCTTGCTCATATGTTCAATATCTTTCATAGATTTGTAATGATTTTTTAAATTGTATTCGAAATCATTTGATTTTTTGAAAAGTATATTTAGACACAAAATGCTAAGAAAATTTAAAGATTATTAGGATGTTTATGTATTCATATTTCCAATTATTTGTATCAAAATTAATGTTCATAATACAATTCACCATTTTTGGCAGAAACATGCGATGTGTAAGGAAAGATATATTAGTTCGTACGGTTACATTTTAAAAATATTAATAAGTTTTACTCTATAAAAATAAGAAGAAAAAAAGAAACTGTATAACTCTATTCATTCTATTCAAGATTGTCGAAATCATCATATTGCTGGTTGAACTTCTTAACGTGAGCTTCAATCTTAGATCCGTGAGCCCAGTTAATATAATCCTCCATTTCCTTAGAAACTAATGTAGCTGGATTAGTTACAACATCAGGACCGATTCTAACATGTCCTTGGCGAACTAATTTGTCAGCTTCGCTAATTCTTTGGCAAAACTTCAAATTAACCATAATAACAGGTAGTCTACGCTTGCAAATAGCGACAACATTGATTTTTTCGCATTCAGATAATTGTGGAGTTTCGATAATTCCGAGTTTATAAACGCGATCGACAAATTGCTTTGTTAAATCAATACGGACTTTATCTTCTGGTCCCATTTGTCTGAGTGTGTTTGTAAAACGCTGGATCTTACCAACTAATCTGTTATATTGATGATATTCCTCTGAATTATCAAGGCAATAAATGCCAACTACTTGTCCAGAACGGAGGTTGTTTTCACCTTTCCAGTGGTATAGATTTGTTTTCTTGAGAAGCTTTTGTTCATGATATTTCAGCTTACGACCCATTCAAAAGATTTTGAAGACAAAACAATTAAATTTTCAAATAAATCACAAAATTATACTAAACAGAACCTATAATTTTTATTTATCTTAAAATTAATGTCCTATTACAAAGAATTCAATCAAGGATCAAATGCGACCAAATTATAACTATCGTCATTTAAAGTAATATTGTATATAATGCATTCATAGACATAATTTATCGGCCAAGAATACTTGACAATATTCAGTTATCATATTGTTAAACCATATGTGAGATAAAACATGATAATAATGAAGATTTTTGGGATGATTTTTTAATTTTGAGATTGATTTCAATTGTAAGTAAGATTGAAATGTTTGTTCAGGGATGCCTATTGATTTCTTGATAATTAATAATTATTTTTATTTAAATTAGATTTACAAATAATATTTTTTACATACATACAACAAAACAATGATAAATATTAATTCTCAACAGTAGCAGATACCAAAGAATGCAAAAACTGCAGTTTTGATAACAAATCAGGTATAGTTGTATTTGCAAAAACTGTTTCACACTGTTGTTTGCATTCAGGGCATATGAGCATATCATCTGTATGCTTTCCATGGCTTCTGCATATAGAGTGTCCGCATGGGACGAACGTCATTGGACCTTTCACTGGTTTCAAACATTCGAAACAAGTGTAAGAAGATTCAGCAGCTGTTACAGCGGCGTCTATCATTTCCAAGGAGTCTCTCAAGTTCTTCTGTTGCCTCTCCATCTTCTCTCTTCTTGCTTGGGCGTCCATTCCTTCGAGTTCTGAAAATTCCGCGTGTAATTTTTGTGCTTGTTCTCGTGCTTCCGCTTCATCTTTTGTTAATTGGTCGATTTCAACTTGAAGGGCCTGATTTTCGGCTGTCAATTGACGAACTGTAGCGAGATGGCTCTCGGGGACACTTGCGTATTCTTGTATTTTTTGTTTTGTTGTTTCAATTTCTTCTTTTGTTTGTTCAAGTTCGCGTTTTACGGCATCTGTACGCTTGGAAATGAGTTTGTATTTTTCATTATGGCGCTGCAATTGTCCTTGAAGCAGTTTTGTCTCCATTTCACCTTTTTGGAATGTTTCATAAACATCATTTCGACGTTGAGTAGCTTGTCTTGTTCTTTCACGCCAATCCGCTACTTGGGTATCGAATTTGGACTTCTCTCCTTCCAATCTTTGGTTCGTATCTTGAAGCTGTTGTTTCAATCTCGCTTGATTTAAAGTTAATTTGTCAATTTGCTGCTGTTTTCTTTGTTGTTCAAGACGTAAATCTTGTCCATCAGAGTTAAGCTTGTTCTCTAAATCTTCCATTGTAAGTTTAAGACGTTGAATCATTTGTAATTTTGCTTGAAGGTTCTTCTTCAAGTGTTTGTGAACTGAATTCTTGAATTCTTTGCTTTCATTGAGTTTCTTAAGCTCTTTTTGTTGTTTATCAAGTTCCTTTTGATATGCTTCCGTACTTTCCTGAATTTTATGAAGTGCTGCTTCTTCATTTTGAAGTTCTGTTGTTAATCGTTCGCTTTCTTTTCGTGTGTTTGCTAGTATTTTAACAAGATCTTCATATGGTCCTATACGTGATTGCAAAGATTTTAGATTTGCATTTGCTTCATTTAATTGATTTGTTAAATCACGCTCATAAGCAGGATCTCCTTGACAAAGTATTTCAACGTTATTAAGATTTCTCATGACTGTATTAATATCTGAATCCAATTGTTTAGTAATTAAACCATTTTCGAAGTAATGTTTCCTAACAATTTGTACCATCTGTTGTTCATCTTGTGTAAGTACATTTAGCTTCAGAACATCATCAAGAGGGTTTAAATTTTCTAACTTTCTTGCACTATCACTCATATTTTTTATTTATAAATAACGTAATTTTTTGGATTGATGTATTTCATTATCATTTCTAAATAGCTCATATACTGTAGTGTAAATTCATCAGACATTATATCTAGATTCGTGCATCTAAATTTTCAAAATCCAAGATTTTGTTGGTCTAATTAGGCTTATTGAGATTTTTTATATCACATTAGTACTCTTGGTGAAAATAATTGTATATATAGTTCTTTAAAATAAATACTTTATTACATTTTTAAAAATAATCAAATTCTCTTCTTCCGAGATAATCTCTACATCTTTCCATTCTCTTCAAGCTAATGGCAACAGCAAGAATTGTCTTAAAGGAAGCATTTCCTTTTCTTGGGCAATCTGGCAATTTCATCAATCTCTTTTGGTTGCGAAGGCTTTCAAGTCTAACTTGCAAACTTCTTCCACCAACAGATGTGAGTGCACTTTCTTCTATAACAATCTGCATCTCTCTTTCACTTGATGGCTGAGCATCGAGGCCAAGAAGACCAGCGTAAATTCTTCTTGCCCACATCGTCCAGTTCAAGCCATTTGAGCTGACAGAAGATTGTGATTGATACTGGTATTGTTGCTGTTGTTGTTGTTGGTTTTGCATCTGCTGTTGAGTTTGTTGTTGGGAATTATTAATTGATGAATTGGAACGGCTGCGTTCATTGAGTTCTTTGACACTCTTTGAAAGTTCTGTGAGAATCTTTGTTTGTTTTTCAGCGTATTCAGTGAATTTTTGTGGTTTGTTGTCTCCGATAACTTCTCTTGCAGAGATATAGTCTTGAGCCATCTTCTGAACACCTGCGAAGAAAGTATCTCTAGAGTATGTCTCTTCTTCTCCAAGAGCTTCGTTAATGAGCTGCATAATTCTTCTGGCCTTTCTATCAAAGGAGTCTGATGGAGATGTTGGTGACTGTGGTACTTGGGTGATGCTTTCGGCCTGTTTGAGCTTCTTCTGATAACCAGAAACTGTTTTTGCGAGTAAAGAAGTGATGAATGTTTCTTGAAGTAATAAATCGCAAACTTCTTGGTGTGTAAGAGCATTTGACTTAATGAAATGCTTGAGATTTTCTGTCCTGTGTTCCAAATCAATCTTCTGAGACATTACTTCGTTAATGTTAGCGAGATCAGTATCTTTTGGTACGTCTTTGGAGACATCATAAAGTAATTCTGTGGTTCTACGAGCTTGCTCTAAGAGTTGATTCTTTGTAGATTCTTGGAGGAATATTCTTCCAGTTGAATCAGAAATCAAAAACAATTGTTGATATTCTGGAGAATCAACAAGCCTTGTAAGAAAGTCTACATGACCTATCAACTGATGTCTTAATCTTTTAACGACATCGGCATTTGGATCGTTCTTTGAAAAAGCACCAAATGATCTTCTTGGAGATGTTGGAGAAGCTGGTACTTGTTGCTTCTTTTCTTGTAAGTAATTAACAAGTAAGTCGAGTTTATTTCTAACATCTCTATCATCCAAAATTTCTTCTAATTTTTCATTTTCTGGAGGGTTTAGAGAAATCGATGATTTTTGCTTTTCTACTTCATCATTTATACGGCTTTCAACAGAAAGAATAACTGATTGAAGGAACTGGATTTTATTATCTCTATCCTGAATCTGAGATCTTAATGATTCGACTGTTTTCTTAAGTAAATTAATTTGGTCACGCTGTGCTTCACCAATGAGTGATTTGCACTCATCAGAGGCAACCTGGATGTTTGAAAAGAGCGTGGAGATTGACTCCATATGTAATTTTTAAACGTGCACTTTTATTTTTTATATCCAATGCAGCTAGTTATCCTTGTAACCGGCTATCTTCTTAATAGATCGTATAATCCTTAGCCCGAACTACATGTTTGTTAGGTGAATGTTACATCTTTACGATTTTATTGAATCTGATTAATATAATTACTGTCTAGTTTATTCATGATCTAGACTGGTATGGTGTCATTATTGCTAATAGCCTCTTAGTAGAGTATAAATGAGTAATTGTTCAGATAAACCTGCTTTTCAATGGATTAATTTTATGAAGTTTAAGGATTGAAATTCTTAATCAATATGTTTGATATTTCTTGTATGTGTGCTATATAGTCTTTTCAATAATGAGATCTCACAGAATCAGGCCCACAGTCTGGACCCGAGCCAAAATGTTGATCATGATTGAAAACTCTAATTTGGTTGAAAATGTATCTGTTTCTTACATAAAAATAATTTATTGATTGACGAGTTTCAATTGAGTACAGATTTCTGAAATTCAAAAAAAAATGATGGGTAATTTAAATTTTATTAAATGTTTAAAAGAAATAGAAGTATTGAAATCGTTTACTAAAGAAAAACAGTGTAATTAATCATTCTTATTCGAAATCTGACATCATAATCTACTGTCAAAATCTCAACTTACAATTGAATGTCTAATCAAACACCTGAAGCGTTACAACTAGTAAAACAGTTAGTTCAGCAACCGGGTAATAACATCTGTGCCGATTGTCAACGTGAGCCTTCGAAATGGGCAAGTTCTACTCTCGGTATCTTCATTTGCTACAATTGCAGTGGAATTCACCGTGCATTAGGTACACATATCACTTTAGTTAGATCTTGCACGCTCGATGGATGGACACCGCAACAAGCAAAAGTTATGAAACGCGTTGGAAACAAAGTTGCAAACGAATATTGGGAAGCTAACCTTCCTGCCGATTTTATGAGACCTCTACCGACAGATAGATATAATATGGAACGCTTTATTCGCGATAAATACGAACGAAAACTTTGGGCTGGCGAAGGCGAGCCACCACATTTAAGAAAACCAGGCTTTGCAAGGCCTATCGGAAATCCACAGCCATATCCTCAGCTTCCTATTCAGCAAGCACCAGCTTCTGAGCCTCCTGTTCAAATACACTACGTTCCACAACAAGAAATTTCACAACAGCCTCAATCTATACTGCAACCAACAGAACAAAAACCAGCACCACAACCAAAGCCGAAATCCGAAAAGAAACAGCCAGGTTTTAAGAAATTCGCAAAACCACTTCACACATCTCAGTCAGAATCTCTCGAAAATCTTCATAGCCAAGATCAACAACAGCAATCGCCTACTCCAGATCCAGAACCTGAGCCAGAACACGTAGAACAACAGCAAAATCAAGAAGCCCCACATTTACTCGAATTTTGCGGTCCGAAAAAGCAATCTTTGTTCAAGAAGAAACCTAAGGGCCCAGCAAGATTCATGAAAAAGCCTGTCGGAGAAGCTGTTATCAATCAGATGATTTCATCTCCAGAAACAAGGCCTATGACAGCTCCTGTCCAACCAAACAAGAATGCAGCATTATCCCTCTTTGCAGGAATGAATATTTATCCAAACAAGAATTGAAAATTACGCTTCAATTCTTATCTTTTTCAACTTCATCAGTTATTTTTATGTTAATTGAAATATAAATTTCTTTTAAGTTAGTTTTAGCTCATTTTTAATTGTAAAAAAAGAAATTTTTTTCGAAATGAAAAATTTGAGAAATTGAAAATATAACTAACGAAATATTAAGCTTAAATAAAAATCATTTTCGGAAGTAAATCAATACAAACTAGTTTAATATAAGAAATTAAAATTTTCTATCGCGAATTGTCCAGATATTCAAGCGGTAAAATACGGCTATCCTTAGAAGATCGATAGCCATCTTGATCATTCCGGATATTTTCATCTTACTACCTTCAATTTCGTTCCATTCGACGCTGATTTCGGAAACTTTCATTTTACGGCGCCTTGCAATAACGAGAAGTTCAGGATCGAAGCACCATCTTTGAACATGTTGGTTCATGAAAAGCATTTTACAGGCATCTCTTGTAAATAGCTTGAAACCGCATTGTGTATCTTTAATTCCATGTACACCGCTAATAACAATGAGAATATGCATGCCGAGTCCAAGTATTTTGCGAATAAAAGTACGATGAACTTTTGATTTATCTTCATTAAGAGTTCTAGAGCCAACAACGATGGCTTCTTTATTATTTTTCATTAGTTTCTTTATTTCATTTTCAAGAAGTCCGAAATCGCTTATCTTTGTAGCTCCATCAGCATCGACCATTAAAACAAGCTGTCCTCTTGCATGAAGACAACCTGCTTGGATTGCAGCACCTTTGCCCATGTTATGTGGCTGATTGAGAAGGAAAATATTAGAATATCTTTCAGCATATTCCAAAACAACGTGAGCTGTTCTATCTTTGGAGCCATCATTGACGACAACAATTTCCCATGTAAAGTTGTTATCTTTGTAGCGGCGCTGTTCTAGATATTCAATTGTCTCTTCAAGCATTTTTGGAAGGCGCTTTTCTTCATTGTATGCTGGAACAATGAAACTAACATAAACTTGCGGCTTATCGAAAATTGTTTTGAAAGGTACGTTTTCGTTTGGATTTTTAGCTGGTTGAACATAATAATTAAGCTTTTTTGGATTATTCTTTGGTAATTGCGTTAAATCAAACAATGTTGTGTCGTCTCCGAAGCGCATTAGAATTGCCATGATAAATCCTAAAATAAGGAAAATAATTAATATATAAACAGAGAGTTCAGCTAATTGTTTTTCCATTTTTTGATAAAAATTGACATTTTTTTCATTTCTTTCAATAGTTCAACTTGAATACACTCTTTGCTATATGATTTCTAGAATGGACGCCCGTCATACAAGCAAATGTCTTTATTCCACCTAGTTTAAAATACTTTGAATCTTTATTTCGATTCTTTATTTTCAATCAGGCAATTAAAATTCTTCGAATTCATGATAAGATGATCTAATTCATGAAGTTGATCTCTATGTTATCATGAAAATATACTATTCACAAAAAAAAGGTCACATTTTAAAAAAAAACACGTCTAATGTACAATATTGGAAATTCTAATTTCACAAATGCTTTAAAATACAGCTAGAATCCTATTTTCTAAGCGTACTACGCAAAATTAAAGAATTTTCTACAACTTTTACCTGGATATATAATAAAAACTTGATTTATACTCTTTTTAGTAGAATTTTTTACTACACTAGATCATGGGTTAGCATATTATGCTTCATATTTTGGTATAAAATATGATTTTGAAGTTGATATTTGTAATTTAAAATTTTTTTTGATTTCCTCCCTTCCTTTCATCATCACATTGGATATATAAAACAACCACAAAGCATTCATTGTTATATTGTAATATCAAATTTTCCAAAAAAAAATTCAAAAAAACAAATATTCGGCTTAAGGGTGCGCTGTAGTCTGTAAGTAAACTTCAGAATTTTTTTGACGGTCTCAATTTGAAAAGTACTTTTTCTCGATATCTGCTGAACATTTTTTGGAGTTGATGAAAGATAATAAACCATTATATTATGAGGAGTATTTATGATTTCGTTTTTCGCGAAAATCCTCTAAAAACCATGGTATTTTGAAATTTTAAGATTTTTTGGATTTTTTTTATTTTTTCTACGATTATAAACGGCGAAATTATTTTCGAATTTAAATTATATTATTAGAATTATTTATCAATCTAAATGCTTGGGATAACAAAGTTTTCCCAAACTAATGACTAATTAATGGTCATATTTTATAATTACGGTTCCTTCCCTGAAATTCAATAATATTTGATTTATGGATGCAGAGTTGTTCATGTATTGCTATAAATCAAGCTAAAATAAATTTTCTCAAAAATTAGTAAATCTTCTTGTAAATAGAGTTTTGGAGGGGTTATTATGAGATATATAAATTTCATTGGGCGAAATAGATATTTCTAAAGCTTGTAATATGCATACAAACTATTAGATTCCTACCTATCAAAAAATTTTAATAAGATATGCTGTGTTTAAGGCTTGATTTGATCTTGAAAATATCTATGTTTACAATATATGAAGTTTATAATATAATTAGGATATGTATATGAAATAAAATTATTTTATATAAATTTTGAAAAATTAGTGAATTATATTGAGTAAGGTATATTTAAAACTAAGTTTTTATTCATCTGAAGTGTGATATTTGAAAAATAGAAGAAGTAACGGAAAATAATATATTAGATTGTAGTTCGTAATTTAAATAAACATAAAAAGCTGCTGTATATTCAATACGTGAAGCATTTTGCAGTCTTCTTTACCGAATATTTGATATGTATTTGTTGTAACGGCTGATTTTATTTTGGAACTTGAAGAAAAAACCAAAATCTTCGTAGTGATTCTGTATAGATTTGCTGCTCTTGGCTTATAAATGAAATCGATGAAGTTTCATTTTTTGCGAAAAATCTTCAAGTTCGAAGGTACCAAAATAGGTCTCGAACTAGAAAAAAAAATCATGTCAAAAAAAATTCTGAAGTTTACTTACAGACTACAGCGCACCCTTAAAAATTAGATTTTTCACATGAAAAACTCAAAAACGAAAAAAATTTGGAAAACAAATATTTGATATAATTTGGAGATTTTCACATTTATTCCTTTTTTATGTATAAAAACCTAGAAATCATTGATTTTGATGTGATTAAATTTTTATTATTTGATTTGGGGTGAATTCTATGTCATAATTATTTATAGAAACTCTGATCCCATAAGAAATACGTTGTATATTTATTAATATAAAAATATTTTATTATTATTTATCATAATAAGTAAATATCTAAGTGGAAAACTTCTGCATCCGAACAGATTATCCAAATGGTTTATTAGTAAACAATCTGAAAATTCGATTGAAATTATCCAAGAAACTAATCAGCAACTTGAGAAAGGACGAAGTGGGTATTACTTTTGTTTGGACTACTTGAGACAAATATCTTGCTCTTTTAACTTAAAATTAAGACCTTATTGAGGTGTTGATATGGTGAAATTTACAATACACGCCTGTATAAAAATGTTCTCCTTCGAAAAAGCAGTAGCATGGCAAAACTGGAATGAGTGGGAGGATGTCTATAATCTTCTATATAGCGGAAACCAAGCTTCAATTCTGCAAGGTGTTGCAAAAGTTTCAGCTTGGTCTGCTAGATTACCAATTCCGACTGCTGTTGAAGTAACAGCATCATTACAACAAAATATGTACCAAGATCCAAATGTTCTTGGTCTTTCATTGTCAATTATACGCTTTATTAATGGAGTTGTTGAACCTTTCAAACAAATGCATCCATCAAACTCTATTTCATCGATTGGATCAAGTTTAGGTATTCCAGACTACATAACACAGATAAGACACTCAGCAACACACGGAAAACTCCCGTCATTTGATTTTGCTTGTTTTGCTGCACAGGAAGCATTAAAATGGCTTCAAGAAAATTACTGGTTACCACAACTTACTGCTATCATTCGATATAAAAATGATCTACACACGTCAATTATCGGCTATTTAACTAAAAATGAGGATCCTTTTGAATTTTTCCAACCAAATATTATAGCATCATTTGGAGTAGATGCTTTAATCGACATTATGCTCAATAAAAATCAAAACAGAGGAACATTAAAATTGAATTTTATGAAAAAAGTCGGAGATTTAATACAAGAAACATCCAAATTCTTGAGTTACTTTCCTGCTGCAGTAGGCATGAAATTAGCTGAGAAAATGGCTCAAGGAAACAGTTTGGCTTCAATTTGGATTGAATATTTATTAAATCGTGGTTTGGCTCCTCGAAAGTCAGTCTCAATGATATTAAATTGTGCTGATCCAGAAATACTTCAAAAATCATTACCAGATCCAGTTATTGAAATAATTGGAAAATTAGATCACGAAAAGATTCAATGGCCACCTACATCAATAGGAAATCTTCCTATTAATACAGAAAATCTGACTTTATTGACAGATGAATTCTGTTTTGCTGAAGAAGTCCAAGAAATTCCAGAAAATTCTTCAAAAGAAGATGTAAAAGAAGAAACTGTTGAACAACCCGAAAATAATGAAGCTGAAAGTAATGAGCAGCCTGAAGAAACCCAAAAATCCGATGGTTCTTCTGATGAAATCGAATTATGGTAATATTATCTATTTTTAATTATTTGTTTTTATAAAATATTTGTTAATTATTTCATATCCAGTATCTTATAACTTTTTAAAAAACATTTTTTTTATCAAGAATTGTAGTAGTATATGTTGAAGGGTTTAGTGACTTTTTTTGTTACATCTATATATAGACGATGCATTAAAATATATTTATTTATAAATCATTAAAAATTTAACATTAATTTTAAAATAATTTATTTTTTTATCTTTTATAAAAGAAACTATATATAGATGATGTCAGATATTCCGCGATTAATTAAACATCATTTAAATCCTGAATGGGTTAAACTTCAATTTAAAAATGAAGATTGTGAATTATTAAATGAATATGAAAGCCAAAATAAGCTAATGAGGTATAAATATAATGATAAAGAATATTTAATTTCATGGAATCAATGGAGTCATAATCAAAGACCTCATAAACGAGAAGAAGAAATTGAAAATAATGAAATGGAAATCATTGATGACATTAAAGAGGATGGAATTCCTAAATTTTGTAGAAAAACCTTTAGAACTAAGTTAGGAGCATATAAACGTAGAGTATTAAATCCTGAATATCTTAAACATCAATTTAAAAAGGAAGACTGTGAATTATTAAACGTTAATGAATATGAAAATGCTAAATCAAAACTGAGATATAAATATATTGGAAGTGATGAAAGGTGTAAAGATAAAGATAAAGTTTATTCAGTTTCATATAATAACTGGCACACGTTAGGGATAAGAAAACATTTAGGAGATTATGGTAAAAGTTCCGAATTCTTCAAATCTAGTATGTACGAGAGAATAAAAGAAATTAGAAATAATTATTTTCATGAATAAAAAATAAACTTTAAAAATTCATGTCTTACATTTTTGAATAATTTATTTTTTGTAAACGTAAGAATTCACACAATATTGACCGATTTTGTAAGTAATTTTCATACAATTGATAAAATAAATGTATGATTCTTACGGTTTTTATTCTTACGTTTTTGAATAAATCATGATTTAAAAATTTTCAGAATCGTAAGAAATTTTCACAAACCCTTTACATAATGAAGTGAAAAATAAAAAAATTTAAAAAATAAACTTTAAAAATTCATGTCTTACGAAAAATTTAACATTAATTTTAAAATAATTTATTTTATCTTTTATAAAAGAAACTATATATAGATGATGTCAGATATTCCGCGATTAATTAAACATCATTTAAATCCTGAATGGGTTAAACTTCTTACGAAAAATTAAAACTTAGTTATGTTTATTATTTTATTTTTTAATTTGTATAAAATGAGTGGATCAAGATTCGTAACCGTCAATCAATTAATGGATGCTCTTTCACCAATTCTTGAAAATGTTAAACAAGTAGACGTTTATTTTGATGATTATGTAGAAAGTTTATATTATAAAGGTAAGTTTAATATTAAACCCATTGCTTTTGCATTTGATAATAAATTAATTGAAAATGCAAAAATTTGGAAATTAATTCCAGATATTGAATATATAACGAATATAACTAATAAATGGTTCAAACGAATTCCAACCACAAAAGTTCTTTGTAAATTAATGATCAAAACCGAGGCCAAAGAATTTCATGAATTTACATATCATCCAAATAAAGTTTCAGAACTAGAAAATGAAAAACTTCAGAAAAAATTAAACGATAGACTTTCAAATGATCGTATTGAAAAAATAAATAAACTAGCAGAAGTTGCATTTAATAATGAAATATTTGATGAATATAACCTTGAACTCAGTGATGGACTTTAAGTCCTGGGCACTTTATGCCTTGGGTTTTAAGGACCCAGGCTCAACGAGTCATGATTTATGAAATCAATAATTTGATTTATTCGCTCTTCAATAATTTCTATTCTTTTTGTTAAATCATCTATTTTCATTAATGAGGTGATTCTTGATTGAGGAATAGATTTCAAACTAACCACTCCTTTTATTTTTGAAATTTTGAATCCATCAACTTTAAACATTTTATTCAATTTACACGTTGTCAATTCTTCAAATAATTTTTTATTATTGGTATAATAGTCATTAAATTCTTCAACAGATGAAAAAATTTTTATTTCAGTAATTGGTTTAACAACGTTTATTTTTTGTTGAACATTTTCACTTTCATTTATTTCTTCCTCCTCTGTTTCATTTATTTTTAAAATCGGTTTCATTTATCATTAAATAAAAATTAGAATATAAGTGATGAAATATATTTTTTAATTTTAATGAAATAATCAGAAATGGCGGCAGGATTCTTTAAAAAATTATGGGAAGGAATTAAGAAAGCTGCGGGTTGGGTTCATCAAAAGATTATTAAACCCATTGCAAACTTTTTGGCACCAGTAGCGAAAACGGCAGGAACTATCATAGGTGGAGTATTAGGTACTAAAGCAGGTAATCCGGCGATGGGAGCACTAGCAGGTAACGCAATTGGTGGAATTGCTGAAGGAATACTTAATAAAATAGGAGGTAAATAGTGGAAAAATAAATAAATATTATTTTTATCTTAGTATCGGTTGTAGTCTTTGATAAACTTTTTCTCCTTTATTTAATATTTCTCTTATTGGGGGCTTTTGGCGTTATTGATTCAGCAACGTCACTAATTGCTTCTTTATTCTTAAATATCCAATTTGCTCCTTTCTTCATTGTTTCCCAAACTTTATGCGCTCCTCTTTTTACTTTATCCCACAGTTTCTTAAAATCCTGCAGCCATAGTTGATTATTTCATTAAAATTAAAAAATTCATTTTCATCTTTTAATTTTGATTTTTTATTTATTAATAAATGACGACTAACTATTTAGTGCCAAACACTAAACCGATTAATGGAAATGTGTTTCATTCATTCGAAAAGATAAATGAAATATTCGCAAAGAATGACGGAAGAAGATATTATAGAGAACTTGAAAGTTCATGCTATGACTCTGATACTCCATATTTTGATGATAAACAAACTCATTTAAGAATTACAAACCCAGCTCATGATGTGAATCAATTAGGTGACACATATATTAAACGCAAAGTTAAAGCAACTCTTGTTTCAAATAAAGCTTTCACATGTGATGCCGCTTTTAAATGCATGCGTTTATTCGTTGGTTACAAATCATCAAATCAAAGCTTTAAACAATTAGAAGTAGAAACCGAAAGAGGTGATGCCGGTTATCTTCAGATGGATTGCGCCCGTGAATCTTTCGCATTTGCAACATATAAACCAAAATCAGAAAGGAAAGTTAAAAAGTTTGTTCATTCGTTATATAATAATGTTCAAAAATATGATAACTCAGTATGTGGTAAATATATTGACCCTTCAGAAGTTTTCAAGAAAGCAAATGAAGAAGTTGATATCACTTTTGATATGATTATTCCGGTAAATGATTTGTTAGCATTTCAGGCGTTCGATGATTATCCTAAATCATTTGGTGATATCATTCTTAAATATTATGTTTTCAGGGATACTTTAGTATTTTGTCAGGTTGACCCGTTAAGAGTTGCTGATTTACAAAATTACGTTTATGAAAAGATAACTGATGAAAATTATGAAAAGATTATGAATCATGTTTATAAATATGATCGCAAATTCCAACAAATCGGACTTCCTGCCAAATTAATTACAAGCTTAGCCGCTACATCTGCTGACGCAACAGTTGATGACGTTATTATTTCATGCACAAAGATGGAAGTTTTAGAGGATAAATGCATTACACCAGGATACGGTTTAATTGAAGAATCAGTTAAAGCAATACCACGTTTATTCAGTAAGGAAGATCCATTCATGATTCCAGCTCAACATATTGACGTTCGTTCACTAAATGGAGGTTGCATCACTCCTGAAGGTATTAGCTCAGATTTCTCATACGCTCTTCATAATGTTACAGATGTTGTGTTAACATTTCCGAAGAATGCAATGCAAAGAACAGTTTTAGAAAATCCAATGCTTCGAGGTCTTCAGGTCACTATAGATTCCAGAAACTTCCCCGATCAAGCGATGACCACAGTGGGTGACATATTCTTTACACGTATGCTTCAAGCTTCTGATTTAGATGGAGTGAATGAATGCACGGAAGAATACGAGGACTCATTAACTAGACCACTGAATGATGATAATGGCACGCCATTAGCTAGAACATGGAAAGACCAAACTTCATTCTTATGCACTATTCCAGTTCAACGTGATGGAGCGGGTATATTCTTTGATGGATTAGAAACTTTCAACTCACAAGTTACAGTACAAGTGAAAGCTTATCCAATCATTCAGGGTGAAAATGACACTTACTGTTCAAAGGTGACAAATCCTCCTCAGGTTTGGTTTACTAGGACTACTATTGGACATGGACACCGGATGAAGGTTTGAAATATCATCCAACAGGTACACCACCACAGTATAGAAGTTCATATGATGAAATATTGATGAATAGAAATGTTTAAAATTAAAAATTTATTTTTGATTAAATGGATTTAAATTCTGAAGAATTAGCAGGAGTATATAATACATACGTAGATGATATGATTAATGAAGCATTGAGTGATAATAGAAATGCTCTATCTAAGGAAAAATTAATGAAAATTCCATATTCTGAATGTTATTTAAATTCAATCACTGCAGCAATTGGTAAACAAAATAAAGGTAAAACATTAACGATATTAAAACAAATTATCATTATTGCTAACACTACCCCCCATTCACATGTGTTAATTTATATCAACCGTTCAGGTTCACCTTCAGATGATACATTTGAATCTTTAAAGCATTTAATCAAAATTCCAATTATTTATTTATCACAAGAAGAAGCAGAAGATTATTTAAAAAACTTTTTAATGTATAAAGAATTATATAATACAATCAAGAAGCAAGGATTAGAGGATAAAATTATTGATAAACAACGGGATGAATTATTTGAAACACTTTCTATTTCAAATTTTGATAGAGAATTTTTGCATTCACTCATTTTTCTAGATGATGCAGTGAAATCAAAACTAATAACTAATGAGAAATCATATTTTAATCAATTATTAACTCAATGTCGACACATTCAATGTTCATTCTTTATGGCTGTTCAATACTTCAAAGCATTAAGCACAAACATTAAATCAAATCTATCAACACTTTTCATTTTCAGTGGGTTTAGTCGTCAACAGTTGAACGTTATGCTTTATCAAGTGAATTTACCAATGAGCATTAATGAACTTTACACACAATATCAACAATTAGGAGAACATGGAAAAATAATAGTTGATTTAAATAAAGGTTCCATTAAATTTGATTAACTTTTTATAATTAATTTTTATTTTTATTTATAATTAAACATGACAGAAATAGCAAATCTCTACAGGTTCCATTAAAACAAGGGACAAACAAAAAGGGTCCATATAATAGAACTATGAAAGTTCCTGATGGAATGAAAGAATTAGTTCATATTGTTGCTGGTCTTCAAAAAATGTTAAACAAATGAGAAACGTTTTAACATTACCAGAAGCTCAAGCATATGCCAAACGTCAAGGTCCAAATTGGGAAGCACATGAAGCAGACATTACGGGTCCAAATGGAAAACCTGATGGTATAAATGAAGTTTTCGTTACTGATGGTCAAGGTAATATTAAAGTCATAAATGGTTACAAATTAACTATATCTGATTATCCTAAACGTAAAGCATATAATGAACGTTATCCTATGCAATTTGATGAAAATGGAAAAGCTGTTAAACAATACATTGGAGAAGGTGAAAATGGTCCAATTAATTCATACCGTCATAATCCATATTCTTATTTCAATGAAGAATTAAATGCTATTGAAGAGGGACCGGATGGATTACCACGATATGTTAATCAGTTTGATGGTCAATATGCAAATTTGAGACCTGAAATTCCAGCTAAGAAATTCTTTAAAGTTGCTTTATTCGATCCAGTGTTCAATGAACAGAAAGAAGCAATGAAAGCAGAATTTAAACCGATTCAAGTGGCAAGAATTTCTTCATCTTCACTTTCAGAAGCGTTCAAGGAATTGATAAAGAAACCACTTTATTCTCAACAAGGTTATAACTTTGATTTAATTAAAGAAAGTGATAGACGTAAATTAGAAAAATCAGATGGTTTTAAGAATGCATGTAATGAAATGATTAAAGATATTGTAAATGATAAAATAAGACTGGAAGAAACTCAAAGCAATATCAATAACATAATTGGTGCAGTTACAAAGAAAGTATAAGCAAACAATGATGAACCTTGGGATATTACCGTAACAACTAAATAAAACTTTAAATATATTTTTCTTTTTTTATTCAATTATAAATGAGAAGACGTTTCACTAGTCAAAAGAACACTAACGCAAAAGCAGAGATTACGGTTGGTTATAACGTAAATGATGATAAATCACGAATTATTCAAAATGTTAAAGTTAATGTTAGCCCCGAATTAACAAGGTCAGCAACTCAACCAAATTTATTAACTCGTGACTTACCGAAAAAGGAGGAAGAAAACCATGAGAATGAAGACCCAATCATTTTATCTGAACCTGGTAAAGAACCCGTTAAAATTCCCACTTATCCAACATACCCCCCGCCTCTTTCATCAAACATCGAGAACCCAGGAATCTATGATTCCAGTCGCAATGCGCCATATAAAATAGACATTAATTCAGAATTAATGAAAATTTACCGTGATATAATAATTAATAATTATGATTCAATAATAAATTTAATTGACCAATCTGGTTTAATTATTTTACCTTATGAATCATTAATTCACATTATCGCCATTCTTTGTGATGTTCAAGATTCAGACGTTAAGATTCAATTTTTCATAGATGATGATGTTTCATGCTGCGGAACAGTTGCAAAAATAAATCCTATAAAGGATATTAGCACAATTAAGATATCAAAGAATGGAACAACAACTGAACTTCATTTAACATATAATGATATTTATAATAAAATAGTTGATGAATATAAAATATCACTTGAAAAAATTCTTTGTTAAGGCCATTTAATATTCAAGCATTAACATTATCGAATAATAATCCTTTGAATCATAATCAAATAATAATTGACCTTTCACCAGTTTCTATCGTTTGTTTTATTTCTTTTTGTTCCCCACTATCCGGATCGGTCATTGTAATTGTTTTTGTTATAGTATCAGCTTTATCTTTAACTTCAATCTTTTTTCCATCAGGATATTTAAACCAAAATTCCAAAAATCGATATTGTCAATCTGTTCATATTTTAATCTATCAATTACATTTTTAATACCATCTGAAAATCTTATGAAATGGTCATTATATGGGTTTGATTGAACTAAATTTGAATGAAGTGAAATATAACCTGTTGATGAATATGACATCGACTCATATTTTCTGAAAACACTAAAATTTATAACATGAATGAATTTCTTATTCGTTGAATTTATGAATTCTTGAGGTAATCTTATTCTAGTTTTATTTATCACTGGAAAATAACGCTTTACCATATTTTTAATCGTAATAAAAAATGTCAATTATCAATATTATTTCGAATAATAACTGTGAATTAAATTTAACAGTTAGCGGAATTTATAATGTTACTCTCGTTTCTGTGAGTGGTAAATTTAATCCCATTCTTTTAGACCCTTCAGATTATATATCATTTATTAAAGATGACCTTGAAAAAACGTATGATATGTATATAAATAATGTGATAGCGAAATGGGATATTAACATGATTTTAAGTTATTTAAATGAATCATTTATCGTATGGTATGAAGAAAATTTTAAATCAAAACCCGATAAACTTTTTGAACTTGATGAAATAAATAACCTTATTAAATTTCCGCTGAAAATTAAATTTTGTACTCCTCATTTTCGTTCATTGTTGGGGATATTAAATTTTGAAAAAGATGTTGGGGATGTTTTGTATTCTGACACCGGTTCCAATTTCATTTTAATCAAATGTGATAAAGTTAATACCCCAATGAGATTTTCACATCAAACATTAGACCCTAACTCTTACCCATCAATACAAAACATTTTATCCATCAACTTAAACACATTTTCTTTATCATATCCGTTTCAATTATCCGGGAATTCATTTATTCTTCATTCAAAAGATTTATCAAATTATAAATTTAGAGTAACTGACCTATTTGATTGTGATTTAGAATTTATGAATGAAATATTATGGCAATTTCAAATAGAAAAAATAGCTGATGAGATAACGGATTAAATATTTATTTTTAAATTATAATAAATGATTAAACAACAGCAACCGCAGACCATTACATACGCCATATATGCATATAATTCAAAGACGGCAGAACAAACGCAAAGGTTGAAATATGGAGATTTGGAGATAGTATTGAAAAATGACCATTTCGAATTCGTTTGCAAAGGTGGTGCAGTGATATCAAATATAAAAGAAATTTTATTTATGAATTCAAAAATTAAAGGAATAACGGATGATATAACATCAATTCCACCAGAAGAACAGAGATATTACGCATTAAATGCATTTCCTAAAGTTTTGAAGATTGGAAGATTTAATTTTAATGAGGAATTCATAAAAGGTTTCCTAAATGACATAATGAAGAAAGCGGATAAAACATATGTGGATGATGAGTTAGAGAAGAAGGCAGATAAGGAATTAATGGCTAGTGAGTTAATGAAGAAAGCAAATTTGGTTTATGTTGATGAAAAAGATAATGAAATTAAAGAAAGGGTTGAATGGTATCATGAATGGACATCAAAGATTTTAAAAACTAAAGCTGATACAGGATGGGTTTCAGGATGTTTAGACCTTAAAGCGGATAAGGAATATGTTAACAATGAGTTAGGGAAGAAAGCAGATAAGAAATATGTTAACGAAATATACCAAAGTTTGATAGGAACAAAAAATATTGAAACTATTGTTGGTGACTTTTCTGTCAATGAAGAAAATAAATATTTTAGATGGGAGTTTGTACACTCCTTAAGAAATGGTATACGGTATAAACTCATTCCGAAAAATAACAATGAAATGTATGTAAGCTATAAAAAGAATGATGGTACACAAGTTAAAGTTCCATTAGACAACAACTGCTACTTAAACTTATATGGAGACGAACAAAAGAAATATTTAAGAGTTTATGAAATGGTAGATATGACATTGCCTGACCCATCTCCAGTACCACATTATTATGACTATGGTGTTGACACACGTGTAGACCCAAAAAAGCAAACATTATATTTAGAATATTATAGATATAAAAGATATAATGCAATAGAAAAAACAAAGTATGATTTGAATTTATTTTTGTATTAATCCTGCTGTGTTGTCAAAATGTCATGTTGTCACATTTTTTCAGAGAAGTTAATTAACCTGGTGACACATGGTGACATGGTGACACCTTCAGTTCTTCAAAAATAATTCATAACTACCTTCCTCCTATGTTGTTGTCAAAATGTCATGTTGTCACATTTTTTCAGAGAAGTTAAATTACCCGGTGACACATGGTGACATGGTGACACCTTCAGTTCTTCAAAAATAATTAATTATCGAATAACCCATGTTGTTGTCAAAATGTCATGTTGTCACAAACTTTAGAACGGCATAATTTAAATTTTTATTTTTATCATAAATGAATACCCCACAAGCTCAAAATTTACCACGAATCATAACAAGGGAGGAAATGATAAAAATGATGCGAGAACTTGCTAAAAATAACAAACCACTAAAATTGAGAAAATGTGGTTATGCAGTAATGATGGAAAGAGAGATGTTGTCAAAGAGGAATAAAAATTAAATTTGGATTGAGTTTAAAAATTCATCTTTATTAAATTCATCTCTTCCAACCAATTTATTTATTCTATTAAATTCTTTTATTTTTGCTTCACTCAGTTTAAGGATTGAACGGTAAGTTTCTAATTTTTCGATTATTTCTCTCCTCTCTTTATCGTTTTCAGTTCCATTAGTTTTATTGTTTTCAACCCCACCGCATTGCGACTTCTTTTTGTAATAGCATATTTTTGATTTAATTCTGTTTAGTTTCTTTTTATATTCATTGTCTGGACTCTTGACTGCTTCGTTGTCACTCATTTTCTTACGAAATAAAAAAAAATTAAATATTATTTAAATATAATGGAGTAATAAAATAAATCGGAATTTCTATTAATTTATTGTCAACTTCAACTAATGCATTGCCGTTAATATATCTAACAAATTCAGCTATTGTGTCAAATCTTCTTCTTCTTTTTGTCATTGATTTATCAGTTTTTCCATAATCGAGATGAATTAAAACTTTATTTCCTTGTTTAAAATTCATGAGCCCCGAATTAATTTGTTCACGTTTAACATCATTCAACCTTTCCATTTGCTTTCTAATATATTCCCATTCTTTTGAAATATCATTTTTCATTTCCACCGGTTTCATGTTTATAGTTCTATGCCATGTATTATTATAATAATATACTAACTGTTGTATGATGGAGTCATGATTTCCATCCCAGTATATTGACCGTTAACCCCTAACGCATCTCTAAGAGTTCTCATTACCGCATCAACTATTTTATTATGAAACGTATATGGAAAGATGAAAGTAAAAATTAATTTGTGGGAAATAATGAGTCATAGCTGCCTGAAATCCTTTATCACCATCACCCCTTATATTATCTACTCTTTCATGATCTAGTAAGTATTGAATAGCTCTTCTTGTTTCCTGTTCTGTTTTCCCTTTCACTGGAATGCAATATAAATATCTAGTGTTAATGTTAATGGTAAATAAATAAGTAACGTTTCCTTTTGAATATTCTAAATGATCGATTTCGTATGAATATGGATATGGAGCAAATGAAGGTCGACTAAATTTTTCCTTTAACGGTTGAATTTTCGGGTCAGTTGGTTTATTTAATATCTTGAAATCCTTTTTAAAATCTTTTTGTTTCTTTAATGTTTGAAATGGATATAATAAAGTGAATGATGAAGGATTAACTGAAGGAGGAGGAGGTACTACTGTTGGAGGTTTTGGTGTTGCAAGTGGTTTAATTTTATCTGCTTTGATTTTGGAATTCATTCCCCCCTTCATTAATTCTGGATGTATTCTATTCATTTGTTTTAAATATGCTGTATATAAAGGTTTGATATACTTTCCCGCTTCGAGTTTATGTTGAAGGATGAATTCCAAAAGTTGATCTTCATTTAAAAGTCGGGCTGAATATGGTTTAACTAATGAATCATAAATTAAAGCTTGTGCTTCATTTATGGTCTGAAGGACCTGGGTGTTTTTTCCTTTAGCTGTTGAACATTTGCTACTTTAGACCTCGGCTTTGTTTTTTGTGGCTCAGGATTATATAAATTATATAATTCATCAATATCTTCTTCTGTTAATACTTTATTTTTGAAATCTTTCAACTGTTTAAGCTGTGATTTAGTTTTTCCCTTTGAATATTCATTATTTTTAATTTTGTCTTTAATTTTAGAAATTATTCTATCATGATATTTCAAAATTTCATTTTTATAATACGAATAATAATAATCCATATCATCACCCGTTATATTATTATTATATTTTTGGAGATATGATTTTAATTCATAATAACTAAGAAATTTTGATTAAGTACTAAATCATCAATTAAATTTTTTAAATCTGTGTTATCCATTTATATAAAAATAAAATAAATGTTTTAAGGGTGCCCACCTCTTTGAATCATAGTATCAAAACCATCATTAACGGTTCCTTTTGTCTCTTCTGTGGCATTTCATTAAATAAATGGCATACAACATCCATTTTCACAACATACAGCCTTAGTGTGTGCTCCTGTTAATGCAGTCTTACCAATTGTTAAGCGAGTCATTGACCCATTTTTAAGTTGTAAATTAATATTCTGACCATCAAATATCACTTTATCATTTATTATATCCAAATAATTTTTAGGTGTTAATTGTTTATTTTGTCGTAAACTAACACCTTTCATTTTTTGTGCAATCTTTTTAAAATCACTTCCATCAATTGAACCATTGAATGATGTATAACACTTAGGGCATAAAGCAACCATGTTATCACCTTGTTTCTCAATTGCTAAACCCAATAACTTCTTCTCATGTGCTTTTTCTTCAGCTTTATTCTTTAATTTAGGTTTAAATTTCTCATCAAAACAGAAGAAATCAAAAGGTGCGAATTTGAAAATGTTTTTATCATAAAATTTTTTATCGGTTACAATGCTGAAATGCTTGAGTGTTAGGAAGATTTGGATCACCAGCGATTGCCCAATAAGATGAATCAGTATCACCTTCAATGAAATGAAAACGATTAACATTCATGCATTTATACATAAAATCATAAATGAAAACCAAATACCAGTATTTAGCATTATCTAAAGTGAAGAATGCCTCTTGTAAACATGTATCACATCTATAAAATCTATCTTTAAGCATCACTTGATATGTATCTTCACCTATTTCTCTTATGTTTTTAAACTTATTTGACATACATGCAACGCGTGCCTTCTGTGCATTCATTATTTTAGTCTTTGTGTAATTTTGTGTATTCATTGCATCGTAACCATATGATCCATTAAGTGAAATCTTGCAAAATAAACTTTTTCCTTTATTTCCTTCTAATTCAGCCTTTTGTCTTTCGTTCATAAATTTGTTCGCAAATTCATTAAAACAAGTGTTTTTAGTAAATGTTAAAATTGATTGAATGTCATCAATGATAAAATGAAATCTGTCTATTAGATACCAAAGATAATAAGAAGAAAATGGTTGATATTGGTTGTGTGTTGATGCTAACTGAGTTAATTTTCTCTGTTTCTGGTCAACTGGTAGATTGTTTGATTTCATGTAATTATACATAAAACTGCCAATTGTTTTTTCATCTGTGATAATATCTAAGTTTCTTATTATCGGTAAAAAGTTTATGTAATCATTAATGTATTTTTCATCAATGTGACCCTTTACTTCAGCCACGAATAAAGTATTTTTCTTCTTAATTATTCCCAGTGCTTTTGCTTTCTTTGTTGCTGTATCACAAATGATAACACCATTCAATCTTCCCGGCATATACATTTTATGGTCAGTATATTGAATGAAATCATGAGGATTAGATGAAAATGATGAAGGATATAATGAATTAAAGTCAACACCAACGAAATGAGTCATAATGTTGGTGGTGTCCTCATTTGATACAGTTTTAGTTTCTGGATTATATGAAAGTTTATTAATGTGTGTGATTCCTTTAAGATTAACACGATGTTGAACATTTGATAAACCAGTAATTCCATTACGGAGAATGTGATAAGCTTCAACTGAATCTAAAGTCATTGGTAAATTATTTTTTAATGCATAATTTCTTAAATTGATTCTTAAACGTTGAACATCTTCATCTTTATTTGATTTCACGACATTGCAATAACAACACATTAACTGACAATTTTCTTTGGTATGTGGTTTTTCATTATCGATTCTATCTAATGTTGGTTTATTTGCATATGTAAACGCTTTACCACACATTTTGCATTTAGATGAAAGGATTAAATCATGATAGTATTGAAAATCATCCATTGAAACATTATTTTTAGTATCTCTTTCTGCTTTTTCATCTTGTTTCTTATATGATTCAATTTTATATTTCCAATACTTTTTTGTTAATTCAAAACTTGATTCCACATTTTCTTCTTCTGGATATGTTTCGTTAGGATTAAAGTCTTTATATGCTAACGCGTAACGAATCATTGATGCATTCGATGATAAAGAAAGATTATGAAGCATATCAATTTTATAAACAAATGTTTCTTCGATAATTTTATCAATTGGGTCAATCATAATTTCAACATCTTTATTGCAATAATGAATAAAATATTCTAATCTATTCTTAAAATTTTTAGCATCATTGAGATATATTTGATAATCTGAATCGGATATTGTTTCTTGTGTTAATGCTGAATAAAATGAATCTTGAGTGAATGGTTCCTTTTTATATAATTCATCTTCGTAATTCTCCCATGTGATGAATTGATAAGGGAAAAAGGATTTAACACGTGATTTATTGTTTCCGAAATCTTGAGTGAATTGGTCTAATGTCCCACCCGCTATATAATTTCTGATGTCAATAAATCTTAATTCATATGGACAGTTTGTTTTCTTTACTATGACTTGCTTAAATTGTGAAGAAGAACCCAGCATTGATTTTATTTTCCATTTTGCAGTATTTAAATCACGAAGAATTAAATTTAAATCAAACTTTCCTGAATTAAAACCTATGATATTCACTTTATTGAATCCCTCATCTAAAAGTTCTTTAAATGCTTCCTTTTGTTTTTCATTTAATGTATGGGACAAAGTCCCCGCCGTTTGGTCTGTTTGCGGCTTCATTAATTCTTCATATTGTTCAATATTTGATTTAGCAACTAATGAACAGGTTGAAAATAAAAACTCAATCCAATCAGAGATGAACGAATCACTTGATGTTAAGCAAAAATTCCTCGTAAATGTTTTATCACGGTCTACGACCTCGCCGCTTCGGTCTACAACCTCAGGACTCAAAGAGTCCGTTTGCGGCTTTATTTTGACAGTTGATGATACCATAAATGGTTTTAAGTAAGCGTTCAAAGTTGCACATTCAGAAAGTTGAAGTTCTTCTTTAGTCTCTAATGTTTCGAAGTCAAAAGTAATATAATATCTTGTTGGTTTATAATATTCCTGCAAATTATGTGCTAATAGCCATTGATATATCTTCTGTTTCGTGATATGTGGTGCATATGGTTGTTGTGTGTTTTGCAATTGAACGTCTTGAATTAATCTTCCATTATTTTCTTTACATTTCTCACAATGTTTTAAAAATCTTCTTTGGTTTTTCCTTTCTGGATCATCACGGATAGAATATACTTCTTCTTTGCAAAAGGGGCAAACTTTATATCCTGTGAGTGCTTCAACGTCTGTAATTCTGTCAGCGTGAAGTTTTCCACATGGACTCTGTGTTAATAAAATATTTACTGTTTCAAATTCTGGATCTATCATTATTGATTCCACTAATGGAAAGTCTACCTTGTTAATGTCTACGTCTTCTGGTTGAGGGTCACAATAATAAAAATCAATATTAACATTTAACATTCTTGCTAACCTCTCACTTTCTGATGAAATGTCAAATCCTTCATATGCATCTATTGCTTCATTTAAATAGCTTCTACGAGTTTTAGGATTAACACCATCAGGAATGTTATAGAAGCGTTTAAATAACCTTCTACCTTCTGCTCTAATTTGATTATCATTCATTTTAGCTGTTCCGTTTTTGTTCATTTATGTAAGAATAAAAATTAAAAAAATAAATAAAAATAAAGTTTATTTATTTTAAAGTCCGAGACTCAGAGAGTCCAGGGCTAAAGTCCATAAAATGAATTAAGAACACATAAATTTTTATCATCTGCGACGTGACGAATACATTTTAATTTACTCAAGAATGCGTACCCTGATACATTAAATCTAATTCCTGTCTTATTTAATTTCACAACTTTGAAAAGGAATGTATGAATAGCTATAAAATGATGAGATGATGTTTTATGGGTTGCTTCCATTTTTTCTGAAATAAATGAATAAATATAATGCTTATACGTTTTCATATCTTTTATGTTCTTAATAACGAATGGTATAGACCTTTCCACTTCATCTTCCTTCGGTGCTGTTCTTTCATATGAAACATTATTGGTATCTTCAATAATGAAACCACAATCACACAAAATTTTATAGGTTCCAATGGTTTCTTTTGATATTTTATCTAATAAATCAAAAACTTTATCAACACCTGTACATTTATTTAAATAATAATTTGTGTAAATATCATGATCTTCTTTCTTAATCGTATTTGTTGCATATGTTACATTTTTCAGTGCTTTTTTGAATTTTTCAGAATCAAGAGGAGGTGAAAGTAATATACAAGGGTATTCTTCATTATCAATAAATTGTAACTTATGTTTACGAATAAATTTAGTACCTTCTTCTGAAAGTGTTTCGTCTATTTCACCATCTAATAAATTTTGTGTTGATTCTGAGACATAATTTTTATATCTTTCTTCATGAGATTTCTGAACTTCTGATTCTGAAGCTGGGATATTCATTAAACCCTCTACTTCATTTTCATTATATTTTTCAACTTCTCTTAATTCCTTAATTTTTTCATCTATTTCATCTCTTATTTTTTCCAGTCTTTCAATTTCATCATATTCATCATCATCTTTAATCCGTTCTTCATAATATTCAGGGAAAACATCGGGTTCTTTAGGTTTTTCTTCTTCAGATGTGGGATATAAGAAATTTATAACATCATCTTTATTCATTTTTCCATCATAATCAAACTCATTTAAAAACTCAGCAAATTTTTGACAATTTCATAAATAATATTTACTAACTTCATAACCCGCCTCATCTAATATATCCTTTATTTCCTCATTTGTGAATCCTAATGTTTTCACGTCGTTAGTTTTGACACTCATTTCATACAAAATAAAAAAATAAAATAATAAACATAACTAAGTTTTAATTTTTCGTAAGAAGTTTAACCCATTCAGGATTTAAATGATGTTTAATTAATCGCGGAATATCTGACATCATCTATATATAGTTTCTTTTATAAAAGATAAAATAAATTATTTTAAAATTAATGTTAAATTTTCGTAAGACATGAATTTTTAAAGTTTATTTTTTAAATTTTTTATTTTTTACTTCATTATGTAAAGGGTTTGTGAAAATTTCTTACGATTCTGAAAATTTTTAAATCATGATTTATTCAAAAACGTAAGAATAAAAACCGTAAGAATCATACATTTATTTTATCAATTGTATGAAAATTACTTACAAAATCGGTCAATATTGTGTGAATTCTTACGTTTACAAAAAATAAATTATTCAAAAATGTAAGACATGAATTTTTAAAGTTTATTTTTTATTCATGAAAATAATTATTTCTAATTTCTTTTATTCTCTCGTACATACTAGATTTGAAGAATTCGGAACTTTTACCATAATCTCCTAAATGTTTTCTTATCCCTAACGTGTGCCAGTTATTATATGAAACTGAATAAACTTTATCTTTATCTTTACACCTTTCATCACTTCCAATATATTTATATCTCAGTTTTGATTTAGCATTTTCATATTCATTAACGTTTAATAATTCACAGTCTTCCTTTTTAAATTGATGTTTAAGATATTCAGGATTTAATACTCTACGTTTATATGCTCCTAACTTAGTTCTAAAGGTTTTTCTACAAAATTTAGGAATTCCATCCTCTTTAATGTCATCAATGATTTCCATTTCATTATTTTCAATTTCTTCTTCTCGTTTATGAGGTCTTTGATTATGACTCCATTGATTCCATGAAATTAAATATTCTTTATCATTATATTTATACCTCATTAGCTTATTTTGGCTTTCATATTCATTTAATAATTCACAATCTTCATTTTTAAATTGAAGTTTAACCCATTCAGGATTTAAATGATGTTTAATTAATCGCGGAATATCTGACATCATCTATATATAGTTTCTTTTATAAAGAAAAAAATAAATTATTTTAAAATTAATGTTAAATTTTTAATGATTTATAAATAAATATATTTTAATGCATCGTCTATATATAGATGTAACAAAAAAAGTCACTAAACCCTTCAACATATACTACTAATTGTTCGTAATGAGAAACACTCTATATTCTATAATAATGTTTATTTGGATGGAAAATTCTCGAAAACAGGTCAAAACAGTTGATTTTTAGGTATCAAATTCATATATTCTATTTAGCAATTTGCTCTTCTGTCTTTGGCTTTTCCTTGAAGATCGCAGAGTTTGTTTGATCGATTGCCTTAACGCAGAGGAAGTTAGCAATTCTCAATTCGACTTGTTCGGCAAAAATTGATGGTTGATTCTTTCCTTCTGTCTTGATTGACATTGAATCGAAGAAGTAAATATCTGTCTGGATATGAGGAATGCCAAGGAAGATCAAAAGGTGCCATAATGAATGGTGGAAGAAGGAAAGATGGGAACAATCAGCTGGGTAACCGAAGATTGTGTAACGAATAGCGACTGGCTGTACTGGAAGATCGGAAAGGAATGCTCCCAAGTGGAACTTGAACATGTAAAGACCAGATGTTGTAGCACCTTCTGGGGCAAGCATGGCTGGTGGGGCTTCTGAGTCAAGGGCGTTGTCAATGAGCTTCTTGGAAACGCCAGAGTTCTTAGAACGGTCGACTGGGATGCCGTCGAAGACCTCAAGCATATCGCCAACGATTGGCCATGAGAAAAGTTCCTTCTTGGCAAGTGGTCTTGGGCCAAATGACAAGAAGAACCAGCCATCAAGGAATGTAACGTGGTTGCAGACCAAAAATCTGGCATCTGTATCAAGTTCACCATGATAGTTAACTTTGTGGTAGCCTAAAATGAACAAAAGGATTCTGGCAATAGCAGCATAGTAGGCTTGAAGCTTCTTTCTGAGATCTTCTGGTCTTCCGATTAAACGCCAAACAAAGCAAGCGAGAGCGAAGCTTGAAAATGCAATAAGGAAGTATGGAAGAACAATGAGAAGCTTTGGAATACCAATAAGAATGAAAAAGATGACCTGGACGATTTTTTGGTTTTGTGTATAAACTGGAAGCTTTCTTAATTCAAGAAGTTCTTCGATGGATACATGTGTAAGCTCTTTCTGATTGGCATATTGCTTATCTGGGTTCTCCGGAGGGTGGAGGCGTGTGAATGGAGCCATGAAATTTTTTAATTCAAAATTCGAAAATTTACAACATTCAAAAAAATGATCGGAACAATTTTTAATCGACCATTTGGCTATTGATTTGGCAAATCTTGAAAAATATTTTTGAATAATTCTAGTAATAAGAAGATCAAAAAATCATCTCTTTTACATTTTCGAAATAGGGGTTCAGCCATGTGATATGAAACGGATCAGAATAAAAGAATAGAGCACTTTTATTAAAAGCTGAATCTCTGTGATAACTCCTGTATTCAATTGATCTCAGAGCATAATGCACTGAAAATCGGATATGATCCAAAATATATAACTCTATTTTAGCTAGATTGAAAGAGTCTACATGAATATATGATGTTTACAATTTATTATGTCGTGAAAAAACTATTCCATTTTCTATTAGATCTTTCCAAAAAGGCTCCAAGGAGAATTTTGTTTTGATTTGAAGCAAATACATTCGCAATTAAACACCACATACAACCAATATATGTAGAATATGGATTTTATGTTTATTTTCCGAACACATACTGATGCTAATAAATTGAATTTTGTTTAACCCATTATATTTGAAAAATATCACCCATGATCTAAGTATAGTGTATTGTGCTGTTATCAGTTATATTACAATGAATGCTAAATCATCAAGCAAGATTTGGGATAAAATTTCGAACTCATTGTATGTTACAATCATTCTAATTTAAAATTTATGAAACCTCAAAGATATATTTGTATAGTGAATTACTAAATATTTCATACTGTCGATAAATTTATCAAATTCGATATTTCAAATTTTACAATTGGTATAAAAGGATATATTTTTATATTATGCGGGGTAAAAGCATGGTAAAGTTTTAATATTTCATATGGAAGTATCTATGGTAGTGAAAATTGAAATTCACGATATTTATTGAGTTAGCTTTGCTTGATGATTTAGCATTCATTGTAATATAACTGATAACAGCAGAAAATCATATATATTGGATAATGTATCATATGAGAGTCAATATCAGAGAATAAAAAAATTGAAAGTTTTAGTAATTCAAATAAAAATAGTTTACTAATATTTTGTGTATAATGATTATCTTAAAAAGCAAAAAATAAGATATATTTTTTTGAAATAATTTCGATTTCGAAAAAAAGTTTTATGTTCGGCAAATGAACTTCAAAACAAGGTTTATTATAGGGAATTCTAACCATTATACTATGCACATATGGACTCCAAAATTAATTTTCAAGTATTTGATCGCGCCCCAACCCCAAGGGCTGTTGTTTTGTGAATATGAAGAAACTGTGCAGACCAATATTATTTTCTATCCGTAAACTCACATGATTTATATTCATAAGTTCTTAATTTTTGAATATATTAGTAATTTGAGAATATATTGCTTTTACTAGTAAAAAAATCAATAAAATACAATATTCATATATATTAAAATATTATCCATTTCATATCAACTCTTGATTGAAGATTATCGAAATCAAGATACCCTATATTTCCAACTCTTGGAAAATTTTCATGACCCCCAGGGTCCTAAAATGGGTATTTTCCTCACACAGACACCGTGGTTTTTTGAGCCGGGAAATAAATAGCACAGACAGTTTCTACATATAGAGACATGCTTATACTTAGAGTTTGACGGGAATCTAAAGTGATTCTTTTCTGCATCGCGAAATCTAATGCAATCTCAAAATCATGAAGAAACTGCGAATCGGAGCGCAATTTTTTAATATGTTAATATATAAAGGTACCCCTACTACTGCAAATGCTTCAAATGAAAATCTAAGAAATCAGATTAATTTGATCACATTAGTATAGTATTGGTCAAACCAAAAACTCATATGTTGATATATAGCCTATGGATATTCATATTATCTACTTTTCATTGAATTACATAAGATTTAATAATCTCATAAATATTCTTTTTAATTTTCCGAATTCCGTGTGCATTTAGATTGCCCATACTTGTATATAATAATTCTAGAATGGTTTGGTTAGATATTAAGTTTTTTAGATTAATATTTTAACATTTTGATAAAACAAGCATTTGTTCCATTTTAGAATCGCCATTGAACTCTGGTTTGACTAACATGATGTTGTATGATCAAATAAATTCTAACTTCATGAGATAAATTTTGAAATTAGAAAATGCGATATCTGACTCAAATATTTATATGAACACATTTAACATTCAATGATAAACTAAAGTACTATACAGCAGATTCGATTTGGCTTATATTTTATATAATCAACTAATAATCCTATAAAATTGTGCTATTCACGTTGCTCAAAGATGTATTGAACATTCACTACTTGTGTATTGATAAAATTAGATATTGATTCTAATGTAAATCGATATTTTGAAAATTCATATATATTTTGTCTTGGTTTGGCATTTGATCGTGTTGAAACCGGAATTGCAATATATATCATCTAAATATATAACTATCAAAATATGAGCTATAGATTTTTAAATTATTCTCCTGAATATGAGTGACTAACATAATTATATTGAATTAGGTAGTAAGAATCTTAAATATTAGAATCTGACGATAATTTATTATAACTGTATAAAGGAACAAGACTATAAATGATGATGAAAATAAAGATTAAATTTAAATCTGAAAATTTGAAAACATTAAGTGTATTGTGCACTCTTGTCGGTCACAGTGTCTCATCCCGGGAGACATTGTCACTGCATGTCTCCCAGAATGATATCAAGTTCCCCATTCATAACTTGAATGCGGAACTTTGAGCGACAAGAGTGTATTGTGCACTCTTGTCGGTCACAGTGTCTCATTCCGGGAGACATTGCCTCTGAATGTCTCCCAGAATGAGACAATCTTCTGCAATCAGAATGTGATTGCAAAACTTTGAGCGACAAGAGTGTATTGTGCATTCTTGTCGGTCACAGTGTCTCATCCCGGGAGACATTGCCTCTGAATGTCTCCCAGAATGAGACAATCTTCTGCAATCAGAATGTGATTGCAAAACTTTGAGCGACAAGAGTGTGTTATCCACACTATTTGTTTATATACTATGTTTTTAGATCAAACCCTTTACATACAATTGTTCAAATATAATTTTCTCCATTTAATATTTATTTTATATTTTTTGTGCTTTATATAACTTATGGCGTCTACCGAACTATTTTACAGACTCTTCTGAGCTCTTCCCACATATAAACATGTGACAATAACACATACATACTCCCTTCATATTCTGATCTCATGACATATTACCCCAAAAACTATATTTATACAACACACCTCATAAAGTCTCATTTTACACCTATCTAAGCGTTCAAAACCTATTTTTCCCGCGTAATCTGATTCTTCAGGTTCCGCTGATTCGATTTCTGCTGTCAGATCGTGAAAATATGCATCACATAACAAGATAAACGCAAATTACCTAACTTAATATTTTCCATAAAATTTCTCTTGAAGTTCATCCTCTAAAAACATCATTTTTCAAAAATTTAAATTTTTCAAAAAATGAATGAATTTAAAAGTTTAGATCATAACTAGTCATTACCCAATATTAATTTTGTATTTTAGTTTTTGAGATATTCATTTTACTATACGTATTATTCAGAAAATTAAATATATTTGTGGGGAAAAACGGAAGATATAATAAATGTTTTCATATCGATGAATAGGTAATTTGAAGAAAAAATAATGAATTTTGAATTGCGTTTATCTTGTTATGTGATGCATATTTTCACGATCTGACAGCAGAAATCGAATCAGCGGAACCTGAAGAATCAGATTACGCGGGAAAAATAGGTTTTGAACGCTTAGATAGGTGTAAAATGAGACTTTATGAGGTGTGTTGTATAAATATAGTTTTTGGGGTAATATGTCATGAGATCAGAATATGAAGGGAGTATGTATGTGTTATTGTCACATGTTTATATGTGGGAAGAGCTCAGAAGAGTCTGTAAAATAGTTCGGTAGACGCCATAAGTTATATAAAGCACAAAAAATATAAAATAAATATTAAATGGAGAAAATTATATTTGAACAATTGTATGTAAAGGGTTTGATCTAAAAACATAGTATATAAACAAATAGTGTGGATAACACACTCTTGTCGCTCAAAGTTTTGCAATCACATTCTGATTGCAGAAGATTGTCTCATTCTGGGAGACATTCAGAGGCAATGTCTCCCGGGATGAGACACTGTGACCGACAAGAGTGCACAATACACTCTTGTCGCTCAAAGTTTTGCAATCACATTCTGATTGCAGAAGATTGTCTCATTCTGGGAGACATTCAGAGGCAATGTCTCCCGGGATGAGACACTGTGACCGACAAGAATGCACAATACACTCTTGTCGCTCAAAGTTTTGCAATCACATTCTGATTGCAGAAGATTGTCTCATTCTGGGAGACATTCAGAGGCAATGTCTCCCGGGATGAGACACTGTGACCGACAAGAATGCACAATACACTCTTGTCGCTCAAAGTTTTGCAATCACATTCTGATTGCAGAAGATTGTCTCATTCTGGGAGACATTCAGAGGCAATGTCTCCCGGGATGAGACACTGTGACCGACAAGAATGCACAATACACTCTTGTCGCTCAAAGTTTTGCAATCACATTCTGATTGCAGAAGATTGTCTCATTCTGGGAGACATTCAGAGGCAATGTCTCCCGGGATGAGACACTGTGACCGACAAGAGTGCACAATACACTCTTGTCGCTCAAAGTTTTGCAATCACATTCTGATTGCAGAAGATTGTCTCATTCTGGGAGACATTCAGAGGCAATGTCTCCCGGGATGAGACACTGTGACCGACAAGAATGCACAATACACTCTTGTCGCTCAAAGTTTTGCAATCACATTCTGATTGCAGAAGATTGTCTCATTCTGGGAGACATTCAGAGGCAATGTCTCCCGGGATGAGACACTGTGACCGACAAGAATGCACAATACACTCTTGTCGCTCAAAGTTTTGCAATCACATTCTGATTGCAGAAGATTGTCTCATTCTGGGAGACATTCAGAGGCAATGTCTCCCGGGATGAGACACTGTGACCGACAAGAGTGCACAATACAAATTATCAAATGAGAGAAAATCGCTCAACAAAAAAACAATTCTTTCAAAAAGTTTACAATTGATCTTTCTAATACATATTTTTGGAAGGGCGTAAGATACGCCAACTTAAAAATATTATCAAATGAGAGAAAATCACTCAACAAAAAAACAATTCTTTCAAAAAGTTTAAAATTGATCTTTCTAATACATATCCTATGGAAGAAGTTTACATTCCCAAAATAAAAACCAGTTCAAAATCTTATTATTCCTTGAATAAAAATCATTTAATTTTAAATCCATTCCCACTCCTTAAATCTGTATTAAAATCATTTTGCCAACAACCAATACAATACAAATTACATTTCCATATATCTTCTTGTCCATTTTAATTTTTTATCTCATTTTATTTAATTTTATTTAAAGCATATAGACATCGAGATCCTTTACACATAGTTATATAAAAGTCAAATACATAATAAATTCTTAATTCTAGAGATATCTCAAAATCTCATTTTTTTAATTTAAAATACCTTTCATTTTTCACAGTACGATCACAACAAACAAGCCATTTACTAATTAACACATATAAGAAAAATATCAAATTACAAAACAACTTTCAATATCATTCGCATCAAATTCTATTTTTTCATAATTATCAACTACATGTTATTATATAATATATGTCGGCGCATATACCACTCTATACAAGTGTCAGACACACTCACACAAAGCTGTGAGATTCATACCTCTATCAGTAGGACTTCTCAAATCAAGAACACATATGTTTCACTATCGTACATCTGTGTAGGATCTAATTAATCCTTTGGACTGGTACTTCAAAATTTGATAATTTGATAATTTCATGTGATATCGTCATTTGCCTTTAAAACAACTGTGCGTTAAACTAGACACGTTTCTCTATCATAATGCAAAATATCAAAGTTTGGGAGACTCCCAAAGTGTCTGAAACTGATCATAAGGGTATTTTCTAGATCATTCAAAACAAAAACTGAACTAACCATTACAATTTTGAGATTAAATAAATAACATTTTAATATTTATAAATGCAAAATTCCAGTTTTTTTAGGAAATTGGCAATCTACTTTTCAGATTTGGGAAACTTTTGTTTCTCTGGAATCCTTGTCTTATAAGGGATGTTTCAATTTTTTATGCACGTGGATGGGTTTTGAGATTTTGTATCTTTCATAAAAATGAAAAAGAATGTGATAATTAGTTTCTCCTAATATTGCGACTAGTCATGCTGCAATCAGAATTTAAAAATTTTTCTCACCAATGTAAATATGTCAATTTTTTCCAAAATTGATTTTGGACGAAAAAAACCAAGTTTTTTCAAATTAGGTATTCATTCAATTTGAGTGCTACCACTAGATCCCTCTCATCATGTAGATGATGGATCAGGTGTCTGTTCATTCCAAAAGCAAACATATGTGGCTACAAATGCACTTTTAGGTGCAATCTTAATTGAATGCCCTCTCAAAATTGAATGCATGAACGTGGAGCCTTAAAAGAGAAAAAACATGAGATATGGCAGATCCTATCTATGAGCGTGATATTATAATGTATGTTTCAAAAAATGAACAATGGCTTTAAAATTGATCAATACAACTGCGAATCCAGAAAATTATTTGTAAACAAAATTTAAAAACATCATACATTTAAAGCACTTCACAAAGGATTTTGTTTTAACTATGAGATTTGAGAAAATTTTTATAAAATTTTATAAAGGGCCGATCAAAAATATTGAGGGGAAAAATTAATCATGTCAGGAGATAAAGAATTATCTGAGGGCGATTGTACAAAGATTTTTCTAAATACTCTTGGCATTACTGAAGAAGATTTACCAAAATACTATGACCATCTCAAAGATCATGATAAATCATACCAATGTCACAAAAATTTTAAAAATTCAGCTATTTCAGTCTTTTGCGAACAGTGCAGCCGATCTCAGTCGAATTTAGCAAGATCATGTATTTGTGTTCCCTGCTATTTAAACTCCAATCATAAAGGTCATAATGTCTCATATTATGTTACAGAAAATTTTATCTGCGATTGTGGAAATCCAGTTAATTGGGATCCCGATAACCCATGCTCATTGCATAAAAAGCCCACTACTAATGAAGACACGTTAACATTAGATTCAGAAGAGAGAAGCACTCTCGAGAAAGCGATCAAGAATAGTATTACTAGTACATGCTGTCCGTTTGAGATATTCTCGCAGGTTGTTAATATCGGCAGCGGTATTTCTCATTTAATCTCTCAATCATTGATTGAAATCATGGATTTTGATAAAACATTCCGAACATTTGTACACTGGGAGACAGACCAAACATCCCGAGCTATCAATTTCTTTTGTTCTATGTTAGTTGAGTCAGATTTTAGTATTTATTACGGAGAAGCTTTTCTCGACTACTACCAAGACTTCCTTACAGATACAATCAAAGCTGTTGCCAAAGATTGTCTCTCAAACGAAGTTGCAAATTACGCGATATTAGCACAAACGGCTTTTAGCTTTTTTACGAAGCGATTCATATCGCACTCCAAGAAATTCCTAGAGCCAGAAAAGTACAATCTTGTTTCCTGGTTTCAAGATAAAATCAAGATATTATTAGAATGTCGATTCTTGCCATTACCCAAATTTAAAGAAGCCAATATACTCAGGGAAACAATCAACTACATGGCCGGACTTGTTCAGCTCATTGCAGAGCAGGACACAACGAAACATTTACTTACAGAAATTCTCAACATCATTTTTAGTTACAGTTATGTTCTTGAGAATGATTTCACTTTTACAAAAGTACTTCATGACTACGATAACGATGAAACAATGATGGGATTGGTCTTCTATTATTTGGGTCTTTTACCTTACTCTGTTTTCAATTACATGGGTCAAAAAGATCTGTTTACAAAATCCGTTTTAGACGATTATTATTTATTTTTACAAAACAAGATATTACAAGATGAATATCAAGATGAAGATTACGGAGGTGTTCTTGACGGAGAAACAGAGATCACGCCTTGTCTGAGTTTGCATGCCGCTTTGAGTTATTTCCTTTGGAAAAATTTGGAAAACGCCCAAAATATTTTGTCAGAATTTTGCCAAGAGAAAAACATCGACTTAAATTACTTTTTAAGGATGTCATGCTTATTAGTTGTAAGACATTTTGCAACTACTTTGTTGGCAATGTTAAATTGTTTTAAAGGAACTTCAGAATTTTCAATACGAGCTGTTTTCTTTTCAATTGTTCCAATCAATGTCAACAATATTTTGAAGCCATTGTTTAGATTGATACAAATGTGTTTCGCAATGACAGATGAAAAAGGAAAGTTCTTGGATATGATTTGGAAAACTTTTTCACAAAAAAGTGACATTGCTTACAAAGAACAAATACAGAATTCATTCATTTATTTCTTAGATTGTTTGTTGTTCGACAGATTGATATTTAAGAATGACGATTTAACAATGAGAAGAATCACGTATTCAAACAAACTGAAAATCATGGGAAGATGCAAATTTAATGACATAAAATACCCCGGAATGTGGAATGAAGCTCGCTTGGAAAAGGATTTCTTCGATTACGCGGTAATGGAAAAATCTAACTCTGGTAATTTCTATAAATTGAAAAGTGACAAATACGTGTCACCTTTTGCAATTTGGATTTCATTGCGAGATAACTTGAAATTGCAATCAATGATCATAAAAGGTGATAAGTTTTTGACTGCTCCTGAGTTTGAAGATATCGGCGGTTACGGTTTTGACAAAGTTTTTGATGAACCAGTTTTAGAAGAAATTTTATCTGATTTCTTCGTTTCTAACAACGCAACTGCAATAAATATGGGTTTGCCAATCATCAAAAATATGTCAAATTTATCACCTCACTTCACTTCTGTCATTTGCGGTTCTCCAATTGGCGAAAAATTCTTGATTTTAGAAGGAAAAATAAAATCAGAAAACTCTCAAGAAATTTCAGAGAAACCGCCAAATTCTATTCAAAAATCGATCATGTTAAATTACATGAAAAATAACGAACTCGACGAACTCCTCAAATACGATGATGAAGAAGACGAAAATGAACATGAAAAGCACCATCATCATGGCCATGACGAAGATGATATAAATCAAACATGCTTTTTATGTTTAAGCGATTCCAAGACGAGTAATTTGTGTTATCCAGTTTATTTCACGAAGACAACAGTATACAGTGAAATAGAATACAAGTTATGTGGTTCAGAACTCAAAGAAAACAAGAAACTTCCACAATTAGTTATGTGCCAACATTTAATCCATAGAATGTGCATTGATTCTCAAGTCGAAGTTTGTCCAATCGACAAGGATTTGATTAACGCAGCTTTGCCAATTATAAAAGACGTGAATCAAGTAGATGATTCAACAGAATCTGACATAAATGAATTTGTCAAAATGGTCTTTTGTAATAATGATGATCCAGAAAAAATGTTGGAAAAAAGATTTGAAAATATTTTGAGTCTTTTGTGCCGTCACGTTTCAATAAGTGAAGTGAGATATCGTACCAATCCAAAGTGTTACAAACAAGAGTCTTTTTACTTGATTACTGAGAATTTGTACAAAATTGCGAAGTTCCTCAAAAAGAAAGACAATGTTTCGAAAATTTTCAGCAATGATATCTTCGAAACAATCGTTTTCGACTATTTATTTGATGACATAAACTCAAATGAGTTTACTAATCTTTTAAAGGATTTGAAGCCTTTAAGATTATTCGTCATTTTGAGGAGAGTCGAAATTCTCAAAAACGTAATTTTGAAAGAAACCGAAACGGTTAATTTTGAAAATATTTTGACATCAGAAAACTTAATGCCAAAATACAAAGTCAACCTTGAAAATGTTACATTACAAAAGTATACATTGGACTTACCCAAAAACTACATTGACATTTTTAGAGACGAAAGATGTCAAAACGCTTTTGTTTTCGATGCTTCATGGTTTAAGATTTTGCAAAGCGACAAAATCATTGAATACGAAAGTCTTAAGAGTCTTGAGAAACACGATGAAGCAAATCCAATGTTGGTTTTCGCAATAAATGAAAGAATTGCAACAGAAGTTTTCATCATTTCTACAAATCCAAGAGCTTTTCTCGGCCAAAAGAGTGTTTATTTGAATGAATATGGTGAAGAAAACATCGGTATTAAATCAAATGGATTCTTAACATTGTCTGAAGAGAAATGCGATGAAATAATTGATGACTACTTGAGTGGAGAATGGATGCACCAGTTATCAAGAGAACAAATTCAGGCCGCAATGGATATCTTCAATTTTGGCGATTAATTATATATTTCTTTTTATATATATATATGTTTTGTTATAATAAAAGTATTTTACTATTTGTTTTGTTTTATTATATTGGTTCCTGCTTTATATTTCTCAATAATTTTAATTGATCTTTAATATCTTTTTTAAACTTAGTAATAAGTTAAAGATAAATAGATTTTATGTATGGGTTATCATTTCTTTTTATTGTTTACAGATAAATTTCATATAAATTTTAAAAACATTAAAAACATTATTTGAAAAATCTTATTTAATATAAGGAGGTATTTATTTTCGATGACGAGAATGAAAATAATAGGTGATATGCTATGATTTCATTTCGTAATTTGATAATCATTTATAGATATATAATTGAGTTGAAAATAGTGAATTTTCAATTGACCCTTCTATGCTTGCGATTTTTTCATCTTGATTTTAAGTGTAACACAGAAGAGTTGATTAATTTTTGTTAATTTTATTGTAATTGGGAGAAACTAGACTGGAAAAGGATATTGTGACACGCGACTAAGCCATATTTTAGCTTTGAACACATATTTCACATAAAAATTTTTAATTTTTTCTCGTATATTGTTGATTAAGCAGTAAAATCTAAAAATATGATCTTTTCAATTGTGGGTTAAAACAAATTAGCTGAATACAGAGCCATCAGGCATAATAAACTGTGAATTCGTTGGTATATTTTCTGAAGATTTTTGCCTTTGTTGTGGTATATTCATTTGCTTTTTTGGTGATTGTTGAACATTTTGAACTTCTGGAACGATACTTTTCAGATTATAGTCAAATCTTAACTCATTTTTCTCCATTTCGCTTCTTACGCGCTGAAGAGCATCAACACCATCTCTTGGAAGCCCAATAGGTGTAAAATTGAATTGAATTTCACGCTTTTCTATTCCTAAATTTGTATCAATTTTGGAATCAAAAGGAATATTTGGAAAAGGAGTTAGCGATGGAAGTGGTATTGGTGGGGGTATGTCTTCAATTATAGGCATTTGAGCTCTAGGAGGAATAACGAAGTTATATTGATTTAAATTTCGCTGTTGTTGCTCATACTGCATACGAGCTTGTTGGTATTGGTATTTATCTGGTTGTGGATAAGAAACTCTGTTGTTATTTACTTTTTGAGGCTGATAATTATTGTATTGAGGCTTTGGAATGACTCTTGGCGATTTTCCTTCATCTCCTCCAAAGATATGTGAAGCCATAACTTTCTTTTTGTTTTCAACAACCATTTCAGAATAATTCATTTTAAAACATGAAAAGTGCCACTCAAAATCGTTACAAAACTTTGTTTAAATATTCTGTAAGACAATTAGATGCATTTGCAATAAAAATGATTTTTTGCACGTTTTTTATTTTTTAGGGAATGAGCAAAAAGGTCAAACCAACTCTTTTTTCAGCAGCCCGTGAGGGAAATATCGCTGATTTAGAGACAATATTCCAAACACCAGAGATTAATCCGAATGAAATTCTTTTTTTAAGCTTATACAATTCAATTTTTTTCTCATGACGTTCTTTTTTTACTTTCAACTTAATTCTTCGTATATTTATGGCATTCATTTTACTTTTATTGGACTGCTCTTCATTACGCTGCATTAGAAGGCAGAAGGGATACTGTTAATTTTCTTATTAAGAAAGGTGCAGACATTAATAAGCTAACAGAAGGAATAGTTCTTTATATTTTCATTTAATTCTTCATAATTTTACGTAGAAAGCATTCTATATTTTCTTATTTAGTTCTTTTTTAATTCATCAAGTACATTTTCTTTTCTAACAACCAGAGTGGACCAATTCTTCATTTTTTAATGTAATTCTTCATTCATTTATAGTGTTCAAGTCCAATTCATGGGCGTTACACCACTTCATATAGCTACGCGTAAAGGTTATAATGCTATTGTTGCAGATCTTCTTCGTGCAGGGGCAAATCCAGATGTCTTAGATTTGCTTGGACAGAAAGCAATTGTTTATGCAAATCCAAAGACAAAAGCTGTGTTCGACTTCGAGCTCAAACAAAATACTCCAGAAGAGGAGGAAAAGGATGAGGAGGAAGAACCAGATGATGAATAAAAAATTATTTTTATACTTATTTTTTGTACTGATTTATAGGAAGAATCAAAATCCATCAGTGAACATTTTAGGACCATTGGATAACTCAAATCTGTTGGATAATCACGCAAAGAAGGAAAATTTGAGATATTCGAATTGCATTTTTGCATTTATGAAGATGATTTATGGAGAAAATATTCTTTTCATTCATAGCTATTGCTAATTCTTGAGTGTATTACCTAAAATCTTTTTCAAAAATTCTCCGTTTTTTTACTTCAAAAAATGGCTGAAAATTTGCCTCAGCCAACACCTTCTGAAGAAAGGGATCTCTTAGCACATTATGATCCTTTATCAGAGTTTAACATTCTTTCTTTTATTTCTTGGGACGACGAAACTTTGAGAAAATTAGCACAAGAATGGAATTTAAGAGGCAAGGATGGATTAACAGTCGCAGAATTTATTCACGTTATGCTTAAAGTATTTCCAAAACCAGATAAACGAAATCAACATCAAAGAAAGCAATGGGCACATAAATTATTCAATTTTTTCATACAAATCGATTGTGATCATAAAAACAAGATCGAATGGGATCAATTCTTATCATTTATTACAGCATGCTGCGTATTTGATCGTGAAAAAACTCGTGTTGACACTGTTGTTCAATATCATTTCGAAAAAGAGATTATAGATCATGCAGGCAATTTCACAGTATTGAAATTCATATACGATTCTATTAATGATCATATTATCAGTTTTAACGCAAACGGTACAGTTCAAATTTATTCTCCATCAACTTTAAGTTTGATCAAGAAAATCAGTCTTCACGGCAGACCAATCATATCTGTATACGATGGAGCTCTCATTAACGAGCGTTCTTTACTTGCTGTTTGTTATCCAACTGGAATTCAAATCATTTCAACGATGCAAGGCTGCTCTCTTGCACAAGACATTGAAACAACCGATACTACACACTTCTGCATCATGTACGAACCAGTTTCTCACTCGTTATTTACAGGATCTGAAAATGGCAGATTACATCAGTGGCAAGCAGAGAATTGGGGCGAAAAGCCTTCACATATGAACTGGCGCTGTGTCAATTCCATCAAAGTTACTAACGGATCCGCAATAACTTGTGTTACAACAATTCCAAATTCAGGAAGTTTCGTAACAGGTGACGAAGACGGCCAATTAATAGTTTGGGACACAAAGAACGTTCGTCTTATCCATAGGATACAAGCCCATCACGCTCCCATCCATACAATTGTCCATTCCGATTCAATGCATGCTTTGATGACAGCAGCATATGAAACAACAGTTTGCGCGTGGAATCCATTTATTCCATTCCTTATTTCTAAGATTACATGTCCTACAGGTGTTGTTACAGCTATGACATGTCTTCCTGACTCCCCGCATTTAGTCATTGCTGATAGAAATGGCAATTTACACATTATTAATTCCAGAACTATGCAAATTGTCCAAACATTCCAAATCTCTCCTTTTGGACAATTCGCATCGCGTGTCAACATCACTCAGACAACATACAAACAGTTGACACACAGTTTGCAGACAACAGGATCTTTCCCAGTTACTTCTTTATGCCATTGCGGACCGAGAAAAAGATTTATTCTCGGAGGAAGAATGATTAGATTTTATGAATACGAAGAAAATATTCAGCCAATGTTATCTGATAGACTTCCTATTCGTGCTGCATTGCATAACTCACAGTTCCATGTTATCTGTACTTGTTCAGGTTGCAACATAAGACACTGGGAAACAGCAAATGGTTTGATGCATTGTGTCTTTAGAAAAGTAACACAATCAAACATCACTTGCATGTGTACTGATTGTCCACAGACATTGTTATTCGTTGCAACACAAGGTGGAGAGCTTATTACATTGCATTTCCCAACATCTTCCCTTATGCACAATGTCGGAAAGCAATCTAGTGCAATTACAGCTGTCAACCATTTGAAGAACATCAATATAATTGTCACGGCTGGTTGGGCGAATTTCATCACTTTATGGAATAATAAAAATGATGGAAGATTGATTGATTTGCTCACCGAGAAGAAGGAAGATTTATTGTGCATGGCTGTAAGCGAAGAATACTTGATGTTGGCTGCAGGAACAGGAAAAGGAGAAATCAACATTTGGGATTTGAAAGAATTTAAATTAGTTTGCGTTTTACATCCTCAAAATTGCGAAACAGAAATTCTTTCTTTGACATTTGTTGAACATTCTTCTTTGTTAGTTTCTTCAGATGCTGAAGGATATATCACAATTTGGAGTGTTGTTACTGATGAACCTTGCGCTGTTTCTCAATTACCAAACTTTTACATCGAATCGCAAACATCAAACATCCTTTCGATGTGCGTTGTTGAGAACTATTTGTTGACTGCAGATCATTGCGGAGAAGTGAGATTGTGGGACATTTCACAGCTCGCAAGCCAATTCACAGCTCCAGATGATAAAAAAGTCAACATAGAAAGAGTTGAATTCCTTTCTTTACTCAACCAGAAAGGAAAATCCGTGAGATACTACACAACTCAAGTTCCTCACATTAATTCAAGTATTTGTGTGATGCCTGTTGGCTCTTTCCAGTTGATTTTGAAGTGGAAAGCTCATCATTCGCCGATTACTTCAATTTCATCATTTTACGCTAACAAAAAACCAATCATCATGACAAGCTCCAACGATTGCTGTGTAGCTGTTTGGGACATGAGAACAGGAATGTGCAAAGGCTTCTTGCAATCAAATCCACAGTTCGGATTGACAGAAAGAAAATGGACATTGCAATACAATCCAAAAGAAGATCAAATCATCACAGAAGAAGATCTTTTGTTGCTTCTTGATAGTGCAGATAACATTCAAACACCTCCTTCGTCACCAAGAGAATTGGATATTTAAATATTTGTTGTTTTATCTAAATAAAATGTATTTTATAATATTATTGATATATTTCTAGTACTTAATTTAAACAATATGATTCTTTTAAAAGGAATGTAGTTTCATTACCAAAAATGTTTGGTAAGATATTTTAATGATGCATGTAAAAATTTTATTCATATATGATGTTATATTGCCCCATTTGATATAAGTAATGCCGAAATATCTTGGGATTCTGATGCATAGTAAAGAGCTGTTCTATCAAACTGATCTTTGAGGTTTAATACTGCTCCATGTTGAATAAGCAATTTTACAATATCACATTTGTTGGCAACTACTCCATATGAATGGAATCCTACACATATGTAATTAGTGTTTGAACATGCAATATGAAGAGGCGTTCTTTTTTGTTTGTCTAATGTATTGATATCAGCACCATTACAAATAAGATAGTTTGTCGATTGTATATCATTCATTACAACAGAATAATAAAGAGGAGTCATCGAGAATTTATCCTTAACATTAATGTTTTCAAAATATGGCAAAAGAATCTTCAATAATTCTAGCCTATTGAATATTACTGCAATATGAAGTGCAGATCTTTCATGTTGATCTTTTTCATAGATATTTATACCTTTTGAAATGAATAATTCCAGAACATTTTCATTTCCATACCTTAATGCATAATAAAGGGCTGCATGACTAAAATATTTATCCCTATTATAGTTTATTCCATCTAAGCTTTTTGCATCAATATTTGCACCGTGTGTAAGCAAATAATCGCAAAGAGATGGAATACAAAAGCATGGTGAAAAAGCAAAACATTTGTTAATATCATTTGTTTGATCCAAATAAACTAAAAATGCATCGATATTATTGTATTTGCGACACAACTCCAGATTAATTTCTAATGAATATTCATTCATTAAAAATGTTACAAAGTCGATATTATGTGAAATAATTGCATACTTCATGCACTTTTCGTCTGGTGCTAGTTGTTTCAAACATTCATTCATAATCTCTGGATTTCCACCCAAAAATGAAAATTGAAGACATTGCCTAGTGATGTTTGGGTTGAATTTTGTCATTAGAAGCTTAAAACATTTCGCAGCTCCATGATAACAACACAATTCAAGTAATGAATAGTCATCACAATAATCGTTATGATCATATGTATCTCTTAGTGGATAAAAAATGCATCTTCTTTTTTCATAAACATCAAAATCATTTCTTTCAATAAACTGTATAAAGGATATCTTGTCATCATCCATCATTGCTCTGTAGATCGAATATTCATAAGGGATATCGTACGAAGGTCTGTTTTGTTCAAAATATTTTTGATCTTCTTCATTAAAATGAATTCCAGATTCACAATGGATAAAGTAGTCGTAAATATATCCAATATCATTTTTTGGCTTGGGATGAAATTTGTCAAAAATTTGTTTGAAAATTTTCCAATATGATTTAATGAAACGATTATTATAAATGCATATTTTGCAAATTTTCGATATTATTTGAATTGGCGTAAAATATTTTGTTTGTATCAAATTCTTTGTGATATCATTGCAAATCTTATCAATTACTTCGTCATCGAATGTATTTAGCTTATACAATGAAAGAATCGTTTCAGAGTATTCTTTGCACATAGGCATAAGCTCACTATAATGACTTCTCATTATGAAATAATGATTTCAAGGAAAATTTTCCATACAACAGAGGTAAACAAGTTCTATATTTTTTCCATCATTGGTCGTTCATATGCTTAAAAACAAGAAATTTCTATATGTGAATACATTTGGTTATATTTACATTCACTTTACTTTGAAAAATTGATTATTGAATAAGATTTGAATGGTTGAACATAGTATTTTACTTCATTCATGATAAAATGAGCTGCCAACCAAATGTCATAATTTAAATATTTCCAAACGAGTGTAAAAAAAAGATCATTAATTATTATTAAAAAATTAATAAGATTCAAACAGTAGTATAATTTATTCAAATAAAAATAAGTATGGTTTTGCATACTAACTGGATAAAACTTGGTCAATATTATTTGGATGGAAGTAAAAACGTAAAAAGGATAAAAATGGATAAGCAAGTGCAAACAAGGGCAGCTGTTAATACAATTGGATTCGGCGTGTGAATAAATTGGTATATTGTCATTTGATTTTTCTTTGCTTTTCTCAGAGCCTCAGATTCATCAGGATATCTCGGAGAAACATGCCTTGAAGAGTGAGCTGATGCATTTGCTGAGTTATATGTTGAATTTGGATGGTTATGACGATATTCAGTCAAAACTGCGATCATTTGCTTTCTCGTATATTCTGATGGGAAAAGCCTTTTTTGTTGGCATTGGTATTGAAGTGAAAGTGTTGTATTATTCTCAAGTGTTTTCCAATCAAATGGATCTTCAGACATTGTCACTTTTATTTTCAGTTTTTATCGGCGTGCAGCTCATCATGGATAACATTTATCTTTTTAATTGTTGCACATCATATGGAATTAGAATATTGTTCAATGATTGAATTTTCATTATTATCTAAAAATAAACTAGTTTTATTGAAACAATTGGATATCTGAAGTATTTTGTAGAATATTTTATGGTTACCTTTGTTAAGACATTGTCAATTAATTTATTGTGGCCCCACAATTGAAACATTATGAGTGAGGTCGTCGAATAAATTTTCAGAAATAAAAGCGAACACTTTTACTTTTGTGTAACAGAATTATCGCTCAGAAACTATTATAAGTTTTATTGTTTTATTCCCAAAAGTGTCACTATTAAAATTTCTAAATAATGTCAACTTCAGAGCAGCCAACAAATGATAGTGAATGCAACTTTAGTGATATTAAGCCAATTGAAGTATTTAAATACCCCAGTCAAACTTCCAAAATTATATGGGAGATCAACTCGAATAATATTTTAGAATCATCCTCGCAAATTATAGATTTCATTAAATCTAATAAGATATCTGTCCAAATGGCAATTTATTTGATTAGTATTTTTTCACAAATTCGCGTTAAACATATTAAATTATTTACAGAACTTTATATAAAGATATCAAACGCATTTTCATACATCTGGAAACCGAAAAATGAGAAATTGGCAACACTTTTATATTATAAAAGTTTCCAATTTCAAAACTTCAGACCTAAAATGGAAGAAGAAGATATTCTGAATATATATTCAACAGATTCTCCATTATACTATATTGCATGGGATAAAGTCGATGATCTAAAAATTAAGTTCCCAAATCTTAATCTTGAAAAGAAAATTAACGATGAAATAACTCCGCTTGATTGTGCAATTAAATACGGATCAGAACTATGTTTCAATTCCTTGAAAAACATGGGAGCTAAATATACTTTTTCCTCTGAAAAATATGAGGTTCAAGGCGGAAATAATAACATTTTTATGCAAATGATAGAAGATGGTAAATCATTCGATAAAATGATTAATATAGCATTGGATTATCGAAACTATGAAATTGCTGAGTACCTTAAATCAAATTCTGGCCAAATTTTGATTCAATTACAGAAAGCATTCATTTCGGAAATTATGACGTCGCATCATATTTACTTTCTAATGTTAAAAATATCAACAAACTTTCAATTTTTTTTATTTTCATATCTATCATTGTTTCATGAAATCCTTTTTAATGTTCATATTTATTCTCATTTTATATAATTCGCTTTCTTTATATATTTATCATTATTTCATATAATTCTCATTGCTTTCATATCTATCATTATTATATGAAGATCTCTTTCTTTTCATATTTATCATTGTTTTATATAATTTTCTTTGTTTTCATATATAATATTGTTTTATTACATTCTCTTTCTTTCCATATTTGTTATAGTTTTATTACATTCTCTTACTCTTCATATTTATCAATGTTTAATGACCTTCTATTTCTTTTCATTTTTATCATTGCTTAATGACCTTCTCTTTCTTTTCATTTTTGTCATTGTTATATGAAATTATCTTTCATTTCATTTTTATTATTGTTATATGAGGTTGTCTTTCTTTTAATATTAATCTCTGTTTTATGGAATTCTTTTTCTTTTCATATCAATCATTGCTTTATTTCATTCTTTTTGTTTTCATATCTATCATTGTTATATAGAGTTCTTTTTCTTTTCATATTTGCTATTGTTTTATTGCACTCGCATTATTTTCATATATGTCATTGCCTTATAGAATTCTCTTTCTCTTCATATTTATTGTTATTTTAAAGAATTATATTTCTCTTCATATTTATCATTTTTTATTGAAGTTCTCTTGATTTTAATGAATGTCCTCTTAGTATTGCAATCAAAGTGAATTCAATAGAGATTGCCAAATTCTTACTTGAACATGGTGCTGATGTTAACATAAAACTTATTCTCTTTCTTTTCATGTTTGGCATTGCTTTATAGAATTCTCTTTCTTTTAATATTGATCAAAGCTTCATACAACTCTCTTTCAATATATATTTTTCATTTCTTTATGAAATTCTCTTTCTTTTCATATTTATCCTTAATTTACCAAATTCTCTTTCTTTATATATCAATCATTGTTTTATATAGTTATCTTTCTCTTCATATTCATCATTGATTTATTCCATTCTCTTTATTTTTATATTTGTCATCGCTTTATATGATTCATAATATTTTCATATTTGCTATTGATTTATGTAATTTCCTTTCTTTTCATATTTGCTATTGTTTAATCAAATTTTCTTTCCTTTTATATTTATCATTGTTCTATTCCATTCCCTTTCTATTCATATTCATCATTATTTTATTACATTCTCTTTCTTTTCATATTTATCATTATTCTATTACATTCTTTCGATATTAATGAATGTCCCCTTAGTATTGCAATCAAAGCAAATTCATTAGAGATTGTCAAATTCTTAGTCGAACATGGCGCTGATGTTAACATGAAACTTATTCTCTTTCACTTCATATCCATCATACTTTTATAACATTTTCTTTCTTTTCATATTCATAATTGCATTATTACATTCTCTATCTTTTAACATTTATCATTGTTTTATTATATTATCTTTGCTTTTTTAATATTAATCATTTGTATATTACATTCTCTTTCCTTTCATGTTTATCATTGCTATATTTGATTCTCCATCTATTCATATTCATCGTTGCTTTATATAATTCTCTTTCATTTCACATTTATCATATATATTTATGAAATTCTCTTTCTTTTAATATTCATCATTGTTTAATGAAATTCCATCAATATCAATGAATGCCCTCTTGGTATTGCAAACAAAGCAAATTCAACAGAAATTGTAAAATACTTAACTGATCAAGGTGCCAAGAATATAAATTAACATTTTGAATACGACTCTATACTGAAAGTTGATATAGCAATATACGTGTAGTATGAGAATAAACGCTAATAATTATTGATTTTTTTTTTAGCTCTAATTATAATTTACTTAGGTAATTAATACATTACTATAAAAATGATATTATTCATAATGTAAATGGAATGTAACTTTTCTGAATTTATTAAGTTCTTAGCTACAGGAAATCAAGAATATATCAACAATTCTCATGACATTCTTGATGAAAAGAAGTCAAATGGGATACTTGAACAAGAAATACTTCAATTATTAACCTCAAATGAATTAGAAGAAAGAGAGATCTTCATTTTATTATCTATTTCTAACAACTATAACATTTGTATCCCTATTGATACCATTTTAGAAATGTTTAATCGAAATTCACAGTTAATCAACTCCGAGATAAGTAAATTATTAGCAAAATACATAACATTCGATGCATCATTAATTCCCAGATTTCTCCAAATATCTGATGATTTCATTGTATATAAGTTAAATACACTTTCTTTAATAGACTTTGATAAAATTTATTCAGAAGAGATACAATTGTTCTTAATTTCGATTATTGAAGACAATTATTCATTAGAATGTAAAATACAAGCAGCTGAATTGTTAAATAACAACCCAGATACTTATTTAAACTCAAATATTGAACAATTCTTTCAATTCATTTTTGAACAAGACATAACAACCGATACAATCAAGATTATCTCAAAAGTCGTTGGACTTGCAGAATTCTCCATTGAAAGTGAAGCACTATTTCACATTTTATTAAATCTTTCAATTGAAGTTTCCAATGATATTCCTTTATCTAATGAACTCAAAATTCCAATGACTGAAATTGTTGGAGCCTTAAATCAAGCTTTTCTTGATATTAATTTTGAATATGATTTAGAAACATATGTTTTAACATGTATAAGACTATCTGTTCCAAGCGATGAAGAATTAAATGAATGGACAGAAAATTTAACAAATTATTTAGATTTATTTGAAAACAACGAAGATTTACGCGCAAAATGTTTAGATGCAATCATGTATCGTAAGGATCATATCTCATTTGCTGTTGATATCTGCAAAGAAATCATAAATTCATCAATAAATGAACAGGTCATTGTTTTATGGATCTTATACAACATCTCTGGTAGATACAATGTTGATATACCCGATCCAATCTTGTTTGATAACGTTTTATGCTATGCAAACAATATTTCCTTCCAAATTTTGAATTCTAATTACAATCCTGACTTGATTCCAGTGATATCTGAGTATTTACAACAGAATAATTTTGTTTTTACAATTACTATTGCTAATGAACTTATTAACTGTGAAGAAGAAAGTTATTTTCAGCTAATTCCTTTGACAATACAAGCTGTTTCGAAGCTGATATCAGAAGATAATGATGAAACAGCATTGAATCTTATTGTTACCATTCATTTATTGATACAAGTTAATTTAGATATTTTATCTGGAATAATTATTGAGTTAATTGAATTCATTCATGAATTAATACGTATGTTTCATGGAAACAATTGTCTTTTCCAAGAAATTGTTTCGATTATTAATACTTTGATTAGAAATCAAAATTATCATGAATTAATGTTACAGAACTTTTATGAAATGGCTTCGAATTTCATGCTAAATGAATCTTACATTAATATTGGATATGATTTAACTTCTGGATTGATATGCGATGATAATTCAATTGATTCTGTTTATCATCGAACATTATATGAAAGTTTCGTTCAATCATTAAATCAATATGATATTAATGATGATAATTTGGCATATGCAATGAAAATTGCTTCATTTTTCATCAGAAATGGAGTAATCGATAATTTTCCTGAATGGATTATTAATATATTACAAAATCCAGATATAGACGATATATTTTTCAAGTATTTCGGAAGTGTTTGGCTTTATTTCCTTAGAAATTTAGATTTATCAGATAACATCCAAATTTTTCAAGCAGTAATGACAAGATTAACCTATGAACCTCAAATGTCCAACTATTCTCAATGCATTTTTATTACTTTTCTTCAATTTATTAAAGAAGATATCCAAAAGGCTACTGACTTGCTAGAATCAGTCGGGATGGATATAAACTCGTTCATAAGAATGATGAAAAAGCTGCTTGTATTTGAAAATTTTGTCGGATGGTTTGATATCAAAATACTACTCTCAACTTTGATGATTTTCCGTGATAACAAAGTTAATGAAGACGATGATGATCCATTGATATACTTTATTATTTCATTCTTTATAAGAATTAGCGATGATCATTTACTTGCATTCAAAAACCGAAATAATGTACAAGAAATATCTGTTGCTTTTTGTGTAGAAGATCCTTTTTACAAAGAAAACGAATTAACTGATATTGATATCATTACATTTTTTGATAAGTATATTAGAATTTTTGGAATTCCTGAAGAATCTCAAGAATATCTACAGAATCTTTATGATACTCTTGTCAAAACTCACAATGATTATTTTAATTTATAGAATAAACTTTTTTTTGTTTGCATTTTTTCATGTAATCACAAACAATTTTTTACAGTTTTGTGGGAAACAACACTTATCATTCTGCAAAATTCAATAATTTTATGAATTATTTTTTTATATCAAATTATCCTAAATATTCTATCAAACAACATGTTTCTTTTTCCTTAGTTATATGCTAAACAGCGTATTTTATTATTTATCTCATGAATTTTTTTGATGAAGATTTTTTCATGCAAAATTCATGAAACATATATTTATAACTAGCATACAAAAATGAATTCTAGATCTTTGATTTCAATTTATATATTTCATATAACTATATTTGTATTCAACAACAATATCACACTACTTTCCACTTTCGAACATACGTACCATTTTCCATAAACCAAATGTGAACATGAAAATGTATTAGGAAAAATAATAATGTATATGTTTTTATTAATAAGGATTTCCATGTAATCCAGCAAATAAAATGTATGAAATCTTTATACTGGAAGTGCATCATATGCAGATATATTAAGTATAATGTCATTATCTTGAGATATTGTTTTGAATAAATAATTTTTTTTGTGAAAAATTGTTTGAAGAATTAATTATGGTATTTTCAATGTGATGATTGTATTATATAATGAACGAAAAAGTATATGTCGTTTTATCAATCAAAATGGATACCCTACTTTCCCAACATTTAGAATAAGGTTATTGCCCTAAAATTCAGTTATAGACACTTAGGAGAGCATTTAACCATGATATTTTGGCATATGATAGAGAAACATCTTATAAACATTTTCAGTATGTTTTCCTATAAAATAACGATCTCACATGAAATTACTAAAATATCAAATTTTGATTTTCACTTTAAAGTTGGGAGAATACTCTACAGTGACAGGGTATACAATTTTAACCTTTGTTTTGATTATAAATAAAGTATTGATAGAGATATGAGTTGTACAGAATTATACACGTGTGTTTAATCAAATGTAAGTTGTGCAACAATAATGATTAGCTAGATAGTATATTAAGGAACTGTGATTTATGATCTAATTCAATAAGATGTAAATGATATTCAAATATATTAAATAAATGCGAATGTTCAAGATGTGAAATCAGTTAGTTAATTGTTGTATATAGATATTTTACTGTGATTAATGAATTTTTTAACAATTTAAAATTATCAAATTTCAAAATATGCGCAATGAGATAATTTGAGAGTATTTTGAGAACTGAAGACTTATGATTTAGTGTTTTTGAATAAGCACATCAATATAAAGATAGAAAATAAATTGAGATATAATTTTTTTGAAGGTATTATAAGGGTGGAGGTAGTAGGATAAATTTTTAATGTTCTATACTTTCATGGCAAATAATTAAATAGAAGTAAAACTTTGTTTTAAGAATTGAAAATTTTAAATAAAAAAGGAATGTTAGTAATGCTAATTTATTTGATTCCGGGGGACACCCGGTTATCAAATATATTTATTAGAACGGAAAATCTCTCACTTTTCGAAAAAATCGAAACTGCAAGAATCTCCGATTCTCGATATGATAATTTATTTGATTCCGGGGGACGCCCCGGTTATCAAATATATTTATTAGAACGGAAAATCTCTCACTTTTCGAAAAAATCGAAACTGCAAGGATCTCCGATTCTCGATATGATAATTTATTTGATTCCGGGGACGCCCCGGTTATCAAATATATTTATTAGAACGGAAAATCTCTCACTTTTCGAAATTTTTTTTAACAAAAATATGGCATTCTTAAATTATAGTTACATGTTATTTCACAATCATTATCATTAAAAAATTCAATTATTCAAGTTGTTTTGTCCCGACGGTTTTTACGGTTATAAAAATGGTTGCGAACTCAATCCATCAGCAAAATGTCGGTTGGGGTGCCCTTCTTGGCCTCCTGAGTACTCACCAAGATACCCCCAGCTCCCGCAAAACACCTCCCTTAGGTGAGCATTAACTGATGACATGAGTTAACAATTCTACAAAATCATCAAGCATGAAGGTTTATGATTTATAAATCAAAATCTCAGAAACTGCTTGACTTTGCAAGTTGCTGTCTTTACCGGTTACTCTGCTGCAATCTCTTTTCTGATTGCAGGCAGAGTTCTGCATCCTGAGGACTTTGCCTTGCAGATATGCTTGTAATCACTACGTGAGCAACTTGGTGTTGCAAGTTGCTGTCTTTACCGGTTACTCTGCTGCAATCTCTTTTCTGATTGCAGGCAAAGTTCTGCATCCTGAGGACTTTGCCTTGCAGATATGCTTGTAATCACTACGTGAGCAACTTGGTGTTGCAAGTTGCTGTCTTTACCGGTTAGCTTTTTTTGAAGTTTCTTCGCATCTTATATAAGCTCTAGATCAATATTTATCATCAGAATTTGCATCTCATAAAGCACAATATTAATCAAATAGGCAAATTTCATTCGGAGTCTCTCATTAAATGAGAAACTCCGAATGAGATTTGCTCTAAGGTAATGTACTTGTTATGCTTGGCCTAGAAGCAAGGAGGAAACATGTATATGGTTTGTTTATACTGAAGTTATCTGGAATTCTCTCAATTGAGGATTCAAATCCAGATAACAGCAGTATAAGTTAATATTGTTGTGCACCTCAGGTTGTTTATAGGCCCGAGAACGAGAAAAGAATTTATGGTGTGAATTGGCTCGATATATACCTACGCTCTGTAAAAAATACGTTATATTTTCTTTCATATGAGAAAAATGTTTTTCTTTTTATAATACTATGTGCTTTGTTACTTCATAAATTGTCTATTTTTCTTATTAAAACCTATTTTTTCCGTGTGATTCGGAATCTACGCATTCAAAAAATGCGTTTTCCGCTCTCAGAACGCGAAAATATGAACTACATGACGAGATAAATCGATTTATTATGTTCCTAAATATTCTCATTTTTCAATCTTGCTCAATACTCAAAAATAAGCAGACTCTCAAATAGAGAACATAAAATAACTCATATTTATCATATTAAAATTTTGAAAAAGTCTCCCGAAAAAATCATATTTCGAAAATTTCAAAAAAATAAGTACATTTTTCGCCAAAGAAAAAAGAAAAATGTTTTTTTTTGAATTTTTGATGATAATATGCACTCCTGACGGTCGCAGTGTCTCATTCCGGGAGACATTGCCTGTGCATGTCTCCCAGAATGGCATACTGTTCCGCATTCATAACTTGAATGCGGAACTTTGACCGACAAGAGTGCATTGTGCACTCTTGTTGGTCTGCATGTGTCATTCCGGGAGACATTGCCTGTGCATGTCTCCCAGAACGAGACAATTTATTGCAATCAGAATACGATTGCAAAACTTTGACCGACAAGAGTGCATTGTGCACTCTTGTTGGTCTGCATGTGTCATTCCGGGAGACATTGCCTGTGCATGTCTCCCAGAATGGCATACTGTTCCGCATTCATAACTTGAATGCGGAACTTTGACCGACAAGAGTGCATTGTGCACTCTTGTTGGTCTGCATGTGTCATTCCGGGAGACATTGCCTGTGCATGTCTCCCAGAATGGCATACTGTTCCGCATTCATAACTTGAATGCGGAACTTTGACCGACAAGAGTGCATTGTGCACTCTTGTTGGTCTGCATGTGTCATTCCGGGAGACATTGCCTGTGCATGTCTCCCAGAACGAGACAATTTATTGCAATCAGAATACGATTGCAAAACTTTGACCGACAAGAGTGCATTGTGCACTCTTGTTTGTCATCCACTATGATACTTAGAGAAAATACTTTACTTACATTATTTAAAATATTAATTTCCCTATTTAATATTTATTTATTATTTTTTGTGCTTTATATTCCCTATGGCATGTACTGAACTATTTTATAGACTCTACCGAGCTATCTCCACATATAAACATTTGACAATAACACATATATACTCTCTTCATATTCTAGTCTCATGACATATTATTGCAAAAGCTATATTTATACAGCATACCTCATAAAGTCTCATTATATCCCTATCTAAGCGTTCAAAACCTATTTTCCCCACGTAATCTGATTCTTCAGGCTCCGCTGATTCGATTTCTGCTGTCAGATCGTGAAAATATGAATCACATAACAAGATAAACACAAATCCAAAATAATAATGTTTTCTTCAAATTGACTCTTCCACGATATTCATATATTTGTTATTAATTCCGTTTTCCCTTACAAATGTATTTAATTTTCTGAATAATACGTATTATAAAATGAATATCTCAAAAACTAAATTAAAAAATTAATACTGGGTAATAACTAGATATATTGTGACTTTTTGAATTCACACACTTTTGGAAAAAATTGAATTTTTCTAAAATGATGTTGTTTGAACATGTTGGGTAACTTGTATTTATTTTGTTATGTGATTCATATTTTCACGATCTGACAGCAGAAATCTAATCAGCGGAGCCTGAAGAATCAGATTACGTGGGGAAAATAGGTTTTGAACGCTTAGATAGGGATATAATGAGACTTTATGAGGTATGCTGTATAAATATAGCTTTTGCAATAATATGTCATGAGACTAGATAGAATATGAAGAGAGTATATATGTGTTATTGTCAAATGTTTATATGTGGAGATAGCTCGGTAGAGTCTATAAAATAGTTCAGTACATGCCATAGGGAATATAAAGCACAAAAAATAATAAATAAATATTAAATAGGGAAATTAATATTTTAAATAATGTAAGTAAAGTATTTTCTCTAAGTATCATAGTGGATGACAAACAAGAGTGCACAATGCACTCTTGTCGGTCAAAGTTTTGCAATCGTATTCTGATTGCAATAAATTGTCTCGTTCTGGGAGACATGCACAGGCAATGTCTCCCGGAATGACACATGCAGACCAACAAGAGTGCACAATGCACTCTTGTCGGTCAAAGTTCCGCATTCAAGTTATGAATGCGGAACAGTATGCCATTCTGGGAGACATGCACAGGCAATGTCTCCCGGAATGACACATGCAGACCAACAAGAGTGAACAATCCGCTTTCTCCTTTGAAATCCAACATTCTAATCACATCTACATTAATAAATTGTTATAAAATACTAATCAAAGATCCAATACAATTCTACTATCTTATTCACACATTACCAATGTTAACACCTCTTATAACTTAAATTATTTCATAAAATTTGTTTTTATATCTTATTATTTTCTCATAATGCTTCTAATACATCTCTAATTTCTTACATTCAAACACCAATATCGTCATACTATCATAAGCACTTAATTTTTTCAAAATTTTAGACTTAAATTTGAGCTACATTTTCATCATCATTTTTAGCCTTAAGCTTCTATAAGGTTATAATACATTATCGTAATATTCTAATATTTATGATTCTTACTACTCAATTCAATATAATCATATAAGTCACTCATAATCAGGAGCATAATTTAAAAATCTATAGCTCATATTTTGACAATTATATATATAGATGATGCATATTGCAATTCCGGTTTCAACACGATCAAATGTCAAACCATGATAAAATATATATCAATTTACAAAATATCGATTAACATTAGAATCCATATCTAATTCATCAATGCACAAGTTGTAAATGCTTAATTCATCTTTGAGAAACGTGAATAGCACAAATTTATATAAGATTATTTGTTGAATATTTAAAATATAAGCCAAATCGAATCTGCTGTATATTACTTTAGTTTATAATTGAATGTTAAATGTGCTCAGATAAATATTTGAGTCAGATATCGCATTTTCAAATTTCAAATTTTATCTCATGAAGTTAGAATTCATTTGATCATACAACATCATATTAGTCAAACTAGAGTTCAATCGCGATTCCAAAATGGAACAATTGCTTGTTTATCAAAATGTTAAAATATTAATCTAAAAAACTTAATATCTAACCAAAACATTCTAGAAATATCATATACAGGTATATGCAATCTAAATGCACACGAAATACTGAAATTAAAAAGAATATTATGAGATTAATTAAATCTTATGCATTTCAATGAAGAGTCGATAATTATCATCTCTATAGGTTATATATCAACAAATGAGTTTTTGGAATTGACCACTACTATACTAAATGTGATCATTAATCTGATTTCTTGAATTTTCATTTGAAGCATTCGCAGTAGTAGGAGTAATTCATATATTAACATATTAAAAAATTGCGCCCAGATTCGCAGTTTAATCATGATTTTAAGATTGCATTAGATTTCGAAATGCAGAAAAAAATCACTTTAGATTCCCTTCAAACTCTAAGCATAAGCATGTCTCTATATGAGGAAACTATTTGAGCTATTCATTTGGCGGCCCAAAAACTCATGTTGCCTGAGCGCAGAAAATACCAATTTTTGGACCCTGGGTAGGGGGTCATGCATGTTTTCTAAATGTTGGAAAAGTAGGGTAGTTAATTCAAGAAAATAAAATAAAGATTTGCTGAATCGATGATATCGATCGAAAAGGTAGCCTTTCTGAATATTGTCTTCCGGATTAAGTCATTCCGTAAAGTTACTAATGCAAGTATCCAGAGTTGGCCGAATCTCTCTCAATCCCATTGCGATTATGAGAAATCGAACTTCCCGATAAGACAATATAGCCTAATTTGCTAGATTTTGTCATTAAGGGTACGACTCAAAATTTTTCTTATAATGATGTAAATTTTTCAAAATGAATCGTTTAAGTCAAAAATTTGAGAGGATGTCAAAAAGTGTGATTTGCTCTGAATTGAAAAATTAAAATTTTTTACATTTGCAATTTTAAAACAAAAACAAAACAACAATATATGATGAAGTATGATGGATTTCAGAATAAGAAATCTTCACATAGATTATAGTTGTCAAAATTCAAGTTCGCTTCTTTTGGATATAATGCATTTGTTAGCATAAAATCAGATTCAAATACATTATCAAATCCAGTTTCGGTAATTTCAATGATATCACCACTAGTTTTTACTTCATTTCTCTCATTTTCATCATGAGATTCAGCAACCGGTGTGTACTCCTGCTCGGTATTCTCAAGTTTATCTTTATGGAATTCCGTGATAATTTCCAATTCATTTAGCATCTGAATATCTCCATAATGCCTTTTGAACAATTTAATTCTGTTTCTAATCATCCAATCTTGCTTAGATGGTAAGAATAGGACTAGTTTTGCTGCTTTAACAATTCCTTCTCTAAGTTTTTGGACTAAGATAATATCTTCTTCAATGGAAAATACCTTTGTAACTCCATTTTCGATACCCTTGATGTAATTTTTGACTTTACGGACACTATTGCCAACTCTCTTGGCGATGTATTCCGGATCTTTTCCCACAGCATGGAGAGCTTCGATCAATTTCTCTTCTCCTTCTGTAATAAACCTCTTTGAGGTGCCCTTCTTTGAATTTCTATTCTTCGGCACACGTGCACTCATCATGATACTTGGTAATAATGATGTGAATTCAATAGGCACGGTTTTATTCAATTTGTTTTACGCTCAAAATCTATAAATAACATCTCCATTAGGATACTAGTTGATTAACAAGTTTTAATAAATTCAATTAAAAATCATGCTTTAGATCCTTTCAATTTTAATTTGAATAATCATCACCGCACCCGAGAGAAAAAATTATAATGCTCTTATATGTACTATTCAAAATATGCTGGTGTGATTTATCATTCAATTTTTTTTGGTAACGTTATCATTTGAATTTTTTCTGAAAAATTTTCAGTGAATAATATAAGTTACAATCTTAATAATTATTAATTTTGAGCTCATTAACAAGTGATTTTTTATACAATTGACTTATAAATATATAATAAATTTAAAAAATAGAAAATTATTATTTATAGTCTTAATTTGTGCATTTACAAAACATAAAAATAGCTTTGGATTAAAATAGATAATTTAAATTTAATAAATGACATATGATTATCTGATAAAAATTGCATTTTTCAAAGTTAATAATTGAAAATCTTTTCTTAAATTGTGTTTTCCAATGTAAAACATATTGAGATGTTCATTGATAACACATATATACAACTATTCGATCATAATAATAATAAATCTAAAATTTCGGGTTTGCATAATCAATTGATGCAATTGTGTATCTATAGTATTATCAATCATTCTTAAATGACATTATCGTTCTAATTATTATATTCGTTGAAATTGAATTGATAATAATTATCTTCAAAATTGTTTGCGATTGTTTTCAAAACATTTCGCATATACATTTGCCTAAAGAATTAACAATTCTTTTAGTTCAGTAGGAATATACTTTCTCCTATAATTATTCATTGATTCCCTTCATTTTCATAAAAATGTTCAATTATTAATCCGTTTGAAGAGAATATTTTCAATATAATTCAGAAGTATACACGGAAAAATTTTAAAAAGTCGCAAATAGATTATTCAATAATATCATATCTCGTCATTATTTTTCAAAGAAAACTAATTAAATATATATTACTACATACCAAATTTAGTTTGGCTATCCAAACAATCAGCTACTAGCAGATATTATATGAATATTGAATTCAGTTCTAGAAAAGAATGCTATATACATATATCAGTCATAAAACATTATATACATTTAGTTATTGCACTCTAACCAGATATCATAATGATATTAAAGTTTTAAATTGATAATTTTTTTTGATTTTATCAGGTTAAATAAGAGAAAAAGAAGAAAAGAAAATAGAATGAACTGAGAATAATATCTGATACTGTGGTTCGCTATTTATACTTTTTTTTCCCTGAAAATGATGAGAATCCGCGAAAAATTGAGCTTTTATTATTACCAATAAAAAAATTATTGCCAATAAATCGAATCATTTAATATTGGAAGATGATAGAAGCTTATATTTATTGATTTTGATAATAAAAGCCGACTTTTTGCAAAAGAATTTTTATTTGCTATAATTATATTCAATATACTATGGAATCTGATGCCAATCGAGACTTTTCTATTTGATTTCTTTGACCAAAACTCAATTTTTTGTTGATGTTTTTCGCTCTATTTTCTTTGGTCGCATCCTTTTATGTAAATTTGGATGTCGGATCACAATTTATCCGCGCTGCAACAATTGATGGAAGCGAGAATCCATCTATGGCATTGAATAAACAAGGTTCAACATTAACACCAAATTCAGTAAGCTTCAAATTGCCAAATGTTCAAGAAGGACATCTCAGAAACAGCAATTTATCGCAAATTCAAGTTAAATACGGAAAATCTTCATTAAGAAACCTTAAGAAAAATCCAGAAATGGGTGCTCCATATATTGGACGCTTAATGGGACGTAATTATACTGAAGATTTCGAAATACCAAAAATTGCTACAGCATCAGAAATGTTTTCTTTATTATTAAACGAAATGTTCGATTCCAAAGATTTATTTGGCTATGAAGGCATCACTTTTACTGTTCCAGGATATTTTACACATAAGCAACGTGAGGCGTACATTAAATCGTTATATATTTCGAAATTACCATTTTTAGGAATTATTGATGATTTTCAATCGATTATCTTCGGATATACAAAGCGCTATCTCAGTAGATTTGCTAATTCAAATCATACCGTCCTATTTATTGACGTTGGAGCGTCTCATGCAGCCTCATTTTTAGTTGATTTCTACTGTAACAAGACAACCATCGTCGCAAACATGACATCTTACGAATGGTCCGAGGAAACAGGTAGCTTTGCATTTGCTCGAGTTCTTGCCTCAGAAAAAGGAATTCCATTCAGAAAGGCCATGAAGCTTGTCCAAGAAGGAAAATTCGATAAGGATATAATAGAAAGCGAATTAGAAGAGTTACAGCGTATTATTTTACTTGCTCTAGGAAATACAGAAATTGATTGCGTCCAACTCATTGGTGGAGCTTCCAAACTCCCATATATTGAAGCAATAGTCGAGGAGATCACAGATATGCGCCCTTCAAGAGAACTGGCAACTGTAGAAGCCATGGCCTTGGGAGGAACATATTTGACTCAATTAATTGCTCGAAGCCAGGAATGGCCAATTACGATTATTAGATGTCCAGTTTACACCGAAAGAGTCCGTTGCGACAAAGTTAGTGGAGTATATTGCACAAAAGGAGCCAAATGCACAGAATTAGTCATTCTTGATAATACCATTTGCAATTCATTGCAAATTGAAGCTGAACAAACAGAGATTCCAACAGGAACTACAAATTTGATTGCAGATTTCACTTTAACTAACATAAGTAAGTGGGATAGAGAAGAGGAAGAGTTTGTTAGTGGTATAATGATCATGAAGGACCCACTTCCTCAAATCGTTTCTGTTAATTGGTGTATTACTTCAACATTAAACTGCCAACCGATATCTTTCAAGCAAACTGAGATCAATACGAAGTCATTCCAGGCATCCTTTGACTTTGTTGACCAAGTTTCCAGTATTTTACTAAAAGAAAAAAGAATCTCAAAATTAAGAGGTCAAATTAATGCCAGAATTGAAGAATTAATACTCCATGGCAATTTGTCACCAGCAGAAAAGGAAAAATACGAGAAAATTCATCAAGATAGCTTAATTGTTTCCGAAATTCCAAAATTAGAACAAATTTATCGCTCTATTATGCCAGAAGAGAAGAAAGAAACCAAGAAAGTTAATCCAAATGAAATGTTTTTCGTTGAAGATGATGAATGTTTATAAACTGTTAAAATTAAACCATACTATTATTATTTTTTTTAATACAATTTTTCTAATATTATTTTTAATTAAGTTTTTCTATGAATTTCTTTTAAGGGTGCACTTACCACTTTCTGACATTCTCTCAATTTTTTTGACATTCTAGTTTTTTATCCAAATTTTCTAAGGTAAAAAGTCATTAACTTTGTTCGGGAAGAAGTTATTTTAAATCACTACTTAGTACCTTATATTACTGTAATACTTTTTTACAATCGCAATAAAGATATATTGATATTATGGGAGCATGTCAGAAAGTGGTAAGTGCACTCTTAAATGAAGATTTTTTTTCAATTATTGCTTTAAACTTGAAAAATTCTATTGCTTTAAAAAAAAAAAAAAAAAAAAAAAAAAAAAAGGTAGTGGGGCTTCCAGGGGCTGCGCCCCTTCTAGCCCCGAAGATGTTTAGTAAAAAATTAAAGTTTTTATTCGATAAGAACGACATCGCTATCGTTTTCTTCTTCCTCCTCCTCTTCTTCATAGTCAGTATCTGATGGCTCTTTGTCAGCCACATGACCAGCAACAAATATTGAGACAAATTGTTTCTTTGGTTTTGTTAGCAGGAACTTTTGATGGTCGTAGAACACGAATTCTACATTTTGAAAATGTTGTGCTGAGTATTCTGTGAAATGGGAAATTGGAATTGGTTCTCCCATGCCAAAACCAGCAATGGACGCGAACAAAACATCGTCTTCGACTCTTGCAGGTTTGTCAATTGCAACAGTAGTTATGATGTGAGGTTTTCCTTCACATCCTGCAAGAGATTGTACATGAAAGATTGCTTTTTCTTCTCCCTCAGGAACTGAAAGTGTGAAATGGAATGAGAGTTCTCCATATTCATTTGCTTCTTCGTAATAGTTGTATGTTGTAGGATACACCAATTGAAATTTTCCTATTCTTGTTTCCCTGAGGTGTTGTCTATATTGCTTGGGAAAACATAAAATAAATTGCTCTATAGCTTGTGCTGCTATTAGATTGGTTGTAACTGGTAATTTTGAGGCGAAAAGGTCTACAAGAACACCGGGATTTTTTATGTCGTTTTCAATTGGTTTAACAGATTCTATGACTTTGTTAAACATTTCACTATAATCTGAGTTGTCTTCGACCCCCCAATTGTTAAGAAGTTTATACAACAATTTCAGTCTTTTCATGGCGTATTTTCTTTGAATGGATTCGGGTAGCGAGAGGTTACAGTCGTCGGTTTGTGTTTCGTTACTCGAATATTGTTCAAGAGAAATTAAATCTTGAAATTGTGCTCTTGTTAACATACTTGTAGAACTATGTGAAACTTGTTCTGGTGCTGGTTGTAAATCTGTTTCAGATGTTTCTGTTGTGTTTTGAGAAGAAGAAGAACTCAAATTGTTGGACAATTTGTCTTGAATTGTAGAACTATGTGAAACTTGTTCTGGTGCTGTTTGGACAACTGTATCTGTTGTGTTTTGAGAAGAAGAACTCAAATTGTTGGACAATTTGTTTGCAATTGTAGAACTATGTGAAACTTGTTCTGGTGCTGTTTGGACAACTGTATCTGTTGTGTTTTGAGAAGAAGAACTCAAATTGTTGGACAATTTGTTTGCAATTGTATGAGGAAGTTGCTTTGGTATTATAGGAGGTCGTAAGGGTTTTGAGAATGGTGAGACATAAGTTGTAGGAACTTTAACTGCAGAGGTAGTCGACGAATTGTTTGCAATTGTATGAGGAAGTTGCTTTGGTATTATAGGAGGTCGTAAGGGTTTTGAGAATGGTGAGACATAAGTTGTAGGAACTTTAACTGCAGAGGTAGTCGACGAATTGTTTGCGCACTTTTTTCTTCTTCCATTAGACAAAAATGAACTGTTTTTTTCGGACTACTCATAGAAAAGTTTAATAATAAACCGTTTTCGTCAACGGTAACCCCTCTATTTTTTTATTTTATTTAATAGTTACCGGTTGGCAACCGTTCCATCTCAAATATTGAATGAACTATAAACGTTTTTTGTTTTCTATATATACTTTTTTGTCAACGGTAAAACTTTTTACACAACGGTTTTTGAGAGTCGTCGCTGTTGACTTTTTTGTAGAGCACTCAAAATAGTATAACTTTGTCCGGACAAGTAAGGGTCTATCGTCGCTACAGGAAAAGTTACAGGCGTTCCAAGGAAGTATTACTTTGAGAAGCCTTTCCCCTTATAGAATGAGATAGGACGGTTTATTTTACAAAACTGACAAACGTTGACCGAGTAGTTTTTTGTGCTGAACAAATAGTGTCATATAAACATCTGTCAAAACCGCTTTTTAACTTCACTTAAAATGCCACGTAAGCTACGTAAGAATATACGTAAGAGGAAGGGAGCATTGAAACATCCAATAGTAAAGACTAACCACAACAACAGTTGCAACAACAAATGCTGAATGACCCACTATGTTGCAACAAATGTCAAGCAACCCTATGCTTTTAAGCCGAGTTATTGGTGCACAGAGTGGAGGTTTAAGAGCGGCACTTTTAGCGAAAATGGCAGGCTATGGTGGAGCTGCAGACGGAACAGCTTATCCCTCAAAGTCAATGAATTTGAGTTCACTCAAAAATCAAATATCAGATGTCAAAAAGTCAAACGTAGACATACAGAAACAATAAGTGAAAACGAAAAGAAACTAGAATATGACAGACACACAAAGAAACTCAATGAGTTAAAACGTAGAGAAAAAGAAGAAAGAAGAACAACTGAAAGAACTAAGTACAGAGGAATATGCGAAAAAAGTGTCAGAAAAAGCAGCAGAAGTAGCAAAAATGGAACAAGATGTTATAAATTTGAAAAACCATACTACTCAATATAAAGTACTGAAAGATGAAGAGATAAACAAAAAGCCTGAAGACATATATGGATAGCGATGAGTATAAAAAAGAAGTTGAAGCAAATGTAAAGGCAGAAAAACTTTTACAGTTGCAAAACCAAACCGTACAGTATGAAACTTAGCACAAGAAAGTAAAAATAACGACGCGGCTATGCAAAAGGCAATGAAAAGCGCAGAATATATAAAAGCTAACAATGACTGGTTAGATGCCCAAGCCAACGCCAAAGCAGCCCAACTTATAGGGTCAATAAGGACAAAAATACAAGCGGATGAAGACAGTTCAAATGAAGCTTTAATGAATGCTGACTTTAAGAACGCCTTCGAAGCTCTTCATAGTAAGGTGAAACTAGTGAACGACTTTCTCATCTGGAAAGAAACTGAAGTCTGAAGGTTTCGACAACGAGTTAAAAGAAGTAGCACACAAATATGACGAAAATAACAGATGCAGCAACGAGACAGGCAGTTCAAAGTGCCTATGACGCCGTTAGAGCAACTGTTGTGAAAAGTCAAGAAAAAGAGTTACAACAGACCAAAACAGACCTAGTAAATGCTTTCTTAAGAACGAAAAGTCAGGTAGGACATTACGCTGCAGATGGAACATATGTGCCAGCTGGTGGAACTTATTACCACCAAACCCTCCAAGAGAAGCACCTGCACCAGGACTACCTAGAACATTTACATCGTCACATGGACACAGACACAGGCATGCACAACAACCAGCACAACAACCAACAGTTCAAAATCCAGCACAACAACAACAACAGCACAGCAACCACCTCAAACCAGCACAACAACCACAAACAGAGCAAGGACATAAAAGTAGAGAACAAGGAAACCAAGAATTCTTAAAATGCTTAAAGAAGAGTGTGGTTTCCCAGATACTATTGACTTTAGTGACAGATATAAAGAAGCTATTGGAAAGTTCAAGGATGGAAATACTGACCCGAACCTATTTAGCTTTATGGCTCAGCACCAAACGGATATAATCTCAAACCTGGAAAATACAGCTCGCTAAGGGATATGATTTAATAGCATATCATCCAAATGACATGGATGAATTTACTCCGAGATATTTGATGTCAGAGCTAAATGACAATTCAACTTTCGTCATGAAAGCGTAAAAAATAGAGACGGAACGAAAGAACAAAAGCTTATGAATGCGGATGACGTAGATAGGGAAATTGTTGAAAACGGTCTCGGATATATGAAATGCCAGCAGATGAGGTACAAGAAACTCCACAGGAAGAAATAGTTCAGATACAACCAGACATGGAAGAAATAGTTCAGCAACAACAGCTAGAAGAGCCTGAAGGAACGAACAAGTCACTCCTTTGGAAACTAACTTCACAGAACTAGATGAAGATTGGAACAGCCGAAAAATCTTGACCCTCAACAAGAGTATGCGGAGATATGGAATATTTCCAAGAGTCTAAAAAATTCGGCTGACATAGTAGAAGAATATCGAAAAAATGTTTGCCGACATACAAAAGACTCCAACATCAGATGAAAATATCCAGCATAGAATGGAAGAACTGAAAAAAAATACACAAATACAACAACCCTTTTTACTTACGAGCATTTAACGTTCAATCTTCGGATGAACTCGGTGAAAATAAAAGGTTAAATTTCAAGAAACATATAGAAATGAAACATTGTTTAAAGTTCATTCAGAACCTAACCAAGATGGAAACAAACCTACTTTTGTTTCTGCAGACGATGGAACTACAATGAGATGGGGTCATAAAGCTAACCCGGATAGGTGGTTCATAAACTTACAACCACAATTCCAGAAGTTGTAGACGCAATGGAAGTCAATGGTGAACCAGATATAGCTGGTATTTTAAGCGCGGCTTTAATGCCATTGAAAGATATGAAACATGCAGATATTTTGGACGCAGTATGAAATGAACATGGCTGATGGAAATATAACACCTGACGTTCTAGAACATTTATCTCAAAGAACTACACAGAACCATAGAGATGGTATATTTGGTGAAGAGTTTAGAAAGAAAGTTATGGACAGAGAAGGAAGAGAACCTATTGTACATGACCTTGCAAACGAAAGTTTACAAAATGTCATAAAAACTTACTTTGCAGACAATGAACCGAGAAGGGATGAATATTTAAGAAAACTC